GTTGGATGCGTAAGTGGTGGAGTGTGGGCGAGTGGTTGGATGCGTGAGTGAGTGCGTGGTGGAGTGAGTGAGTGGTGGAGTGTGTGTGAGTGGTTGGATGCGTGAGTGAGTGGTGGAGTGTGGGTGAGTAGTTGGATGCGTGAGTGGTGGAGTGGGCGAGTGGTTGGATGCGTGAGTGAGTGGTGGAGTGCGTGAGTGAGTGGTGGAGTGTGGGCGAGTGGTTGGATGCGTGAGTGAGTGAGTAAGTGGTGGAGTGTGTGAGTGAGTGGTGGAGTGTGTGAGTGAGTGAGTGAGTGGTGGAGTGCGTGAGTGAGTGAGTGGTGGAGTGTGTGAGTGAGTGGTGGAGTGTGTGAGTGAGTGGTGGAGTGTGTGAGTGAGTGTCGTGGGGTGTTTCTGTGCGTGTGGTCTGCGGTAACACGACCCAGGGCACCACGTGGTGTGTGCGCCACTCAGAATAGACTCTCGTCATCAGAATCGGGGTGAAGTCTGTGAAGATCGCCAAGCTCACTCTTTTCGAGTGCTGTTAGCGAGCACCTATTACGCCCGGCACAGGGCGCAGTGGTGTGTCCAGTACCACGCTCGGCCGCCTTTGTCTCCCCAGTACTGATTTCTTACAACATACTGTACTATATACTCATTTAAGGCTGAGTCGACCTCAGAAAGTTCCTGGTTTAGAGTGAGATGTTAATGATATCTGCGGTGGTAAATTAAACCCAGCTCGTATGCTGACCGCTCCTGTAAAATAGCCCATGGGACAGAGCAAAACTTGGTATCACTTAAGGTTTAGAAACATTACTTGTGCCGATGTTATTTATTTATCCAGCGAATACCAGTGAATTACTTGATATCCCACTCATGCCAGAGGGTTGTATCTTATAATTCGCTGTTATCGGCCACATCAATAAATTCGGAACCGCGGAAAGCGATGCCTCGTTAGGTGGTGTGCCGGGCAAAGTGAGAATATCCGATCCGGGCCCGTGGACTTAATGGAGAAGCGTCGTGGCCCAGGACCAGACGGGGGGGGGTCTCCTCCACTCGACCCCCCCCCCCAACTCCGGACGCGTTCCGCATCAGCGCAGCAGCGTGGACTTTACGCGCGTCCCCTGCGTCGCCACGAGTAACGCGCGCGCGTGGTTCGCTGGGGGGGGGGAGCCCTGCTTGGCCCAGACTCTGCGTGTCCAGCATTCACAAAAGATAAAGATCCCCCGTGCAGCCTTGACAGACTGTCGGGGCAAGTGCTGTTAGCGAGCACCTATCAAGGCCGGCACGGCACACGAGGGGGTGGGTGGCCAGCACCACGCCCGGCCGCCTTTGTCTCCTCAGTGGCGATGTTTTACACATCGCACGAGGTACTCGTTTGAGGCTGAGTCGACCTAGGGGAGGCCCAGGACCGGTTCAGATAATCGTCACCGGTGTTGGCAGCGAGCACGAATCGAACCCGGTTCGACTTCTTGACTTAAAGCTTTCGTAACTGCAGGAATTCATATTATTTGGGTCTTTCGGTAAAGTCACGTAGATAGGTTCAAAGAAAATAACAAAAAAATAAAAAAAACTACGACGTTTCAATCGCATCATAAGCGTTCGTCATCAGGATGATCAGGTTGACGAACGCTTGTGTTGCGATCGAAACGTCGTAGTGTTTTGTTATTTTTCGTTATTTTCTTTGAACCTATCTCCGTGACTTTACCGAAAGACCCAAAGAATAGGTTAAAGTCTGTTCGGGCAGGTGAGTTTTTCTTCAGATAGGCGAGGGTATGTTCAGACAGGTGAAAGGTGAGCGAATCAGTTTCGTAATAGGTTGAGTTTCTATTTAGATATGTGCGTCCGTACATGCGACAGCATATTCACACAGATGAAAGCGTTCATAAAGGCGTCTATGCAGACATGTGCGACTCGTGAGAGTGTTAACACGAGTCTGTTCATGAAGCGTGAGTGTTTATTCGGACAGATGAGAGGGCTTTCATACAAACTGGGGGATTCCTCATGCCCGCAGCAAGGAAACCAGGCTCTCCCATACGACGAATCACTCGTTTGTCGAATCATTCGGAGTAGACGCGAATGCTGCGCCAATGTCACACGTGGGCTCACGGAGCGCACTCAGTTGCCAACACGAGACAGACACTCACCGGATAAACAACGCAAAGGACGCGGTAACAAAGGGTTCGAAAATACACGTTTCTCAGTGGAATCTGGACGATTCGTCGAATCATCTGGTGGATGATGATGGGGGTGTCGGGGGGGGGAGGATGATGTGGTGTTTTGGGGATGATGGAGGTATCGGTGGGGGAGGGTTATGGGGGTATCAGTGGGAGAGGGGGGTGATGGGGGTATCGGGGGGGGTGGAGGGTGATGGGGGTGTTGGGGTGTGATGGGGGTATGAGGGGGGTGGAGGGTGATGGGGGTGATGGGGGTATGAGGGGGGTGGAGGGTGATGGGGTGTTGGGGGGGGTGATGGGGGTGTCGGGGGGGGAGGGTGATGGGGTTATCGGTGGGGGAGAGTGATGGGGATATCGGGAGGTTGGGGGTGATGGTAAGATATGACCAGGTTGTAAAGGCAACGACTCAGTGTATGGGTATCCTGATACTATTACTCGGAACCGGTCGCGAGCTTCGCCTGCTTCCTATCGGGTTTTGGCGTCACACTCAATGGGAGGCGAATTACTCGGTTCACCGACGCCGAGGATCGTGCAATGTGCAAGTATTTAGCGAGACACGTGAGAGCCAAGAGGAACCTGACTCTACCCAAATGAGTGAAACCAAATCAAACCTCCTCGGCGTTAATTTTGGGGACCTCATATTTTTTAATCCTTTATATTAAGTTCACTTGCGCGCTTGCTTGCTTGCTTACTACCGTGAAAATCTTTCGGTCGTTTTTTTAACCCACTTCCCGTGATCCAATCGAGCTGACATTTTCCACACAGACTCGTTGTGCGTGACAATTAATGTTCGTGAAAATTTTTTTCCAAAATTTTACACTTTTTAGGACAAAAATATTATATTTAATTACCAATTTCTTAATGGTGCCATGCAATCATCTGACCCATAGGTGGCAGCCATCTCAAGCCAGAGGACGAGAGGACTCTAGCCGCCACGCATATAAAGGATTTATAGTGAAAACTTTGTTTTTACGGGTTATATTTGTTTTGTTAAATTGCGTTCGGATTATTTTTGTTCGACGCTCATTTGCGCAAATAGCCTCGACTCTCCGCTTTAGCCAAATGTCAACATTCTTCACCCCTTTCCGGAACATGACTTCATCATTATAACTGAGATCACTCGTACTAAAAGCTCTTCTGGAATAACCGCGCGTCCCGTCCTTTGCTCCGTCTCCACCACAGAGGTCCCACAACAACAGCGAGGCGCGTCTATTTCGGGACGCGTGCGACATCCAGTATTTGAAACTCCTGACTTCACCGCTTTTGGCGAGGCCCGACAGCCTCACCAACCCCACCGAACAACTGCACCCTTCCCCTAAACGCCAACGCGTCGCCGTTCGTACAGAAATCAACCCAACCGTGTCAAAATCACCCATTGGGACATCTACAAATTCACCTACCCATAAAGTCACCCATCAACCGATCCACAATGTTACACGCAAGAATTTACTCGTCAAGCCATCGTGTCGAGTCACTTCATCGAGTCACCCACCAAGTCATCCACTAAGTCACTCGCATGCCCAGAGAGCAACTCAGCCAGGACGAGACGTCCAAAAAGACGCCCATAACCCCTCTTCTTGGTTCTTTCGGTAAAGTCACGTAGAATGGAAACAATAAAAATAATAAAATAAAACATGATAAAATAATTCTCACGACGTTTCGGCCACAACGCAAGCAGCCGTCATCAGGTGAAGACCAGGTCTGTTATTTTATGATTTTTATTGTTTCCATTCTACGTGACTTTACCGAAAGAACCAAGAAGATGAATCCCTGCAGTCACGAAAGCTTTAAATCGAAAGACGCCCACAACGTCACGCACCATCAAGTCAGCCACGTGCCCAGACAACAACACAACCAGCTCGAGTCACCCACCATGTGAGCCAGCGATCCAGATACCAACTCAGCTCACCCACCGTCACTCAAGCCAACTCAACTCACCCATTCGCCCGCCACCCACTCATCAGTCGGCCCACCCACACGCCCAACAACCGAGTCCCTCACTCACTCACCCACCAAACCCCCACTGCAACAACTTCCCCATCAACTCACCCACAAACCACGACACTCACCCACCACCCACCTATCCACGCGTCCATCAGCTCACCCACGTGCGCACCGGCAAACCCGCCCACCAAACAGCTGTCGTCTCTCTCGCACAACTGTTGCTGCGCCCATCCCATATTCCCCTGTTCCCCACCCCGCAAGACCCCCCTCGACCCCCCTCGACCCCCTTCCTCCATCCGAGAATCTTCCACGCGTGGCTAATTATACACACTGGACACACACAACGCGTATATATGTACACACACGGACGCGTCTCGGGCACAGAAGCAGAGCGCATGGAGAACAATTGGCATCTCCGGAAGCGATTACCTTGCAGGAGGCGTAGGTTGACACCGCGAGGCGTTAGAAGCCGAGAGTCGTGCACACAGAGCATAGCGGCGCCATATCGACGAGGTTTCTATATGTGCAGGATAGAGGCAAGCCCCGGGTGTGCTTTGGTTCGGGCTACGTTTAGGAATTAGGTATTTTTTTGAGGCCGAGAAGTGTGGCAGTTCGTTCATCATTCCATCAGTCTATCGGCGCATCATTCCATCAGTCTGTCCGCTCAGCTGTTCATCAGTGCGTCTCTTCCTACATTCGTGTAAAGGCACCTCGTCATCATAAAAGGCTTGGGGCGCATCTCACTCCTTGCCCTACCCACCCACCCACCCGATCCGTCCGTCATTCCGTCGTCCCCTGACCATCACCCTTGCGACGCCTGCACCCCCCCTACTCCTCCTCCTCTTTCCACCACCATCCCCCATCCCCCCCGCCCTTCAACACCCCCACCCAGAGCGGCCACCACTCCACTGCTAAATTTATCCTTCACCCAGAAATACTCGGGCCACAGTAGACGCCCTCCGCGCCTCCACACGCGCCGCAATTCCTCGGGCCTCTTTCTTTTGGCCGCGCGACCCCCAGGCATCGGACGCGCATCTTCCGCTGAGCGAGGAGACAGAGGCGGGTGAAGATCGCTGGCCGTCATGGATCCGCGCGTCGCTGCCCTGAAGAGCATGGAGGAGGAGTTGCGCGTGTACCAGACCACGCTGCTGCAGGACGGATTCCGAGACCTGCTCGACGAGGGCAAGATGATCGACTGCGAGCTCAAGGTGGGCGACAAGAAGCTGCCCTGCCACCGGCAGGTGCTGGCCGCGTGCAGCCCATACTTCCGCGAGATCCTTCTGTCGGAGGAGTCCGAGGAATCGGGAAAGAAGAAGGCGACGGCGACCGCCACCGCGAAGAAGGAAGTGGTCCTCGACGACGTCGACCCCACGGTCCTCGAGATGATCCTGCGCTACCTCTACACGTCGGAGATCGCCATCACGGATGACAACGTGCAGGACATCTTCGCGGTGGCCAACATGTTCCAGATCCCGTCCATCTTCACGGTGTGCGTGTCCTACCTCCAGCGGCGCCTCGGCCTCAGCAACTGCCTGGCCGTCTTCCGCCTGGGCCTCCTGCTCGACTGCCCCCGTCTCGCCGTGTCGGCTCGGGACTTCATCGCCGAGCGCTTCGGCGCGCTGTGCAAGGACGCGGACTTCCTGCAGCTGAGCGCCCAGGAGCTCATCCCCATCGTGGCGTGCGACGGCCTCAACGTGGAGAAGGAGGAGGTGGTGTGGGAGGCGTTCGTGGGCTGGATCAAGCACGACAAGGAGGAGCGCATGAAGAGTCTTCCCCGACCTCTTCGACTGCATACGATTCCGCCTCATGGCCAAGGACTTCGTGCGCGACCACGTGGAGAAGAGCGACCTCGTGAAGACCAACCCCGAGCTGCAGAAGAAGCTCAAGCTGGTGGGTCATGGGGGGGGGGGGTTATGAGTGACGGTGGGTGGAGGTGGATGATGATGATGATGAGTGATTGTCGGTGATGTTAGATGGTGAGGATGGTGGAGGTGGATATCAACCCTCTCACTCGCTAGCAGAGATGTAACGATCGCTCACACCAACCCCTTCCTCATAACAATCATTTATTGTTTTAAATAAATTTTAATGTTTTTTTTTATAAGAAAAAAATGCTCAGGGGGTGATACCTGAACCCAGGAATTGTTAAGATCCGAGCCAGCAGTTTAAACTCATGCATTCCGCGTATTAAAGGAATCCTCTGTGAGCGTCATATCCCCAATACCCCCTCGGCTCCAGCGCCTCGATACTGTTGGAGCTAGTGAGGCGGGCAGGTCGATACTTTCTAAACTGTACGACGTTTGTAGTGATGTCCCCTAGTATGAATGGGATTTCCCCAGGAAGTTCATTGCCTCCGTGGGTTGCGAGGTGGCCAGGAGATAGCAGTATCTATTAGTTATTCAATCTATCTTTGCGGAATCTTGAGAAGTATCGTATGCATGCATGTATGTTGCACTTCTTTCGCACCGTACGTAGCCAACCGTACTAATCGGTCGTATGTATACTGGCTTATTTGCAGGTACACCAGTTTCCTATCACATTAAGTCAATGGAATTGACCGAACATCCAATGTTGCAGGACCCCCATGAAAATAATAGCCTTGCTGCCCATTGAGGCTTTCCTGGATAACCAAAGGCATTGTGGTCACGATTTAATATACACATTATTTGTAATCTATTAATAATACCACTTGCAGCTAGGTTCATAGCGCAGTGTGCCAACCGCTGCACCACCGCTCCCCTCATTGTCGTAACACCTCAAGTGTAAAAGTTTGTGTCGCGTTGATGGACAACGGGTGAGACGGTGGAAACACCCTCTGCTTTAACAACCACGCAGGTGGTGCCAATCCTTCTGTGGCTCAAGTGGTGGCATTCGGCGTAGTTAATCGATGTGAACGAGAAAAAATGTATGCATGAGGCAGCTGCATATAAAACGGCGTGGTGGTCGACCATCCAAGCAATACCCAGGCTCAAATCTGCGTTGTTTTCCGAGATCTCATGAGACCGGCCTCATTCCAGGTGATTTGGACACGGGCCTAGGAGACGCCGTATGTGGTGCCAATCCTTCTGTGGCTCACGGGGTAACACTGGGATCCAAGCGGGTTGTGTAGCTCCATTTGGCCGGGGTTTGGTGACTTTGCACGACTGTAATCCAGCGCTTTACAGGCCGAAAGTTGGTGGCTCAAGCCGCGCTGTGTGAAGCTCCCAGCCCCACTGGGCTGCTTGCGAGGTCGCCGCGCCGTGGCAGCACAGCAAGTGGGTTTGGGAAACCGTCCGTGCAACGAGGTGGGGATTCTTCGATCACCCGTAGGGTCTCCAATCACATGGAGCCAAAACAGTCGGTTGCAAAAAAAAAAATTGTCAAACATCCCAATGCATGAATGATATCATACAAGCAAAGTTCAATTTGTCCGAGCAAAACTTTTATTAAAAAAAATCGATCACGTATATAATACCTCGTCACGAGCACTGCCCTAACAGAAACATGATATACAATATTCGACGTTTCGGGCAATGACCCTACAACGATCAAATACATATCATGTATTTCGTTTGAAACCCCATCCCACTCCACTCAAAAAACAGGCCGAGAAAAACCAAATCATTCTCTCGGTTTTTTTGTTCTTCCGAATAAGTAACTTTTTTATAACGCGGGCAGTGAAGAGTCGGTATCGGGGCACGGGACACGGGGAGGTGGCGAGGGAGGTAAATTTAGCAGCGCGCCGCTTCCCCACCGAAATAGCGACGACGCATTCCAGACGCAGCAGCGGCTGTCGATTGTGAGGGTCTGGGGGTGGCGGTGTGGGGGGGGGGGGAGCCGGGGGAGCAGGGGAGGGTTGTGAGTGTTGCAGGGGGCCAGTCGGCTGTTAAGGCACGTACGTTGACACTTCTTTCGCACCGTACGTCAGTCGACTGCGCTAATCGGAGGTGCGGGGGAATGACAACAAATTAAACACAAAAATGCATTTTTGATGTCGACGATTCAAAGGTGCCATAGCTCCAGTGGCTTCCTAATATGGGAAGGAAGAGCGTTCCAGACGGCCGCAGGAGCGCGAGATGCAGCGAACATCTTTGTTCGATGACTCGCCAAATGCCGATGCAGTGGGGATGACCGCAGGGGGGAGAGTGTGAAGAAGGCTTCACTCTTGATTTTAAGGCTTCACTCTTGATTTTAAGACTTCACTCTTAATTTGAAGGCTTCACTCTCTATCGCGACTTGAACGAATGCGGGTCGAGGGGGCAGGAGTGGAGCGAGAGGAAGGTTGCGGCGGGGTGAGGGATCACAACCGACGGTGCTGTTCACGATTCGTGGAATTGAAGACGGACGTGATGTAAAAATAACTTCCAGAATGATGATGCTCATCATGATTCGATATCAGTGAGGATGACGATCATCGCGATGCTGCCGCCGCTGGTGACATGAAAATGATGGAAGATGCAAAAGGCGATCACGATGACGCGAATGAATGATGACGACGACGACGATTTAATTACTGGACCTGTACTGAAAATGATAACCCATCTTCTTGGTTCTTTCGGTAAAGTCACGTAGAAGGGAAGTAATAAAATAATTAAAATAAAACATCATAAAATAATTCTCACGACGTTTAGGCCACAACGCTGCAGTCACGAAAGCTTTAAATCGAAATGAAAATGATAACGTTCAAATTGTGACGATGTCAGTGACGACAATGCTGCAACCATTGGCGACGATGATGTTGGGGAGATGATGATAGCAGTCAGTGCCGCATTATCTTTTGTAGCAAAAGTAGCTACATATGTAGCAGAAGTAGCTACATATGTAGCAAAAGTAGCTACATATGTAGTAGCTACAGGCCCCACACCTTCAAGGGCCCCGCGCTAAAAGCTTTCAAGCTATCAATTCCGGTTCAGCGATTCTGCACTTGCTCTATTACTAAAGTACTATACTGCCTTAAACTTTTATGAACGACTGGGTCTTTAGGTTATCTGGCTGTATAGCAAGTTCAACGTGTATGTGTTTTAATATTTGTGGGATTTTTTTTTATTTAGGGCCCCTTTATAACATAATGCTACAGGCCCCGCGCTATCTTAATCCGGCACTGATATCAGTGATGCGGATCACAACGACAACAACAGCAACGACAACGGGGGGCGCCCAATTGACAGCGAAAACATCGTGAGGACGACGACGACGACACTACGAACGACGACCAGGGCAAATACGCTGACGACGATGCTGATGGTGGTCCTCCATGCCCCCACCCCGCCGCCCGCCGTGTCGCCAGGTGAAAGACGCCTTCGAGGGGAAGATGCCCGAGCCCCAGCCGGTCGTCAGCGCCGGCAAGTCCGGCGCGGATGGGAAGGCGGGCGCCGCCACGGTCAACGGAGACGTGGAGGCGGTGGATGACGAGCAGGCGGCCCTGCTGCCCAGCATCCTCAACGACAACAAGCGGCTGGGCATGTACGCGCGCCACCTCATCCTCCTCGTCAACGACGAGGCGGCCGTGGCATACGACCCCACGGAGAACGAGTGCTACCTGGCGGCGCTGTCCGGCGAGCAGGTGCCGAAGAACCACGTGAGCCTGGTGACTCGCGAGAACCAGCTCTTCCTCGCCGGCGGCCTCTACTACGACGAGGAGAACAAGGACCAGCCCTACCAGTCCTACTTCGTACAGGTGAGCCTGACCAATCACACACCAGGCAGGTGAGCCTGACCAATCACACACCGTGTGTGTGCGCGCGCGCGTGGTTTAATTGTGCCTGTTGCAGCTGTGTGCGTTGTTTTGTGTTTGTCGGTCTGTACGTACGCTCGAGGTTTGCGAGTGTTCACCTTTGGGTGAGTGCGTGGTTGCATTCCGTTTGCGTGGCTCTGTGTGTGCACGACCCCGCACCGTCGGTGCATGCACCTCCCCCCCCATCGCCCCTTGCCCCCATTGCATGTACAGCACGTAGCCAACCGTGCCCGTGTATTCCTACCCTACCCCCGACCTCCACCCCGCAGCTCGACAACCTGGAGGGAGACTGGATGGGCATGCCCCCCATGCCCTCCCCACGCGTCCTCTTCGGCCTGGGGGAGTCGGAGAACTCGATCTACGCGGTCGGAGGCAAGGAGCTCACGGGAGACGTGACCCTGGACTCCGTGCTCTGCTACGACAGAAAGTGCGGAAGTTGCGCCCACACGCACACACACACACACGCACACACACACACATGCACACACACACGCACGCGCACACACACACGCACACACGCACATGCACACACACGCACACACACACACGCGCACACACACACGCACACACACGCACGCGCACACACACACACGCACGCGCTCACACACGTGTCCTGTGTTGCGTGGCGAGGTTGACCACCAGTAGATCAGACGGATCATAATGGTCGTGTCACAAACGTTGAGTCCACATGACTGGAAATGCTGCGAATGTGGGTCCGAGCCAATGATCTGTGTGTATGTCGCATGCTCTCCCAGGGGGTTATAATCAGAATCAGATTGTGTATTCATACTGGAGGAATCCGATGGGCTATAAAGTTATTTTTCAGAGATGTCTGCCTGTTTTAGAGACACTGCGTTGGTACCGCTGTTCGAATCAGAATTTCAGTCTCCTGTGATTGATATATTTTTGGGTGCGTGACTGCACACACCAAAACATATATATGACATTTGATTTGTCATTGAATCATGATAAATTCCAACTCTGATGATAATTCACGAGTTTGATTTCCATGAAACGAGCGCCACTATGAGTAGGGCATTTGAGGATGTAAGAACCACCCAGTGAAAAAAAGAAGCAATTGAAGGGGACCTTAAAATTCAAGTATTTCTGTGATGTCATCTTCCAGAAGTTATTCTATAGCACACTAACTTCTCTGATAGTTCCCAAATGGAATCTTGTTTACGACAACCAACAGCACGAATCGCGTAAAACTATTCTCAGCCAAAAGTCCCATTATTAACACTTTTGGATTCAAACCCAGGCTTTCAAAGTGGATAGCTCACTCAGTGCTCGGACGCGGTATTTATCTCCCTAAGTTCGCCCGGCAACCCACGGAATCGTGCCTGCAAGATGCCACGAATTTGCCCTCTGAGATGCCCGTGTCCCCATCTGCTCAGGTCCTTCAAGTGGGGCGAGTCGGACCCGCTCCCGTACAAGGTGTACGGACACACGGTGGTGTCCAACAAGGACCTGGTGTACGTGCTGGGCGGCAAGTCGGACGACAAGTGAGTGGTGACGCCCGGTGGTTTTCCCACGACCGAGAGCAATTGGTCCTGAAATGCCCCCAGATGTCGTCCGATCTCAGAATACATTTTACAAGAGAATTTTGATTAATATGGCGTCTGTGTGTATGCATGTTGAGCTGTATGTTGAGCTTCTTTCACGCCGTACATAGCCAACCGTGCGAATCAGAGGTGCAGGAAATGCGATCGCGGCTACACGCGATCGCGGCTTAAGACGCTGCGGCAAGGAACGGTGGGCGTGTTTAGTTTACGGAGAGAGGCAGTCGGTTAGAGGCAGAGGGGAGTTAATGGGATCTCCCGAGACTGGACTGAAGCAGGGGCAGCGAACTGATAAGTTGGTATCGCTGGGGGAAGGGAGGGAGTTCCAGATGACAGAGCTTCCAGAGGACAACAAGTGACCTCCCGCTGAGCGAAAGGTTGAGTGTGAAGGCTGTGACAGAGACGCTTGCTTGGTTGCTGCAGTGGAGAGAGTATAGAGGCATGTAGGCTGGGGCTGCAATGTGTCCAGGCAATGAGATTACAGCAATAGATTGCTAAATCCATCTGTGTGGCGCTTTGAGTGTTATCCCATCATATTGCATGGATTTTCTCCAGGTGCTCCCATTTCCTACTGCACGTTAAACACGTATTGCGCGTATTAATAGAACTGGCCGAAGATCCCTGGTGGTGGTGATGATGATGGCATTCGGTTGATGCTGACGAGCAATTGAATGATTGCCATTGACACTTTGCCTTGCCGCCATACGGACCAAACTAATGATAATAGTAATAATTTAAAGAATAATGCAATTTTATTTACCCTACAAAGTGTCCCTAAGTCTCATTTTCGTAAAACATTTCCACGCCCGGCACACCACATCCAGTTTCCCTCTCGCTGTGACTCTGGCTAAAAGTCACGTGCCTATCCCAGTCCACCAACGACCCGGAAAATATTCGTCCAGAAATGAATCCCGGGAATGTTCTCATCAGAATATGGCGCTGAGCCGTCTCTCCTCCCCGCCCTCGCCCCTGCCTCTCCTCCTCCTCCTTCCTCTCCGCTCGTGACACCTGCAGGAAATGCCTGAGCAAGGTCATGGTCTACAACCCCAAGAAGTTCGAGTGGAAGGAGCTGGCGCCCATGAGCGTGGCGCGCTCGCTGTGCGGGGCAGTGCTGCACAAGGGCAAAGTGTGGGTGGCGGCCGGCGTGGTGGAGGGAGGCCTCACCGCCTCCGTGGAGGTTTACAACATCGCTACCAACAAGTGAGCCGGGGTCCCGGCGGTGTGGGAGGGCTGGATAGTCAGTGGGTTGATGTGTGTGGGTGGGTGTGTTGATAGGTTTGTTGTTGGGTAAGTGGGTGGATAAGTAGGTAGGTGTGTAGATTGGTTGGTGGGTGGGTAAATAAGTTGGAGAGTAGGTGGATACATAGGTGGGTGGGTGATTGAGTGAGTGGGTTTGTAGGTGTGTAAGTGGAAGGTGGATTTTTAGTGCGTGTGTGTGTATACGAGAGGCTGTGGCTGCTTGGTATATGTATGAATAGATGAGTGTGTGATGGGCGGATAGTGGGTGGATTGGTGGGTATGGGTAGGTGCATAATAGGTGGATAGGTATATGGGTGGGTGGATAGTGCACAGGTACATGGGAGAGATGTGCGAGGGAGTGGGAGGCGACGAGGACGTCCCATTTCATTCCTTGCACCAGCTTCCATGCTAACCTCACGGTGCCACTACCTCCACGTCTACCACCACCACCACCGTCCCTGACCCTCCCACCCTGGCTCTCCCCCCCCCCCCCCCCCCCAGGTGGGAGACGCAGACGGAGTTCCCGCAGGAGCGATCATCGCTGTCCCTCGTGAGCATGGATGACGTTCTCTACGGCATCGGGGGCTTTGCCATGGTGCAGGCCGAGGGCGAGCAGCAGTTTGCGCCCAAAGAGATGACGGACGTGTGGAAGTGCGTGCCCGCACTCGCTCACGACGACGCGATCACACTTGCACACACCTGCGATGATGATTTTCCTCTCTCTTGTTGCTGCTGCTGATGGTGGTGGCGATGATCTTCATAATCTCGCTGCCTCTTGGAGATGACAATGATAATTATCTTTAAATATCTTCGTAATGCGAGAGTGATAGTGTTTCTGGCTGCCGACTGCTGCTGCTGCTAATGTTGATCATGAGTTTCTACTATGTTGTCACGACTTCTGTTGCTGCTGTGATAATTTTCCTCTCTTTTGCAAACGATGAAGTATGTATGTTGAACTTCATACTTAGCCAACCGTGCTAATCGGAGGTGCGGGAAATGATTGTGAGGATTATTCATTCTCTCTCTTGCTGCTGCTTCTGCTGGCGATATTGATGATGATGATGATGATGATTTTTCTTTCTCTTGCTGCTGACGATGATGATGATGCAGGTATGACGAGGAGAAGAAGGAGTGGGTCGGGCTCTTGCGCGAGATCCGATACGCGGCCGGGGCCTCGTGTCAGTCCGTCAAGCTCAACGTGCTCAAGATGGCCAAGCTGTGACAGCACACACGCACCCATACATACACGTAAACACACACACACACTGACACACACACACGTAGGTACGTCTAAACACACACACACACACGCACCGATACATACACTTAAACACACAAGCACACTGACACATACATACTGACACACGTACGTCGAAACACACACACGCACCGATACATACACTTAAACACACACACACTGACACATACATACAGACACTTAAACACACACACACACACTGACACACACACGTACATACGTCTAAACACACACGCACCGATGCACAGCCCTCGACCTACATGCACATTCACACGCGTCTGCGAGCAATCCGCATCGTCAACCTCGTCCCGTCATCGTCGTCCCACCGACTCCTGCCCCGTCCCCAACCTCTCCCCGTCGGGGTGCATATCTTCTTCGCGAGAAATAGTCACGTAGCGATTAACACGAACGCGTACGGCTTTGCGTGCAGAACAAAGACAAAGATCCTTCTATCACCTGGACAGACTTTTGGGGCTAGTGCTGTTAGCAAGCACCGCTGAAGGCTGGTATAGGTGGGTGGCCATCACCACGCCCGGCCGTCTTTGTCTCCCCCCCCCCCCCCCCAGTGCTGATGTTTACACACTGCACCAGGTACCTATTTGAGGCTGAGTCGACCCGTTCAAATATTCGCCACTGTTGTTATTTGTGAGCGGGAATCAAACGCATGGGGTCGCCCGGGTTTGTAGGGCAATGCGCTAATCACCGCGCCACCGCTCGCCCAGAATAGGTGCTCGTCAACAGCACTCCCAGTCTATATCGCTCTCAGTAGGGGGAACTTTATCTTGGTGTGTGTGTGTGAATGGGTGTGTGTGTGTGGAGCGGTTGTCGTGGTGGTTATACGGACGTTGAACTTCTTTCGCACCGTACGTAGCCAACTGTGCTAATCGTAGGCGTGCGTGGGGAAGGACAACAAACTAAACACGCACAAAACTGTTTTCAATAAATCGTTCGTGCACTACGCCACGAATTCGATTCAGGGCCACGGTTACCATCAGTGGCCAATTATATCTGGATCCGATACGAGCTCGACCCAGCCTTAAATCAAGTGGCTGTTGTTGTTGATTGTAAACATCAGCACTGGCGAGACCACGTGGTGCTGTTTAACACTATCCCATCGTGTGCCGTGCCGGCCTTAATAAGTGCTCGCCAACAGCACTTGCTCCAATGATCTGTTGAAGGCTATATGGGGGATCTTTGTCTTCGTATAGATGTGAGTGTGCGTACGTATGTATGTAGAGTGTTGAGTTGTGCGCGTGTGGGTCTGTATTTAGATTGATCTTGTGTTATTCATTAAGTGGGCTTTATTAATGACACTGCAGCTGGCATTGAGACAGGATGAACAATTAAACTAAATTCTTTCACAGAACCCGTCCCAATGTTCTTCTCTGCTCAATCACACTCACTCCATGACGCATTATGCACGTGATGAATGTTGCTAAACACCTTCTAGAAGGGCTAGAAAGCTGAAATTGTACACACATTTTTGTCCAGTCTTTGCCAGTCTAACTGGGAAAATTCCTAATTACAAAAACATCTGTGAGCTTGGGAGGTTGATTGGTCTCACTCATAGGACAGGGTTGGCCTACATTTCTGCGTTTTTTAACATTCGAGTCTCGTGCGAAGCACAAATACAAAATCTGCATCATCAATCGTGAACCAAGTAAATTCGCCTCCTGTGGAGTGTGACGCTCAAGCCACCAATATGGAACGAGCTGCAATCCCTTCAACGTTACCGGAGGAAATTATTAGAATAAAATAAAACCGCGGTGGTATTATTGAAACCGAAGAAGGCCGTTAGGAACGTAATAATGCATCTCACTCATTGATTCACATCGATTTTTAACTCACGATGTACGCATCATTTCATTTTCATTTATTATTAGGTATAACCATGTGAGCCATGTGGCTCTTGACTCGGGTGCAACCGCAACAAAACAAAAGCATGAACAAGAAACATCTTAAAGTGACTACACGCAACAGAAAAATCTGGGAACAACAGCAAAGGCTTCCAGAAAAAACACCGTATTTCAACGCTGTGTGCAAAAATCCTAGTGGGATGCAAGTCAAACAACAACCATAAGACAATGTAGATTAAAGTTATCAGGTTAACGCTGTACTACAACAAACAAACATGGCTAAACCAAAAGTTTTCAAAATCACCAAAACAAAGCTATAAAAACAATGTAACAGTGATCATAGGAACTGTGATTAAAATTTAACAATAAACGATATACATAACATGTACGACCAAACGGTGTGGCGAGAAATCATATTTTTAGATTCATATACAGCATATTACTAGGTTAACGGGACATTCCCAGCCACTAGAGGCCGCTATATTCACGAACAGTGTTAGAATAATAATACTGTACTGTAAAGCCCTCCGTTTGGCCGGTGAAATGTCCACTTTGTATTGTATACACTTGCAGAGAAAAAAAAAATACTTTAGATATTGTATCTTGATTTGAAGCTTTCGTGACTGCAGGAATCCATACTCTTTGGTTCTTTCGGCAAAGTCACGTAGGTAGAAAAATAATAGATCACGACGTTTCGATCGCAACACAAGCAATCGTCATCAGGTTGGACAACCAATCGAAACGTCGTGAGAATTTTATTGTTGAATTAATTATTTTTTATTTTTTTATTTTTCTTCTACGTGACTTTACCAAAATAACAAGAATAAGATGTGAACATATTTCCAAATTCCTTAGGTCGCCGATGGGATATTCAGTGGTGTGTTCCTGGTGCAAGGAATGAAATTGGGAGCCCCCTAATCCAATTTCCTCCCTCTTCATCGCTCGGTGCCTCGGCCCCGTGGGCCCCTGTGCAACTCAACCGCCTGCACTCTCGATGGCTCCGCCACTGGGAGGGCTCAGGGAGAGCCGCATGTATGTATGTTGAACTTCTTTCGCACCGTACGAAGCCAACCGTGCTGGTGGGATGTGTGGGGATGGACAACAAACTCAACACAAAAAAGCAGTTCTAAAGAAATAAGTTTTCAATCGAGATTTAAAAGTGCATAGCGCCAGTGCCTCCCTAATATCGGAAGGAAGAGCGTTCCAGACGGCCGCAGAAGCGCATCTGAAAGTGCGCGATGCGGTAACCGTCTTTAATCGATGGCCAGCCAAAAGCCGCTGCGAGGATGACCGGAGTTCGCGTGATGGTTTATGCTCCTTGACGAGATCAGCAAGGTGTTGCGGTTCATTTGCGGCAAGCACTTTGTGTGCAATGAGTGCGAGCTGGCGCCGGAGCCCTCACGCCGTTGCGTCCCAGAGGCCCTGCAGAGTGAACCCGTCTCGCAGCTTCTCGATGGCGAGGCCCAGCTCAGTGGAGAAGATCACCTCACGGTCCCTGTGCTTCTCGCGTCGCCGGGCAGCGCGGGAGGAGATGTAACGTGGTGGTGGTGGTGGTGTTAGAGGAATGGGTTGATGGTAGAGGTAGTGTCGTGGGGGTGATGGTGAGGGTGTCGTAATGAATGGGTCATGGTGGTGGTGTTAGAGGAATGGGTGGAGATGGTAGAGGTGGTGTCGTGGGGGAGATGGTGAGGGTCCCGTAATGAATGGGTCATGGTGGTGGTGTTAGAGGAATGGGTGGAGATGGTAGAGAGGAATGGGTGGAGATGGTAGAGGTGGTGTCGTGGGGGTGATGGTGAGGGTGCCGTAACGAATGGGTCATGGTGGTGGTGTTAGAGGAATGGGTGGAGATGGTAGAGGTGGTGTCGTGGGGGTGATGGTGAGGGTGCCGTAACGAATGGGTCATTGTGGTGGTATTAGAGGAATGGGTGGAGATGGTAGAGAGGAATGGGTGGAGATGGTAGAGGTGGTGTTATGGGGGTGATGGTGAGGGTGCCGTAATGAATGGGTCATGGTGGTGGTGTTAGAGGAATGGGTGGCGATGGTAGAGGTGGTGTCGTGGGGGAGATGGTGAGGGTGCCGTAACGAATGGGTCATGGTGGTGGTGTTAGAGGAATGGGTGGAGATGGTAGAGGTGGTGTCGTGGGGGAGATGGTGATGGTGAGGGTGCCGTAATGAATGGGTCATGGTGGTGGTGTTAGAGGAATGGGTGGAGATGGTAGAGGTGGTGTCGTGGGGGTGATGGTGAAGGTGCCGTAACGAATGGGTCATGGTGGTGGTGTTAGAGGAATGGGTGGAGATGGTAGAGGTGGTGTCGTGGGAGAGATGGTGATGGTGAGGTGCCGTAATGAATGGGTCATGGTGGTGGTGTTAGAGGAATGGGTGGAGATGGTGAGGGTGGTGCTGATGGTGAGGGTGGTGTAACGGGTTGGGATTTTAAGTGATGTAAGAGGATTTTGGTGGAGGTGGTGATGATGAGGTTGTGAGAGAAGACGTTAGTGACTTGTTCACATCCATCTTGAATACCTTTTTGTAAAATATATATATACTATCTCGCAAGGAGGACATCTGAACACTTCCTCACACTGCAACTCATTTACATGTTACAGTGTAAAAGAATGTCAAGAGATAATTATCATACCTTGTTCTCATCAGCAAAGTAAGCCTTCAAACAAAGAACACGTGTTACTATGGATTCTTACATTCTCCATAAAAATATACATCATTTATAGAACTGAAATTGTGCGACGAAAAAAACATGACGTACTGAGGAATGGTGATGGCTTAGGGAAGCCTTTTACCAGCAGTGAATTGATAATTATGGATGATGATGGCGGCGAGGTAACGGAAATCTTGAGCATGAATATACGTGCGTTCTGGAATTTGGGAAATTGTCGCAATGGGGGCCTCAAATATAAAGCCCAGTACGTGGAGGATTGTGTGGCTCAGGATGCTAAAGATTACCATGCCAAAACTACTAAATATTAAAGAAAACTATTTTTTATTTAACCAGGTAAAACTCAGAGCTATATAGCTCTTTTTCAGAAGCGGCCAGACCGTAGATGATAGCTCAACGAAGTGGCTTATCACGTAGAAATGTATATCAGCTAAATACTGTGAGCGTATGTTTCTCAATGTGGAGGGAAACACCGGAGGACCCGGAGACAAAATCCACGCGACCACAGGGAGAACACGCAAACTCCAAACATACAGCAGGCGTCAGGGTCGGGATCGGGATCGAACCCACGACCTCCTGCATACCAGGCGAGAGAGTTAACACCTAGCTAGCACTGCTGAGATGTTTGGTTGCAAACCCCGTGATTAAATCGTAAACAGAGTTTATGGTTGTCAGCCCAGTCATTGGTGACTGGGCTAAATCTGTCTCATTCCAACTCTCACAATGAAAGGATACCTCAATGGCAGGGCGTGTGAATAGGTGACACCAGGGACAGAATATGATTATGATGGTTATGAGGATGACGATGAAATCTGCGATTGACCCCACACTTGTGCTGGAGGGCCAGGTACCGTGTGAGCATCGCTTTTGGAGAACCCAGGCTCCAGCTCCATGTCATCATCCACCTGCGCCTCCTTCACTTTCTCCAGTGGAGCCGGCTGCACAGTGGGGGTGGGTCAGGGAGGATCGGAGGAGGGATGGGGGGGGGGTCGTGGGGGGAGCGGTGGAAGATCACGGGACCTGTGGTCCGTCTCCACTCACTGCAGCGCTGGAGGTCTGGTGCCCCGCTAGGCCAGGAGTGATGCTTCAAGTAAGCAGAGCACCCTTTATGAGGTCTTGAGTGATCGAGATATGTGTTTGGAAGGTCAGACGACCCTTTTGAAGTAGTGGGGGTGGATCTGAATGTTTGAAGAACATACATGCACCTGTGAGATATGTTTTGGTGGATACAAGGACTTCGTGCACGTTTTGGAGTGGACTTGCATCTATTTTTTTGGATTTAGATTGTTCTGACGAGGTAGGCTCCAAGTGATCTGGTGAGGTCTGAGCGATCCAATAGAATATTGGATGTACGTGCTTGGGTCAGTGAGATGTGGGTTAATCGGAGTCATGTGTATTGGTCTCAGGAGGTCTAGAGGCCTCTGAAGCCTGTGGAGTGGATCTCCGTGTGTGTCCGATGGATCAGAGATGCACCTAGTGACCTGAGCGATGCCTATTTGAGGTAGTGGATGAATGTGCCTTGGTCAGAGAAATCTGTGTGGGTCTGAGAAATCGTGGGACCTCCGTGGAGTCTTTGAGGTGCAGATATGACGTGAACCTGGGACGTGTGCGTGGGTCTGGGAAGTCATGGAGGTCATCCGCACCATCTCCTCCATGTGGAAGCGCACGCCCATGTCGGGCTTTGCTGCGAAGACGCGGTGCAGACTCTGCAGCTCCTGCGACATCGTGCGCATCAGGTCGGGGGGGTCGGCACGGAATCCCAGCACGTAGCCGCCACTCTGCGGGGCACGCAGAGTCCCACGTGAGAATCCGCTGGGTCCCCGTGTGAGAGTCCACGGGGCAACTGTCTGCACCACTGCGGAGATTGTCGCGGTTGTGCCGTGTGGCTTTCCCATGCGTCTTTGGGCTGTCAAGCCTTTTTATTGTTGAGCATGATGTCCGACGTTTCGCTCCACATACTGGGAGTCGAAAGTGGTTTTCCTATGGGTAGACTAACTCCCTGCCGTAGGAATGTGAAATTGTCGTCGCTGGCTCAGGGTTGTAAATAAAACATCGTGCTCATTTGAGCAGGAAATCACATGTGACTTTGACTAACCTCCAGCCATAACTCTAGGCCGAATCAGAACCTTTGCGCATGGTCGAATCACCTCCCTGAATGCGCTCAACCTGGCCAGATCGCGGAAGCTCAGCAGGGTTTGAGCCCGGGTATGACTTGGATAGACAACTACTTTGTCTCATGGCAGGCCTCCCGAAGAAGGCTTGAGACTCCGAGAAGGATCTCGTGGGTCAATGAAGGGGCTCGTTGTCAATGTCCCCACCTCACCTGCTGAGTGCACTCAATCACGAGGGCGGCTCCAAACTTTGAGTCCCGGAGCTTCACGGATCGCTACACAGCGGGAACAGCAACGACATCATCGAGAACAACGATGAACCGCACGGGCAAAAGAAAATGAAACCCCAAAAACTGACTGCTATTTTCTAGTAGCTGTGCATCCCCGGCTGTCTTTTCTTTAAGTTATGGTCAATCTTGCCTCTTGTGGTGACAGAAGTGGCTGAGGTATATGCTCGTGTGTAGTATCTGAAAGATCTATTCGGCCCTCAATAAGGGAAATGGTCTCCATCCCTGCTTTGTGTGTTGTGTGCGTTGCTGTTGTTATAGCCGTAGTGGTCGTGAGGAGCGGTAGTGTAGAGGTTAGGGCACTTTGCTATGAACCCTGAGCTTACTTCCCACTCACAACTTGATATCAGTGACGATGTCCGAGCCGGTCGTGGGCCTGTCCTAGGTCGTCTTGACCTTAAATGAGTACCTGGTGCGGCGCATAAACATCAGCACGGGGGAGACAATGCCACCCGGGCGTGGCGCTGGCCACCCGTGCCCTCGTGTGCCGTAATGGCCTTAATAGGTGCTCACGAACAGCAGCACTTACCCCAATGGTCTGTTAAAGTCTACACGGGGGACATTCGTCTTTCGTTATTGCGTGGGCGGCCACGTTACGCACGATTTGCAGGAAGGGGATGCTGACGTTGAAGCACATGTTCGTGGCAGCGAACCACACGACTCGAATGTTCGTGATGAAGAAGCTACCCAGGTTCCCCTGCAAGAGAGATGACACTCACACCTGTATGGACTCGATTACGACCATGCATTAGTATATATGATTAATATTGCTCTCGGCATATGTCGAGAATGAAACAAAAATGAAAAGTGCACAGAGAAACGTGGAGAGGTGTGCATGCTTGGAATTGCACAGAGAGGCAGGAAGAGGAACACTTCGATTGGAAAACAGACGCAAATCAAAGACCTCATATTGACGGGTTTAAGGATCGTGGGCTTGGGCAGACATCTCTAGAGGGGGGTTATGGTCGATGGTCGAGACCAACGTTGGAGGAGCAGCCAAGGGAGGGATACACGCCCGAGAGTACATCCACCGTGGAGATGGCAGCGATGAACTCGGGTCCCGGGAGGATTGGAGAGATGGCGATGACTCGGATTGATCGTGGCTGACGATGATGATGACGATGATGGTGTTAAGGCACGTGCTCTCACCGTGGAGATGGCAGCGATGAACTCAGGTCCCGGGTGGACTGGAGAGATGGCGATCACTCGGATTGATCGTGGCTGACGATGATGATGACGATGATGGTGTTAAGGCACGTCCTCTCACCGTGGAGATGGCAGTGATGAACTCAGGTCCTGGGTGGACTGGAGAGATGGCGATGACTCGGATTGATCGTGGCTGACGATGATGATGATGACGATGATGGTGTTAAGGCACGTGCTCTCACCGTGGAGATGGCAGCGATGAACTCAGGTCCCGGGTGGACTGGAGAGATGGCGATCACTCAGATTGATCGTGGCTGACGATGATGATGACGATGATGGTGTTAAGGCACGTGCTCTCACCGTGGAGATGGCAGCGATGAACTCAGGTCCTGGGTGGACTGGAGAGATGGCGATGACTCGGATTGATCGTGGCTGACGATGATGATGACGATGATGGTGTTAAGGCACGTGTTCTCACTGTGGAGATGGTAGCGATGAACTCAGGTCCCGGGTGGACTAGAGAGATGGCGATCACTCGGATTGATCGTGGCTGACGATGATGATGATGACGATGATGGTGTTTGGGCATGTGCTCCCACGCTTATCACCGCGAGCCGGTGTTTGCGAACCTGCTCGCTGGACAGGTTCCACACCCCATCCAACCGCCGGCACATCTCTTCTCCGGGCAGCAGCCGCAGGTTCCCATCGCTGATGATGGCCGCGCGCAGCTTCAGGTCCCGGTACATCTTGGACGTCCCGTACGCCCTGCCAGATGCCACGTTGGTGGTCAGCTACAGTGAGGGCCGTCCATAGGTGGGGTACGAGGCCCGGAGCAAATCCCACTGCGTGAGCACCCCCTATGCTTTCAAACTAAACCAGGACTGTATTACATCTGACACCGTGACATCAAAGCGCGGGGCCCCCCCCAAAGTGCGGGGCCCGGGGCGTCGCCCCGATTCGCCGCACCCTATGTTGGTGGGGGTCGTTAGTGATCACTGTCAGTCACTAGATGCCATGTTGACCACCAGTCACGAGACACCATGGTTTGGGTTAATTAACTACCATCGGTCGTATGTCGCCATGTCGATGGTCAGTAGCAATCATTAGTCACCACGTGCCATGCTAGCGGTCAGCGATGACCCTTCGTCACGAGACGCCGTCTCGGCGGTGGGTGGCAATCGTGGGGGGCTCGGCGACCTGCACACGGTGAGGATGGAGGTGAAGAGCCGCGGGCTGCCCGACTCCAGGTTCGTGAAGATGAACTCGAAGCGAGTGTTTCCACACTTGGTGAGGATGTACAGCGCCTCGGTGTGTCCGCGCAGCTTCTGCACGAGCGATACATCCATTCGGTCATTCACTCCGTCGATAAAGAGGGACACTCTTGAGTCGAGAGCAGTGGGGTCCCAAGCAGGGCCGTCTATAGGCGTGACGGGCCCGGGGAAAATCCCACTGTGTGAGCCCCCCCCGATGCCTTCAAACTAAACCGGCAGTATTACATCTGACACCGTGGCGTCGAAGCATGAGGCCTCCCCCCCCCCCCCCCCCCCCCCAACAACTGCGGGGCCCAGGGCATTCGCCCTGATTCGCCATACCCAGGGGATGGCTCTGGTCCCAAGTCCCAACCTGCGCTCCAAGGACCATTGGTAATCTGCAAAGGCGTGGGAAGTGGTCCGCTGAACTATAGCAGTTGCTAAAATGAAGAATAGTTCTCATGTATTTTTGTTAATCTATTTTGAATGGTGCATTGCAGTCCTCTATAATCTTTTGAGTGCTGACAGCGACAGCCAACGGGTCCATAAAGGTTGCGAACCACTGCTATAGAGGGTATGTCGGCCTATTCTCCTACATTGGCCAGGCATCTTGGAAAAGGTGAGCTTGCTCACACTTTACCTGCCGATGGACTGTGGTGAGACCCATTTATACTGCTGAGTGCATAGAGGCGGTGGTTGTGGTGGTGGGTTGGTGTGGGATGGGGGGCGGATTGGGAGACTTTAAGAAACTCGCCCCATTGTTTCCACTGCCGTGCCGGCAGATGGAATTGAACCGGCGACCTCTGGACCGCTCGTCCAGTGTGCTGCCAACCCTTACACCGCTGTGGCAGCCTCGTCCCTAAGATGTGTCACGACGAGAGAGGGAACGGTGGTTCGCTGGGTGACGACGATGCCCGTAATGTGTGTGGGCATCGTCGCACCGGGAGTGGTGGCGTAGCGGTTGGCGCTACGCTGCGCTACGAACCTGGCCGCCCGAGTTCGATTCCCGCTCACGGCCAACACCACCGGTGACGAATAATTATCTGAACCGGTCTTGGGCCTCCCCTAGGTCGACTCAGCCTCAAATGAGTACCCGGTGCGGTGTGTAGTAAACATCGCCACTGGGGAGACAAAGGCGGTCGTGCGTGGTTGCTGGCCACCCACCCCCCTCGTGTGCCCTTCCGGCCTTCATAGGTGCTGCTCGCTAACAGCACTTGCCCCAACAGTCTGTTGAGGCTACCAGGGCCTTTAGGGGCTGCAGCCCAGGAGCCTCCAGAAATTGAAGTGAAAAGTTCTTTCATTTGTGAACGCTGCATTTGTATTTGTTGTTAGCCTCGTAAAAATACATTTTATTTTTCTTGAACTTTGTTTTCCTTTTGAAAATATTACTGGGGGGGGGGCTCACAGTCCCTGTAGCCCAGGGGCTTACACAATCTCAATCGGGCCCTGCTGGCTACACGGGAAGGGATCTTTGTTTTCGGTAGCGACCGGGGGCAGTCGGGGCCGACTCGCACAGGGCGCATGGGGCAGTGCTGCCACGCTCACCGAGTTCACCAGGCGCTTCTCGATGCTGATGACGCAGTTGAAGCCGATGGCTGCGTGATGGAAAGAGCGGTGTGAGGAGCGGACCACTCGGGTACGCGGTGGACATCATCATCATCATTATAATCAACATCATCATCATTATAATCAACATCATCATTATAATCATCATTGTCATCATCACCCGTGGTGATAGGAATGGTGATACCACCGCTGCTGCTGCTGATAGAAGAGAATGATTGTTGCTGCTGATGGTGATGATGACAGTGTCGCCGATGATGGTTATGATGATGTGACAATGTTTCCTGATTATTTTTCTGCCGCTGCCAAAGCTGATCCTACTGATGATGATGATGATAATGATGCCGCTGCTGCTGATTGTGTTGCTGCTGCTGTTGCGGATGATGACGACGGTGATGCTCATGGTGATAATAACGAGGCCTACGATCATGTTGATGCCACTGCTTCTGATGATGACAATGTCAATGATGCTGCTGCTGCTGCTGCAGCTGATGGTGACAGTGATGCTGCTCCTGATGAAGACGAGGACGAGCTGAACTTACTCAGGTTGATGCGGTAGAAGGACTCCGAATTCCAGAGCACGCGCAAGTTGGTGACCACCAGCCTCCCTGGCAGAGGGGCGATCATCTCGGTCACACATCTCTCTCTCTCTCTCCATCGCTCATCAGACGAGACGCCGATCCCTCGCTAAAATCACAGACAACGATCCCTGTACTATATGTTCCGGGTCGCTGGTAGACGAGAGTCGGCGCGTGGCAAGTAGCCACTTGCCCGAACGAGAGGTAATACTGCACGTGGCGTGGTGCCAGTCACATCATTATTTCCTGTCCAGGAGATCTCGGTCTCCGCCCCCCATCTCCCCCCCCCCCCATCTACCCCCCCCCCCATCTCCCCCCCCCCCCATCTCCCCCCCCCCCATCTCCCCCCCCCCATCTTCCCGCCCTCTTCCCCCCCCCATCTACCCCCCCCCCCATCTCCCCCCCCCCATCTCCCCCCCCCATCTTCCCGCCCCCTTCCCCCCCCCATCCCCCCCCATCTCCCCCCCGCCGTACCACTCTCTCCATTGTTCCCCTTGGTGTCCTCCACGGACTCCATCGTGTCCAGCACGAACTCTCCGGCTCGGGGCTTCATCAGCCTGCACAGAGACAAACGCGTGCTTGTAAAGCAACGAGGGAGGAGCGGTGGCGCAGCGATTAGCGCATTGCGCTATGACGTATGGTCAAGCAACCCCAATGTAACGCGGTAAGGGCTTCATCCAGCAGTGGATTGGCAAAGGGCTGTTGCTCTACTTTATTAGCATGAAACGTCGTGATATATTACTTTTTATTTTGTTTAATTTTTCTATCTACGTGACTTTACCGAAAGAAGCAAAGGGTATGGATTCCTGCAGTCACGAAAGCTTCAAATCAAGATTTATTATCATGATTCAAGCATCACGATCCCCGTATAGCCTTTACAGACTGTTGGGGCAAGTGCTGAAGGCAGACACGGCACATGAGGAGGTGGGTGGCCAGCACCACGTCCGGTCGCCTTTATCTCCCTTATAGGGATGTTTACACACCGCACCAGGTACTCAGTTGAGGCGGAGTTGACCTAGTGGAGGCCCAGAACCGGTTCAGATAATCATCACTCGTGTTGGCAGTACCGGATGAAGCTAGTACGGGGCCTGTAGCAAATGTTAGAAAGGGGCCCTAAATAAAAAAAAACGTAAATACTAAAACAAACATTTTTTACTTGCATAGTAAAGTAATTAGATGTTTTCATTTGCTATACAGCCAGATAATACGACAAATCGATAACCTTAAACAACTAGTCGTTCTTAAAAGATGAAGGCAGTATAGTACTATAGTAATAGAGCAAGTGCAGAATCACTAAACCGGAATTTATAGCTTGAACGCATTTAGCGCGGGGCCCTTGAAAGTGTGGGGCCCGTAGCATATGCAGTAGCTATGTGTAGCTACTACATGTGTGCCTACTACATGTGTAGTACATATGTAGCACATATGTAGTAGCTACATATGTTTGTAGCTACTTGTGCTACGAGGATAATCCGGCACTGGGTGTTGGCCGTGAGCGGGAATAGAACTCTGGACGCCGGGTTCATAGCGCAGTGCAATAATCGCTACACGACCGCTCCCCATATGAAGTATACACACACACACAGAGACACGTGAAACCACACACTCACTGCGGCGAGACATCGAAGCGGACTTCTCTGTCCTCCCATAGGGTCCCGCTCGCCGCGTTTCCATCCATGATCCAAGCTTCCCCCAGTCGCCTGCTCCCGACTTGCGCAGCGGCCGAGATCCCCTTCTGCCCGGTTTGGAGATGGGTCCCTCCCTCGCCCTGTGCCATCATCATCATCGCGCGTGGGTTGCGAGAGGGTGATGGCTCTGATTGGTCGGGCTGGTGGTCGAGGTGGATATAGTCAAGGTCGCCCTGAGATTTGTAGATTGGGGCTGAGCCGGGCTAGGAGGCGCAGCTCTCCTGTAATCGCATTAGCAGTATCACGTCACCCGTGAGAGGCGACTCGGGAACGAGGCGTGGGTCGGTTCCAGTGGCGTAGCTACTGAGTGTGCAGGCGGTGCAACTGCACAGGAGGGGCCCATGGTGCTGGGCAATGAAAAAGTCAGGTCCGATGGATGTGGGGCTCTCGGCTCTTTTCATTCCAACTTCAAGTTTTATTTATTAAAATTATCCACATTAAAGAAAGCCTCAATCCCGCACCAATAGCCCGTTTAAAACCTACTCGCTGTACTGCCTCATTTTTCCAACCGAGCACAATATTTTAGGCGTGCATGTATGTTGAACTTCTTTCGCACCCTACATAACCAACTGTGCCAATCGGAGGTGGGTGTATTAGAAGAGACAATTTCCAGCCCACACGCACAATCAAGCACCACAACAACCACACTTGCAGGGTGCACCTGGTGCAAAGTAAAACTTTATTGATGTTATTTTGGTTTGGGTAATTGGCAGATGAAATGCTACGAGTAGGAACGTACCTGGCGAAATGGGTTTAAATGAAAACGACGGTGTTTATTCCACCAAAACACAACAAAAATCACAACAGTGCAAAAGAGGCTTCAAAAAGGTCAGTCCTCGTGTCACCGTCATGACTAAACTATCAACCGACACATGCTGTTGAACAACACTTGGTAAATATAAAATAACAGGGCCGAAGAGGTACCGAGATGATGGCATTGGTTATAGTCATGCAATTATTTTTAAAAAGTGATTTAAAGTCATGTAATGGACATGCAATAATACTCAAGCCACTAAAAAAATACTGACTCTTTTTATCAATGTAAGGTTGCCATCACGACTGACCCGTGGGGTGGGTGATCAGCGCGGCTGTGTAGGTTGCAAAGCTCCACTGGGTATAAACATTTCTGAATACAAAATACTTGATAGTTTTTATCCAATTTAAACAATTTGTTTGCGTGTATATAATGTATCACGCGTTTGCATACAAGTCATATCACGGATAACAAGTGACAATGACTTGGTTATTGCCAGTGTCACTTCCAAGGAGGATTAAGTTATTTGTTTTCCCAGGATGCCACATATGCAAAGGCTGGGTCTAGTGGGCATAACTGATCCAGATTAACACTTCATCAATAAGAACACTTGGATCATATTATCACAAATATACAGGCATCTTTAGCACTGCATGTAGCACAGCACGCAGACACGTACAACTGATCATGGAAGATGTATTGGTTTAGTTCTTGGCAAATGTATAAAATCTGCGAGTATAAAGACTTGCAATTGGAAAATGGAAATTTCAATACCTGGTATGAAGTCAACTCAGCTGTTTCCTCCAGTTTCAAGATAATTAATACCATGGACATAAACAGTTGCTGCCATTTCGAAAGACTTACACTTCCTACAGAAATGTGGAATTTCCAATAGCTGGCTCAGAGCTGTCAAGAGGAGATGAGCAAAGCCCCTTTCCCATTTAAAATAAAACGTAAAAAAAATCCACACTGGCATGTAAGGATGCTACCCACAAATGTTCAATCAAGTCCACACCTCAAGATGCTGCTGCCAGTGTCTTTGCATTGAACTTATGTAGTAATGCTGGGTTGGAGGCCAGGCTTCAGCGATCAAGGGGGCTGAGTGAGCAATGAGGGTGAGTAGGTATTTCAGAATGGCCCCATGCTCTCTCTGGTTATGACCAAAGGTCAGTCTCCTAACTTTGTGAGCAGCGAGACATTGCAGTGAGCGTCACCCAGCTGCCTCGAGATGAGTGGTAAGGGAGAGATTTGGCAGATTGTCAGATCTCCTATGGTAGTTCCATTTAGCAGGGCTGGGCACTGTTGCATGAGCCTGACCACACAGAGGTCCAGTTCAGCTCTTGAAGGAGAATCTGATGAAGTCAACCTCGATATCAACCTGGAAAATCAAAAACATAGAGTGGGCATTTTTTGCAATTTAGTGGCTGTTATTTAAATAGATTAATAGCTTACTGAGATCACCAATTTCTCAAGAGCAAGCAGTGCAACAAAATTGTACATAATTTTAGGGACTGTGAAATGGCCCTTAATGGCCGACTTTCTCCCACAATGTGACAGGGTCCTTCTTTCACAGATCATTCTGATAATTCCAATCAAAACCTTTTGAGATCAACAAACTAGCATCACACACACCAGAACGTTATTTCAATTAATTATGATATTCATTAATCAATAAATTTACCGAACAAATGAAAAAACAAACCCACGAGAGTACTCACAGAATTCTTCTTGTGAAATTTATATGAGGCTGGAAGATCGTATCTGAGTTCCGCAATCACTTCCATGTTCACCTTCCATTCTTCAGCTTTCTTCCGTATATGCTTAAAACACAGACACAACTGCTATTACCGCTTGGCATTGGATCCTTTTATCGGTCTCATCTCATTCCATGAACATGGGTCATACTCAACACTTGCGTGCACACATGCATAGCCGGTAGCGGGACCACACCTGCCTCGTGGCTGTCTTGTGAAGAGAGTAGACGGCCGTGTTGGCGAGCTCCAAACCTGCCTGCAGAAACACCATGTCCATCCCTTCTCACACATGGGCAAAGGGAATAGAGTGATGTTGGACTGAAACCATGTCATTTCTAATAGACGTGTAACGATGATTCAAATCATTGATTGAAATCAATGCTTACCTGCCAAGGTAATTGAATCGCGCATGCACAAATCTATTATTTGTAAATTATCAAATGCAGAATCGTGATGCAGGGAAGGCAGGGGACGAATCGCTAAGATGCGTGGCGTGCCAGGACTCACCTTTGTTTTTCTTGGTGCCGAATGGTGGGTTCATGACGACGGTGTGGAAGGCTTTGCGCCAGCGCGGCTGGTGCAGCGCGCACACGTCGCTCTGCACGACGTCCACCACGCCCACGTCAAACTCATCCACGTTGTGCAGACAGGTCTCCAGCGCCTCCTTGTCCACGTCAAAGCCCACGCACAGGCTGCAATTACACAAAACAAATACAGGTGTAATGGGTTCATTGAGATGACTTGTACACATGTAGACACTCAAAATGTGATTTCAATAAAAGCAAGAAAACTATGTCATTCCATGTCATTAGCCTTTATTCAGACTACTTTTTGAAATGTTGACTCTATTAAATGCTTTTTGTCCTTTTGAATGGAAAAAATCGTGCTAATATTAATACAGTAATATCGATAGAAAATAGTAGATAATACGAACCCAGCACCCAGCATTGCCGCCCCGATGCTCAAGACCCCACAGCCACAGCCCAGGTCTCCCACCAGCTTCCCCTCCAGGTCGTCGTAGCGCGTGTGGATGGTGTGAAGCATACAGGCTGCAGAACAACAACCACCATCGATTACCACCAAGTGGTAGGGATGTCACCATGTCAGGCTTGGTGCATTCTGAGATCACCCAAAGGTTCCCTGGCAGGAGGCTATGGGGTAGACCCAGGTGTTATGGCAGAGGTGTGGAACCTTTAACTTACAGAGAGCCGAATAGTACTTCCAAACACCTTTGGCGGGGCCAATACACACACCTCCGTCACTTCTATCACGGTGTGAGGCCCTTGCTGTAACATAAGTGCCTGGGTTACATTTTTAAAACCAAGTGTTGCCAGTTCGAAAAAAATTCACCTCCAGTGCCCAATGCTTAGAGTAACAAATATGGATTGTGGGCTATTTTGAAGTGGTAGGCCTAATGCTGCAGTGAGTCAGGTGAAATCAAATTATGGGCTGTAGGTCCCCCATCCCTGTGTTATGGGTTAATTAAATAAAACACGCACAGGCAAGCACACACAGAACAGCTAAAATCCCACCGAGAATAAGACTTTAAATAACTGCATACATTTAGGGAATGAAACGGAAATGAGTGTGTGCATGTGAGATAAAGTATGTTAATTTAAGACAACCCGAAGAAACCAATCGGTGCTATTATAGCCATGTCTTTACAGCCCTCAGGGGCTTGGGCATTAAGGGTGTGAACTTGGCGACCTCCACCATATCAGGCAGTGTTTTCCTTCTTTCCACCCTTGCTTAAATTACCTTAGAATCCGTTGCAATTGTGCCCCCTCTCCCACCTCGCGGTGTCAGTGGGAGAGACGCTACCTGCGATGTGCGGCCGCGTGGCGTACTGCTCCAGATGCACCTTGGGCCGAGCGAAGTCGTCCACCTGCTGCAGATTGCTCTCCAGCTCCTTGAGCCTCAGGCGCTTCATGGCTCCACACTGAAACAAACGACAACGGCGTTGCGAGGTGACTGGCTCAAGAGATGCAAGTGCTGAGCCGGCACTGCCGAGATTCTGGGTTTGAACCAGGTTCTCGAGTGGAGCGAGTTAGTGATGGTCGAAGCCCCGATTGGCACGGTTGGCTGCTCACGCTGCGAAAGAAGTTCAATATACGTACATATCAATGATCGGACATCACATTAAATAGCATTCTTCGGTTAATTTGTCAAAATTTCAGACGTAACACTAAAAACATATCGACGTGAATGCCATGCGAAGAACGTCACTCTCGTTTGGCTGAGCGGTTGAGAAAGTGGCGCCCTCTCCTGAGCGAGCCAGATCGTTTGGCGGGATCTCTTGAGATAGTTCTGCGATATCCGCTTCCGCGGGCCCTTCTCCAACACAACGAAGTTGACCTCCTCCGGCACCTCACGGTTGGTTCTGTGGCGCGTGGCCCTAGGAAGCCAAACGTAGCACGTGGCAAAGTGCCCCCCACCCCCCTCGTATGACCTTAGCATACTTTTGAGGGAAAGTGCTGTTAGCGAGCCCCTATGAAGGTTGGTAGGGTACAACGAGGGGGTGGGTGACCACAGCAACCACGGCCAGTCGCAAAAGTATACATCACACTCTTTGGGTCTTTGAGTACAGTCACGTAGATAGAAAAATATTTTTTTTAAAATCACGACGTTTCGATTGCAACACAAACAATCGTCTTCAGGTGAAAAAATACAGCAGGCGAACTGCTGAGGCAGGAGGAAAATATTTCACCTTGAAGACGATTGCTTGTGTTGCGATTGAAACGGCGTGATTTTTTTCTTTTTTTTCTAAGTGACTTTACTGAAAGACCCAAAGAGTATGAATTCCTGCAGTCACGAAAGCTGCAAGTCAAGATGTATATATATACACATCACATCACATTAACATTGACATGACGTTGCCCGTCTTCTGCACGGGAACGCCTTCAGGCCACGTGCTGCCCGGCCATCTCGGGCCGCACTCTCAAGATCCTGAGCCGCATGGCTCACGGGGTGATACCGAATCAACTGAAACCACGACCCCGCCACCAAGAAGGGTCGCGGCGTCTCCCTGCGGCGAGAGAGATGCGGACACGACCAATAACAACAACCATTCACAATTATCGCACAATCGGGAGAGAACTGGGAGGGTTTGGGGGGTAATGCCGTCAACGAAACTCCGTGGCCTCCACAAGGCCCTCGTCCAGCAGCGGGTTAACTAAAGGGCACACGTGTTTGTGTTTGTGTGTGTGTTTGTGTCTGTGTGTGTTTGTGTGTGTGTTTGTGTGTGTGTTTGTGTGTGTCTGTGTGTATTTGTGTGTGTGTCTGTATGTGTGTGTGTGTTTGTGTGTGTTTGTGTGTCTGTGTGTGTTTGTGTGTGTCTGTGTTTGTATGTGTTTGTTTGTGTGTCTGTGTGTGTTTGTGTGTGTTTGTGTCTGTGTGTTTGTGTTTGTGTGTCTGTGTGTTTGTGTGTCTGTGTGTGTGTTTGTGTGTCTGTGTGTGTGTGTCTGTGTGTTTGTGTCTGTGTGTGTGTGTTTGTGTGTCTGTGTGTGTCTGTGTGTGTGTGTGTTTGTGTGTGTGTTTGTGTGTTTGTGTGTGTGTTTGTGTCTGTGTGTGTGTGTTTGTGTGTGTCTGTGTGTTTGTGTGTGTTTGTGTGTCTGTGTGTGTGTTTGTGTGTGTCTGTGTGTCTGTGTGTTTGTGTGTTTGTGTGTCTGTGTGTGTGTTTGTGTGTGTGTCTGTGTGTGTGTTTGTGTGTCTGTGTGTGTGTCTGTGTGTTTGTGTGTCTGTGTGTGTGTGTTTGTGTGTCTGTGTGTGTGTTTGTGTGTGTGTCTGTGTTTGTGTGTGTGTCTGTGTGTTTGTGTGTTTGTGTGTGTGTCTGTGTGTTTACATCACGACAAGTTACATAGACGTGGGCTGCAGTCTCTCGCCGACAGCATTGCTCCTCTCGGCCTACCGTCGCCTCCCCCCCCACCACAACTACAATCGCCATTCGCCACTAAGTAGCGGTGACGTCACCACGACGCTTGTGCCAGGCTAGGTGCACCTTGAGGCCACACACAGACAGCCCACACCGACCTCCTCGGGATGAGGCTGGGGGGGATCAGCGACGCCGGACAAATCGCGTTGCTCCTTCTCCTCCTCCTCCCGCTCCCTCCTGCTTGGTGTCGTGGCGACTCTCGGGGCCAGCGAGAGCCTCGATGTTTGGCGAGTCGCCGGTCGACTCGAGGCGACGCACAGAGCGAGAGCGAGAGGACTTTGTGAAAGAAACGCGTCGTCAAGGCCGGAGTTTATCAGCTACACTGAGCGCTGACATCTTGACGGCGAAGGGGCCGCGGTGAACAGCGCCGACGACTGTCCGCTCTGGACTCGTCCACGACGGCGACGACGACGGCGCCAGGGACCGCCGTCAAACTCGGGACGCGTCGCGTTGCTGTCGATGGGGCCGAGGAGCAAGGGGCCGTCCGTGAATGACGTCACGCGAGTTTGGACTATTTTTGACCCCGCCCCCTCCTCGTCGTCACGCGGCGTCACAAAAAGTCAGACCCCCCCCTCTCAAATGTGACGTCACAAAGCTCTGCCCCCGCCCCCATAAACATATTTCCATTTTGAAAATAAAACATGCTTCAAATCGTATTCTTGATTCTTTCGGTAAAGTCACGTAGAAGGGAAGTAATAAAATAATACAAATATATAATTTAATATATTATTTTATTAGTTCCCTTCTATATAAAGCTTTGGCTCCGAAGACGAGACACTTTGCAGGAAATATCCATGATGTACATATTTTTTAGAGTGAAATTTTAGCTGTACAGTATTTGCATAGCCCTCTTTAGTAGAATTTTCATGGGTTTGAATCTTTTCAACATTTCATTTTTACCTCAGCAACACACTATTGAGGCAATATCCATGATGTATTTATTTAATAGTGACATTTTATTCTGAAATTTTATACTAGCTTTACTACCCGGCTTCGCCCGGGACTTGGATTCTTGTACCTATGTTTTTCTATGATATTTTTTTTATCTATATATATTCTCTCTATATCTTATATTCATCTTTAGAGAAATATTTGATGCTAAAATATGAGTAAAAAATGCGTGAATCTTTATTTAAGATGTGCTAGACCCGTGTATGTGACACCAGGTACAGCTAATATAATTTCAGTGTAAAAAAGAGTATTTAGTATATCTTCAATTATGTAATAATCAAATCAAACACGCACTACATGATAAATATGCTACATCTCAATGTTGTCGATATTCTACTGCTTGTGACTATGGAATAGATAATACTAATTGCGCGGCTATTTATTTATATACTGCACGTTCCATTCTGGCCGGATCGTGTGTGCGAATGTTTGTGTAGGGGTGTTAGAGAGAGGGCCCGTTATGCATGGCAGTCTATGGGAAACAAACACAGTGGGCGGGGCTACGTGTGTGCACAGGGAGATGCCCTCTGCGACGTCCGAGCCAGACACCCTGGGGGGGGCTGGTTCGGCGTTACGATCCCCCGGGGCCCCACCCCTCAAGGAGGGGTTGGGTATAAAAGGGGATGTTATAAGGGCTCGAGTCAGTCATGTTATAAGCTAACCAAGAAGACTGAAGACGTCTTAGATAGAGCCCTGGACTCCCCTCGTTCGATGTCCTTATCAGGGCCGGACAGGACAGAGCCAGTGGCGTGGTCCCGAGAGCCAGAGCCGGTGCTCTTGTAAGAGCTGGTCTGGGACTCCGGGTACCGGGCCCGACTTACCAGTGTCGGGCCAGACAGCCTCCCCTAGCTCACGAGTGGAGGACTAAGAGGCAGGCTAGGCTTAGCTAGGAAGTGTATCCTTAGCTAGTCGGGTGAGGGGGCCGATACCCCCTCCAGTGCTGTATGTCACATACGAGCTGTGTTAAATAAATATCCGTGTGCCTCAACCTCGGCGTCAAGTGTCTTCACCGGTACTTCATTTGCTTTGGTCTGGCGGGCAAACCACGTGCAGTGAACTATTGCACGCTCCTCTTTGCTGTGCCTAATTAAGTTGTGCAGTACAGATGTTTGATTTCTGGCAATATATGTAACACACGTATTCAATATACAAGGACATTAGCTACGTTTCTGTGTTTATGTTGCCAATAATGAAGGATATTCTCAATAAGTTCATGAAATATATTTTTTAAAATCCATATATATATCAACCCATACGGTTTACCCGTATTCTTGTCCACGGAAATTGGGTTTTCAGATCCATACGGCGTGCAGCCGTTTCCATATGGGCAAAAAATAGTCTGTGTTTTTCCCTTGTGATGGGACTTTGTAGGATAAACATTGAGATGTATAAGGGCACGGGGTGACCAATAAGGTCTGTATTGGCCTGTAATAAGTTAGGCACTGATAAGGGCTTGACAGGTTTGATTCAATCAAACATATAAAGAAGAAACAGCACGTAAAATGCCATAAAGATAACTAGTGCACAAATATTGTTGTTATTTAAAAACAGATATTTGACAAGTTCGTTTAACCAGAGAGCAGGTTAATCTCATTTGCAAGAGTGATCTGAGTCAAAGGACAAAAATAATCAAATAAAGTACCTGGACTGTAATAACAGCCAAATAAAATGTGCACCCTTGCAAATTAGACGTATCCTGGTCTCTTGAGTTCTCCCCATGGTTAAACAAAATAAGGCAAGTACATGCTTTAGAAATTCAACTGTATGCTCACAGAATCCCCAAAAGATGGTTAGAATGCATAAATGTGGGAGCAGACGGGAGACCATCCATCAGTGGATAGATCATCGCTGATGATAATCGAGGCTCACTACAAATATGTTAACTTTTGATTTTATTGTTAATTAGCAGCTTAACAGTTAAATACTTTTGCAATAATTGACTTACACATCACACAATTGGAAACTGCATCAGGTGTAAAGCGTGAGGTTCTTAAATTCCTTGCCTCTGTTGGCAACAGGGCCTTCACGACAGAGAGCGCTAGAAATCCGTCTAGAGACGAGAGTATTTTGTCTACTCTGCCATGCTGGCCAGAGATGAGAGTACCCACACTTTACCCCACCACATGCTATATCTGCCGATTGACTGTGGTGTACCCATCAATACTCTGGGTGGACAGAGGCGGGGGCGATTTAAGAAACGTACCCAGGGGCTCAAATATCGTGCTGGGAGTTCAAACTGATGATATCTGCATTGAAATTCCAGTGTGCTCACCATTACATCATGATAGCATCCGAAAACTACACTTGATTAACTTAAATTACATTGGGCTCCCTAACACGATTCACATTCACACGTTTCATTTTGGCAGGTGCAGTTTGATGGTTCTCACAGATCCGGCATGCTATGCTCACACTAGTCACGTGACATTGATGTTGATTATTCGTGGTAGATTGATTTCTATGACTTTTGTATAAGAGATATTTGATCTGTGATCCAGCCCTTTTGACACCAAGGGTTGATTAATCACTAAGATATTTGTGGAGCTTCTAAACCCGCTGGCCTGCGAGATGGCCAAAATGTGACTGTACAGCAAATATGTTCGTGAACCAATTTCTGTGGTGGGGTTTCTCATCATTTTAATTCACAATAAGCAAAACACTCAATAGATAACTGTAAATTGGTAAAATATCACCATACAGGACTCTCCTGAAAAGGAATCTTTAGATTGGTATAATTATAATAAAAACTAAATCTCATTATTTAAATTGCAACAACAAAACAGCATGTGAGACGTAAACCAAAAATAGCATAACAAATTTCGTGATTAAATATGATATATTAGATTTAAGACAAAGTTTTCCTTAATCGAATGTATTTCTTTCATAAAAAAATACTTTTCTCAAAATAAAAGATATGACTTGAAATGTTTTTGTTATATATACATCAATCCCTCACCAACCACGTGCGTTTCATCCGCCGTATATATGCATCCACGGTTTTCCTTCGGCATACCAATTTACTAACCGCGGTATGGAGTTTTTTGTATCCGCAGTTGAGCACGGAGACCGGCACTTGTGATTTAAAATCACCCACATCTCTTTTCCCTCCGTGCATCGTCTCATCTCCCAGCACCCACCACCGCTCTCTTCCCACCAGCCAGAGGTCGCAACCGGGTACCCGATACCCGTACCCTACCCGATACCCGGCTACCCGTACCCGGCCAGGTACGGGTACCCGTTTGCGACCCTGGTGCGGCCGGGTACGGGTACGGGTAAGGAATCAAAACCCGTTTGCGACCTCTGCCACCAGCACGTGGAGGTAGAGGGTGCCCAAAGCCCTTCTTCGATCAAGCAACCACCATTAGCTGATCATCAGCGCCATCGTCGTCGCCACGGACTTCAACCCTCAGTATTCTATTTGTGTTTAGTGAAGGAACAGGCAACTTTGGCTTTGACGAGTGTGAACGCGCCCATGGTTGCTCTAATCCCATATTTCCCTTAAGGCGTTCATATAGCCAACCGCGGTTTTTGCCAACCACACCGGATTTCAGGAACGTACCTTCGCGGTTTGGCGAGGGATTGTTGTATTTAAAAGGTATATTTTATTTCCCCAAATAATATCTTCACCCGCCACCTACGGAGTTCAGAGCGCGGCAGGCGGAGTGTAGCGGTTCAGGAGACGCTGAGCCTCCCTCCGTCCGCTCATAAGCGCTCCGTGTGTGGTCGTGTAGAAGTTCACGTCCGTCGCCTCGCCTGCGAACAGCACCTGCAGGGAGGTCCGACACAAGGCAAAGTAATCTAGTGCTCATTCACATTTCAAGTCTCAAGTTTATTTTAATTACCTCGTCATGCGTAATCATGTTGTCCGCCGTGTGACTCGTGTAAGTGTGTATTACCTGTCATATGCATGATTTATGACGCATCTGTAAAGTTTGGAAAAAGCCGGGGCTTAATTTCAGCCGGGTCTGTCTGGGCTGGCAGCCAAGAAAATATTTCTACTCTTGGTACACCACGTTCTCTGTGCCTCTTGCGTTGGCTGAGGATACTAATCATGTGCCTAATCCGGTCTACCAACGACCTGGAAAATCTTCAGTGAAAAATTAATCCCTCGTCGAAGCTCTAACATTCTCGGTGCTCATACATTTGTCAATGCCCGTTGCAGCTTTGCTCACTGGGCAGCCGAGCTAATCGCCTACCCCTCAAGGCCATGGTGCACATTCAAGGAAATATTCACTGGCAGTTGTCACTGTGATATTTGCAGCACTGTTTTCTTTTTTAAAAAATTTAGCTGTTGAAATTTGGATAGATCTGAAGGCTTCTCCTCCGAGTAAGCAATTGGAATGACAAATTCCAATGAGCTTACAGACAGAGGTCACGTGACTCTCCGATGTCACGTGCTCTGTACTACCCAACACTATTCATCAAACATACTTTTTTTTTAAATTGGCTACATAGAACTCCGTCACTCTCTGCCATTGCCGTAGCAAGTGTACATAGTTGCTCATAGTAAATGTGTTGCTGGTGACAGTTGCTAATGACAATTACCCTAACTTTTCCTCAGTTCACGGATAAGGATGTGCATGCATATAGGGCGCTTGAATGCCTCAGCAACTCAAGGCGCTTGACATCACATCTCATGTCTACCAATCCAGTGCGTCCTGCAGTCGAGCTAAGGGGGGTGGCCCTTGTGTGAACAGCAGTCTCTGTGTGGCGGCGCAAAGTAAGACTCAGCAGCGGCCTGAAAATGGACATCGGTCTGCCAGTTGTGGGCAATTATCTTGAGGCTGGGTGGCAATGGGCAGGTTGTTAAAACTATTAATCTATTTTTTTATCAGCTGAAGCCCACAGAGCTATATAGCACATTTCCGGGAGGGACCTGCCCACAAATGATAAGTCAGTGAAATGACTCATCCTGTGGACATTAGCAGCCAAATACTCTCAACATATGTGGAAGCAAAAAACAGAGAACCCAGAGAAAAATGCACGCGACCATGGGGACAGAGTCATGCAAACTCCAAATATACAGGTGTCAGGGTTGGGATCGAACCCACGACCATCCTGTATACCAGGCAAGGGAGTTAACATCTCGCCACTGCGATGCCCCAATATGAGGAGCGACAACTCCAATGGGAAGCTGTCTAGGAGGTGGGTGGAGTGGGATTGTTGAGGGAGGTGTATTTTGGGGTCTCGCCTGGGGGTCCCTGCGCCCAGGTACAGGCTCGGCCAGGGCTTGCTGCTCCGTGCGCGCGTTCACCCCGAGGGGGATGTAGGTGTAGGCGCCCTGGAAGAAACGATCCTTGTTCCACGTGGTCACCAGCACCTGCACCAGCCGGCTCACGGGCAGCCGCGTGAACTGCCGCAGCAACCTGCGAAGAAGCAAGTGCGCACAGAGTCGTCAAACCCACTTACACGTATAGCTCTTGTAGCTACGCACCCAGGCCGTGTCCAGGGGCCGTCCGGGATGAGTTAGAGTCGGATTTGTTTATTAGGAATGTATATTTTTGAATAACGGTCATGATGAATGACTGGGTGGCTCAGGGTATCAACAATAACAAAAACCGCCATTCGCTACTAAGTGGCGGCGACATCACCACAGCGCTTGTGCCAGGCTATGTGCACTTAACCGTTCGGATAGCTACCGTCTTAGTGCTGCGTGGAAGCGAATCATCAAACAATACATGATTTAAATGCATGCCTGCACAGGGCAGCGAACTTCAATAGGGATCACCGTTGGTAGGGCTATTTAATAAACACAATAGACAGGAAGGACAATTTCAAAGCGCTGGCATAATGCACACGCATAATGGATTTGCCTCGGTAATCTCCCCCCCCCCACCCACATTGTGCAAGAGCGCAGAAGGGTGGTCATCACATCTACGCCTCTATATAAGGAACGAAACAGGTGGACTTCTCCACAAATCTGGCTGTCGCCTGATGACGCTAGTTGTAATTACTGGCGAAACGTCGTACTCAGATTATGAATGTTGTGGCTTGGCTCTCCAACACACCGGTGTGCTGTACTAGTGACGAATTGGCCACGTTCTGTTTACGTGACAACCCTCACTAGGTGGCTGTGTCGGGCGGTGGCGGGTTTTAACGACACATTTATATATTTACGCGCTCTAACCCAAAAAAACCCTCGATTATGGATGATATTGGTCGCGAAAGCTTACGTTTTAAACATTTCTTCGACTGCTATGCGAAGCGCATCTCAGGAGTGAAGTGCACACGGAAGCGTGCCCTCTCAATGTGAATAAAATTGTCACCTGAAGCAACATCATGAATAAAATAGCAGCCTCCATCCTCCATAAAAATAGGAGGCAAAATTATTCAATGCGTGTTGACTGATTGAAACACACTCGTAACTAGGGCAGATATCAAGCCCTATTAATATCGCGATGGGTAACTTCTCCGCGCTGCCTGTGCCAGGCTATGTGCATTGCACACACAACCGCGCCTGTGATAGAGCCATGCTCGTTACCTCACACACACGTCCCCCACCACGCTTGACTCCAGCGTGTCCATGTGCCGCGCCTCCCTGCCAGTCACCCAGCCGCACAGCACGTTCGGGTGCCGTGCCACCGAGTTGAAGCCGGTGATCTTCTTGTACCAGCTGTCTTGCCACGAGCCTGCAGCTCTGGCAGATCCTCCTTCCCGACCTGCTGGGACCTCCAACGTCCTATCGTGCACGGCTCGATCCTCTGGCCCCTCGTTCCACACGAACTGCATACTGTCCCAGCCGTGCGGCCAGAAGGGCCTCTCGAACTCCAGGAAGATCTTGCTGACGGCGCCGAAGCCCAGGCGCTCGATGGCCCTTAGCTTCCTCGGTGGCAGCGGCGGATGGAACATGGAGGCCCCGTTGGTCTGCGGGGAGGGTGCGTTGGACAGGTCACAATTGAGGAGGCAGTGCTGTCTGCTGCGCGTATAAGATGTGACTGTTGGTGTCGACGTCTAAACAAATGGACTTTTGCCACTTCTGACCTGCTAGTCACAATAGGGGTTATACTGTGTTTCTTAATTACGAGGGTGTTTCAATAACGAAATATACTATTTAATGATTGTGTAACCTGTTATGGAGATTTACGTGAGAAAACATGCATAGTGATATGATAAAAATAATATCGTGGCACCCTTGCATGAATGTACATTACAAGAACAGACCATTGTGAGTCGTTTTTTTCCTCCCCTGAGAGTATAAGGCAAGTGATTTTATCAAAGAATAAATGTCAAATATGGTGACTGAATTTTGCAACACTTACACATGGGTGGCACATCTGCAATGAGGATGCGAGAGCATGTTTGCGATGATAGAAGTGCTAGGGCACGTGATGCTTCAGCTTCAGCCAACATGGCTCGTGTCGAGAGTTTATTTTGAGTGGCAGATGAGCACATATAGCATCGATCATAGGGAAGAGTGGCAACGATTCACTCAATAATCCATGACAAGTTGAATTTCCAAAAAATGTGTCGGTTGGGTCTTCCAAAATGTTAACATAAGACCTTAATATTCTTTGGGTCTTTCGGTAAAGTCACGTAGATAGGTTCCAAAAAAATAGCCAAAAAACCGACGTTTCGATCGCAACGCAAGCGATCGTCATCAGGAGCAAAGAGCAAATGACGATCGCTTGCGTTGTGATCGAAACGTCGTAGTTTTTTTTTTGTTATTTTCTTTGAACCTATCTACGTGACTTTACAGAAAGACCCAAATAACATGAATCCCTGCAGTCATGACAGCTCCAAGTCAAAATCTAAACACCTGTTTTATTGCCAGAAAGGGTAAAACATATTCTTATTTTCTGCATTTTTGCAACACAAGCGATAGTCATCTGGAGGAAGACCTTAAAGCAAACAGGATGTGCGTTTATCGATTAGCCAAAAGCCCCCCCCTCCCCCCCCATGAGAGCTATGAATTGAAGAAGTACAGCACATGGCTACCCCTCCATCTGTGTAAAGGCTTCTATCCACCCACCTACCTCCTAGAAATTACGGACATCGTTATTATTACGAGCACAGTACTAATTCAGTGTTATCATTGAGTGGTGAGCTAGAGGACCTTCAGGTATCCCAGCGACACTGTGACGATGACGTGATCAGCGTGGAACTCCGATCCATCCTCGCACACGACCCGCACTGGGTGGGCACCTGCGCCTCCCTCGGCTGCGGTCTGTTCTGTGCGGAGGCCCCAGTGGATGGAGGACACCGCCTTGTTAAAGATCACGCTGCCCACGGGCAGGCGATCCACCAGCGTGTCCACGATGGCGCTGAATCCGCGGGGCCCCAGCGAATTGAAGAAGCGGCCCTCAAACCCCGAGTAGTGACCCAGCTCCGAGAGGTCGAAGTCGTACATGGAGGAGCACGCTTCGTCCGTGCACTCGATGCGCTTGCACCACTCGAACACGCCTTTGCTCGCCTCGTCCCAGGATCCTGACGACGACGACGACGAGAAGAATTTTTCATCCAGGAAGTCTCCCACGCTCCTGTGACCCGCTGCGGCGGAAGGAGCCTCGGTGCCACCAGTGCCCCCGTACACTCTGTCGGTCTCTCCGAATGCGTCACCCATGATCTCGCTGAAACGCTTGCAGACCTCAGACACTGTGCCCGAGGGCAGTCGCTCTCCGCGTTCCGTGAAGAAGTGGTCCACGTCTGGCAGGTAGCAGCTCGGCTCGCACATGCGGTACTCCTCGTGATCATCCCGGTCCTTCTGTTGATCCCCTCCATCCTGGCCGCTAGCCCTGCCAGTGGCCAGCAGTCCGTGCGTCTGGGCGAGCCGGTACAGGGGGTTTCCATTCTCTCCGTGGATCCACGCAGCGCCCAGCTCGGCGGCGTGCCCCAGACGGAATGGCCGAGCCGTGTGGACGCGACCTCCGGCTCGCTCGAGCGCCTCCAGCACCAACAGCTTGGATCCCCGGACGCCGCTCTTGGCCAGGGTCACTGCGGCTCCGAGTCCCGCTAATCCGCAGCCGATGATGAGGATTCGCGGTCCGCTGCGTGGCCACGGGCGAATAATTCCCCCCGTCGCCTCCACATCTGAAAGGTCAAACGCGAAAAAAGTAAAGTGGCCGGGTGGGCCAGAGGTCAGAGACGCTGAGCTGGCACCACTGCGCCTGGGCTCCCTCACGATACTCTGAAAGATGTTGAAGGTGCAACCGTGCGATTTCTTACTCAGGCCATTACTGGTTCAAGGACTACAGGGAGCTCTAGACAGCCCCTCTGGAGGGTTTTCGGCCTTCGTTTCCACACATGTTTTGTTGCCAGAAAAAAGGGGAAAACCGATTCCCATATTTTGGTACTGGCAAAGGAGGTCCCGTGAGTATGTATGTTGAACTTCTTTCGCACCGCACTTAGTAAGCCGTGCTACTCTGAGGTTCGAAATCGGAGGTATGTCGCCTATATACAGTAAACTCTCTCTATCCGCGAGGTTTACGTTCGTGAAAACGCTCGCAAATGCAGAATTCGCGAACGCAGAAACCTTGTTCCAAAAGTTGAATAACAATGACTACAAGAAAATAATAAATTATCAGTGACAATTTTTGTTTTAATTACCCTTGATGACGATTTGACGACGAGGGGGTTGGTGGTGGTGAGGAATTCATGAGGATGACTCCTTCGGGAGATGCACGGTGTTTGGTAAAACAACGCAGCACATCTGTTATAATTTTAGCCTTCGCGTGAGCAGCTAGCAACAACACTTTTCCCTGATCGCGTTCGTTTTAAGGGACCTCACACTTGACTCGTTGATACCAAAGCATGTATAAACGAGTTGACTGTAAGTACTGCAAGTAAAAAAATGCACAATGCAGGAGCGAGTTGAGAGCGGGATTACTGTGTGTACGGCGGGTCTCGAGTATAGGCAATTCGTGTGTGTTCAAACTCTTTGGTTCTTTCGGTAAAGTAACTCCGTGACCTTACCGAAAGAGTATGGATTCCTGCAGTCACGAAAGCTTCAAATCAAGTGCGTGTTCATTTACGAACTCGCGCATGGGGTTTAACAAGTGACGGTGACGTCCCCGACAGCGCTTGTACCAGGCTAGGTGCACGTGTAGTGTGGAAGGGTCGCTGGCAGGAATTCACTGGACAGACCTGAATATTGTTTGGGTGCTTTTGGCACGAATGACGTGATATACAATACACACGTTTAATTATGATGGCTTAACTGGCTGAGATAACTGGCAGATGCAATACCTGCATCCAGAGTGGTGCCAAAAAGTTGTCACAACACGCAAAGTTTGCCCCTCAGAGTTTTAACAGACTGTTTGGGCGAGTTCTTTTAGGCAGCACTTATAGTATGAAGGCCGACACAGCACACGAGGAGGGGGTGGTTGGTCAGCACAACTCCCGGCCGCATTTGTCTCCCTCGTGGCGATGTTTACGCACCGCACCAGGTACTCATTTGAGGCTGAGTCAACCTAGCGGAGGTCCAAGACCGGTTCAGATAATCGTCACCGCTGTTGGCCGTGAGCGGGAATCGAACTCGGGTGGCCCGGGTTCGTAGCGCGGCGTGCTAACCGCTGCACCACCGCTCCCCGCTCCCACGCACGGACACAACCGCACTCACGCACACTCGCACGTGTGATTTGATTACCTTCGGGACGCTCTCGGAAAACATTTGCGTTCATTTCCGACGTGGAGCCTCGCGCGGAACGGTCACAAGACGGGCAGGGAAGCAGACGGGCAGACAAGGAGACAGACAGACAGGCAGGCAGGAAGACAGGCAGGTAGGTAAACAGGCAGGTAGACAGACATGCAGACAGGCAGGTAGGTAAACAGGCAGGTAGTTAGACAGGCAGACAGACAGGCAGGTAGGTAGACAGGCAGGTAGACAGACAGGCAGGTAGACAGGCAGGAAGACAGGCAGGAAGACAGGCAGGTAGGCAAACAGGCAGGTAGTTAGACAGGCAGGTAAACAGGCAGGTAGACAGACTGGGAGATAGACAGACAGGCAGACAGGCAGACAGGTAAACAGGCAGGTAGGTAAACAGGCAGGTAGTTAGACAGGCAGACAGACAGGCAGGTAGGTAAACATGCAGGTAGTTAGACAGGCAGACAGACATGCAGGTAGTTAGACAGGCAGACAGACAGGTAGACTGACAGAGCGAAATATGGGCAGATAGCAAGAGTGACAAGAAATCAAGATGACAGGCAGACGGACAAGCAGATCAATAGAGACAGGCGGATATATAGACACACACACACAACACACGTACACACAGAAAACTCCACACGGACAGACGCGCACAGAGAGACACCGAGGCGCGCGCGCGCGCACAGAGACGCCGGCTCTGACAAGGAAGCTGACGCGGGCGTCTTTGGTGAGCTGGCACGCCGCTATATTTAACCCCTTTGTGCCGCCTGCGTTTTCCACTCCGTGAAGCCCGTTAAAGACGGGCGGTGCAAAGTGCGCGGCGCGCGACCACGTTGGGACCAACAGACCATGGTCCAACACGGGCCCTGACCAATCTCTTCACGGAGCAGTGATAAACGACGAATGCACGCACGCACGTCCACGCACGTACAAAGATAAAAACAAAGATCCCCCGTATAGCCTTTAACAGACTGTAGGGGCAAGTGCTGTTAGCGAACACCTATGAAGTCCGAAACGGTACACGAGTGGGTGGGTGGCCAGCACCACGCCCGACCGCCTTTGTCTCCCCAGTGGCGATGTTTACACACCGCACCAGGTAATCATTTGAGGCTGAGTCGACCTAGGGGAGGCCCAGGACCGGTTCAGATAATCATCACTGGTGTTGTTGGCCGTGAGCGGGAATCGAACCCGGGTCGCCGGGTTCATAGCGCAGCGCGCTAACAGCTACACTACGCACGCACACGTGCGTACAAATACATATAACTCCCGTTCGCCACTAAGGGGCCGTTCATAATTGACGTCACGCGATTTTGGACGAGTTTTTATCCCCCCCCCCCCCCCCATCGTCACACGACGTCACAAAAAGTCAGACCCCCCCCCCCTTCTCAAATATGACGTCACAAAGCTCTGCCCCCCTCCCCCCCAAAAATAAAACATGCTTCAAATCGCTTTAAACTATTGTCATTGTAGTGCGTAATTAATGTGGCGCTGCACTCTGATGTTGTAGGAGAAAACATTTATAAAATAAAAGTCTATTTAATTAAGTAGAACGTGTTGTCTATATTTATTTAAAGTTGCGCATTTTGATGTCACGTGACATTTCTCACCCCCCCCCCTCGTCACACATCGTCACAAATGTCTGACCCCCTCCCCAGACGTCATTTATAGACGGCCCCTAAGTGGCGGTAAGGTCACCACGGCTCCTGTGCCAGGCTTGATGCACGCTTAGGCCATGTGAAGTGTCCAGGGCTTGCTGTTGGTAAGGAGGTCACGGGTCGGGCCAGGGTAAGATGACTGCCAGATGTACCGTCTGTGCTCCCACCGCTGTACCAACGTCCAGCGTTTTATCAGCCCTGCGCTCCACTCGCTGTTGTGAGCGTCGCTCCTCTGCCCTCTGTTGTTGTTTGAGGGCGACTGCCTCCAACTACCCAGTAGCGTCCTTCACGAAAACTCCTCCTCCACCGAAGCCGACCTTGACACTGCTGGTACCAGCCAAGTTTTTTCCAGTAAGGGCGATGGTATAAATGTATATTTCAAGTATAGCAAGTTACAAGTATTTTTAAATCTTATTTGGACCATCACTCCTGTACACAGTGGCATGCTATTGTGAATGACATCACAGGATCCTTCACATGCATTGCGTAGCAGACCGCGAGTAGTATGTTTGTGGTTAAACCACTCGCGTTAATAACCAGGGCGGCTTCTGTATTCGAACTGTGAATCTACAACAAGCGGCGAGTGTGCGACCGATAGGCCCCGTTAAAGAGGCCATCGCGAAGGGATTTAATGGCACCACCAACAACCTCGTCATTGATTTCATCCCTTCTGCCAGATGCTACAGACACCCAAACCTCCAGGGCCTTGTCGAGACTTCTGATCTTGCTTGGGCGGTGACCGCTGCCAAAGTTCGACTCCTATTCTCGACAAGTGGGATCAAAGTCACGCTGGAGCGGCCTTTGATTCCATAAACATTTACACGAGGTGGTGGGGGGGGGGGTTAAAAAAACTGGACAATGTCACGAGACACATCTTGCTGTTTAATGTTTGGCAAAATACAGGAACAAAATATCCCATACTTGTATTACTATTGATTGTTGAAAGGTGTTTTTACATGACTTGTTCAGTGCGAATCCAATTAATGTATTTGAAATCCTTCATGCATTTCGTATGTATGTTGAACTTCTTTCGCACCGTACGTCACCAACACCATGCTCATGGGAGGTGCATTGCTGATTTCACTGCAGACCTGCATGTTTCTTTTCTTTTAAAAGCGAAAGCCTTTTACTATGACAAATGAATTATGTTCTATTGAGGCATTACATCTAAAAATAATAATAAAAAATTCTCCTTCAGCCTATTGGTTTTCCAGCCAATTATTATCAAGCTGCCTGCTGTGTGACCATTATCTTCTCGGCATGAGCATTCGGTTTGGACTCTCTTGTCCACTCCCCTCCTCCCCGCCCCCCACCCTCCCCTCACTAAAGCTCACACGGCTCCGTGTTTGATCACCAACAGTCGCTTACCTGCGGGGTTTGGCGTGGGGGGAGGGGCGAGAGAGAGAGGGTCACCTCCGGTAAGTCATCACGCGACAGCGCGTGCGCCTCGTTGTGAAATCCGCGGTCAAGCTGCAAACTGTTCAAAAATCGCTCCTGCTCTTCTGCTGACCTCACAGTCTGAAGTAATAGCTCAGCCTCGTCGTCCTCCCTGCTGAAGACATCTGCCTTTGACCTTCTGCCTCCTCTCTACACCACTCTGACCTCCCACGAAGCCTCATCCCAATTATATCACCTCTTCTCTCACCCAGCGAGCAATGTTTATACAGCGCGGTCGCTGTGCATTAGAGATGCGGTCGAATGTCGATCATTTGTAGATCCACATTGTGTTACATGTGTAGTGGGTAAATACTTGGAGAACTTCTTGTGATGCAACACGATATTTATTAACAATCTGGGCACAGGTCCCTAACACGAAGAGGTAACGGCCCCTTCCACCCGACACCTAAAGAGGTGAATGGCCTCAGGGCTACACGACCGCCTAACACTGGGACCACCCTGCACGTCTTTGTATCCCTCCGGCGAGGGGGCTCTAGGGGGCTCTAGGGGGCTCTAGGGGAGACTATCCCAACCCGACCGTGCCAAGGTGTACGGGTCCTGACCTCTGGTCCGCTCAGACCCGGCCCTTAGAAGGACATCGGGAGAGGGGAGCCCCATGGTCTCACAACCGGCCACACTCAGCTCCAGCCCTGCGAAGGGCAGCGGAGATTGTGGCCCAGGGTCCTATTCTAGCCCCGTCTTCGGTCTTCGTACTGGTATGACGACTGAGCTGGACCCTTGAGAGGTCCGGCTTATATAATGGTTCGTGGCTTGCTCCGCCCTAGCCACGGCTCTCTTCCAGAACTTTCTGGAAGGTGCCATCATCCCCCAGTCCTCCCTCCCGCGGTCCGGGGATTGTGTCCCAGGATCCACTTCCCAGGGATTGTCGTTGACCCCTTTGGACCATGGTCACTAACCCCGGCGTGATAGCGCTTCCGCCCCCTGTTGACGAGAAGGGGCAGCTACCAGCCAACAGAATGGGGAGTGTCGATTAATGCCTCGACACATGAATGCGTGCACACGTGTGGCAATGTGCAAATGGGAATGTTTACAAAATAAAGGTCACGGTCAAAATCATGATGGTCAGTACCGCACCGGGCCGCCCTTGTCTCCCCAGTACTAATGTTTACACACCGCACCAGGTACTCATTTAAGGCTAAGTCGACCTATATGATGGTCAGGGCCAATTCAGATGTCTGTCACCGATGTTGGCCGTGCTGGAGTCGCCAAGTTCAAAGCGCAGCGCGCTAACCTCTCACCAGCGCTCTCCACAAACAGACATACAACATCCACACACATGCTGACCCATCACCCAGCAGTAAAACAACAGGGATTTGTTAAGAAGCACCGGCTTACTCATTTACCCGCAGACTCTCCAGGGCCAGACACGTGTGTCCGCTATCCTGGCGTGCACACACTCATTCACGCTCCCGTTCGTTCATCGTTAACGTCATTAACTCCGCGTGCTGTCGGGATGCACTGAGAGGCGAGAGAGAGAGAGAGAGATGCAGACTGGCCGTGCCATTCCCCATCCTCTCGTTATTAGGTAACACGCGTCGTGCGAGTGAGTTCTTCACAAGCGCGTGGCACACTCGGAGTCACGCGCCAGGTCTCTCAGGTGAGCTTGCCATTCTTGATTTGAAGCTTTCCATACTCTTTGGTGCTTTCGGTAAAGTCACGTAGGTATAAAATAAATCACGACGTTTCGGGCGCAACACAAGCGTCCATCATCAGGTGGGAAAGCGTGGTCTGCTGGTGAGGCAGACTGTTTTAAAAGGTTTGAAATGGGTGTAGCACAAGGGTCATAAGGAATTGGCCGGGGCTAGTGATGTTAATGTGAGAAATTAGCGTGTAACTGTAAGATAGGAGAGCGGCCTCCTCGACGAGGGCACGGAAGTGGCTATGTTAATGTGAGCTTGCCATTGTTAACCACGCAGGTGAGAAGAATGCGAGCACGGCGATTCTGGTAAGAAGTGGGAGATTGCCTGTAAGGACTAAGCAGGGATTAATGTCTCACTCGGTATTTTCCCGTAAGGCGTCTGGGCTGTCTTGGCTGTCGGGGGATTATAGGCGTAAGGAACTTCCATTGTAGGCGTAAGGAACTACCACTACAGCACAAGGTAAGCCTATCCATAGTATATGTTACCGAAATAAGTTCAACATACATACAAAATAACTTGTCTGTCATGCACTCCCATAGGGCCTTGTGGCTGATGGAATGTGTAAAATATACTTCTGTTCTTCATGTAGAGGGACAGACATATGGAGATGTATTGTGTACTTTATTTATTTGGTTGCTTCTTTGGTGTGAGGGCGGTGGCACAGTGGTTCGTGTTCAGTCTTTCGCACATGGCTATAACGAGAGCCGAGTGATATCAGACCTTAACCCGTTCTCGCTCCTCCGTTCATCAACTGAAATTTTAGACTCAAACCCCCACCGAGCCTCTTAATCAGTGGCAAATCCACTGAGGCCCCGGCATTTGTCATTTTAAACTAAAGCTAAACTAATTTTTGTTTTACCAGGTAAGGCCCACTGAGCTATGCAGTTCTCTTTCAGAAGCTACCTGGCCACAGTTAAGAGCTCAATGAAGTTGCTTATCACGTGGCAATTCACAGCAGCCAGATACTCTAAAACGCATATTTCTATATGTGGAGGAAAAAAATCGAAGGACCCGGAGAAAAATCCACGCGACCAAATTCCAAATGTACCGGCGTCAGGGTCGTGACGGAACCCACGACCTCCTGTATACTAGGCGAGGAAGTTAACATCTCGTCACCGCGTCGCCCATTATTGTCGGCTTCTCAATAGCAACCCTTGGTTAATGCTCGCTGTATAAATTAACTGTGTGAGTTCACTCATTAGGCGGCCGCCATCCCAAACAAGATTGAGATCAACTACTTTAAACACAGTGGTTGAATGTGTTATCAACAGATCACTAATCTGTTTGGCCCATCCCGTCCTGAATAACGCACCATTCCGGCTTCATTATTTATTTTGAAAGTTTTCCCTAACACGGACACCAAATGACATTTCGTGCAAATAACCACAGCCACGGTTACTTACGCTGCCTAAGTGGGGGTTTTCAAGGCAATATGTCAGGGACATTCGAGTGACTAGGTTCAAACCCCGTAGGCGCCACGGTGCTGAGATGTTAACTACCTCGCCTTGTATACAGGAGGTCGTGGGTTCGCTCACAACCCTGACATTTGTGTAGTGGGTTCTTAGGACGCGCAGACGACTTGTAGAGGCAACGCTATTTTATTAACGAACAACACGTTAACCACACTGTGTACAGACTACTTGCTGAAGGGGGAGCTGGAAGAAACACGACGTTTCGGAGGCAACACAAGTCTCTGCCTCTGAAACGTCGTGATTTAATTGCTTTATTTTCATTTATTATTATTCTTATTTTATTTATATTATTTTTTACCTACGTGACTTTACCGAAAAAACTATAAGATTATGAATCCTTGCAGTCACGAAAGCTTCAAATCTTGAGATGATGTGCCTTCGTTCCATAACACCAGTACACTTGTGTATATTTGGAGATTGCATGTCCCTCGACGTTTAGAAACTCTGTTTAGAGTATTTTGCTGCTATATATTTCTACATAAGGCAATTCATTGGGATATTATTTGTAACCAGGTCGCTTCTGAAAAAGAGCTATATAGCTTAGTGGGTCTTACCTGCTAAAATAAAAAAAAGTTTAATTTATAGTTATTACGTCTCCCACCCCCTTCCAACCTTCTCACTCCACTGACCACAGCAAACAAACAGCGCCTGACGGAGTACGTCTAATAACATTGCTCATCGTTCCCAGAACCTGGGGCCTGAGCACAGAAAAAACTGCGTAAAAACCTAGTAGGCAGAGATTTGCGTCAGCTCTGAAATGGCAAAATGCCAATGGCGGAGTATCTGGAGTATCCCAGCCACATCGTAAACATGAACTCCAGCAGGACATTTTTTTTTATCTGCAACGTGGCAACTGTGACATCACAGCTCCAAGCATTCAGCTGGGCAGTGGCTGAGATAAGGTGCATATTTATGTGCAGTACTTAACGATTTAGAGGCGTTTACATGCATATATTCGCGCGAGAGTGAATGTAATTGAGTGTTTCTTTACCCGTATAACTGGGTCAGTAGGGAGCGCTGTCAACGAGGGTTTGACGATATAAACTGCAGTGCTGTGAACTTTATTCCAGACTCCTCACGTCTTTAGAGTCATCGCCCTCTCGTGTCATGATTTGGCTTTAGGCGGCCTGTTTGGGCCGTCCTGTGAAAAACGGCCATTGCCCAAACGTCGCATTTATTAAACCTCTTTGGGGCCGTCCATAAATGACGTCACGCACCTAGGGGGGGGGGTGTCAGACATTTGTGACGATGTGTGACGATACTGTGACGTTACATAAAAGTGCGCAACTTTAAATATAGACACGTTCTACTTAATTAAATATACTTTTTAATAAATGTCTTACTTTTTGTGACGCCGTGTGACGAAGGGGGGGGGGGGGATAAAAAAATCGTCCAAAATCGCGTGACGTCATTTATGGACGGCCCTTTTAATGTTTAAGGCGGTGGTATGTTGACTTTTGTTTTCGAATACAATTTTGCCAAATATAAATAGGAGTGAACATTCCACATTTATATAATTGGGGCCAGTCTACATACAAAGAGATCTTGTTGAAATTCATTCTAATTATAATTCTAAATAATTAATCTGATCGTGGACACAATTGCGACCTTTTTGCTGGTTGTAAATCACCTTTCGGGCCCCTTATGCACGCACTCTTATCGTGACTTTTATCGTGAGGATAGAAGTAACATTTTTTAAAGTGTTTTGTTATTATTATTTAATTTCATGTGAAAGTCAATGCTACCAATGTCTTTACGCTGGAATAAGTGGCCCATTCACGAAATCTTGTTTTTTTTTACCCACCCGCCACCAGTGAGTCAACAACATTTCCCAATCGCAAACCACGTGGCTCTATGTGAACATTTTGACCCACCGAGGGCCACCGTAGCAGCATCGGAGGCGTCCACGTGATCTGCAGGTGAATATTTAGCAAACTCAAAACAACAACAATTAACAAAAATTGCACCGCAGGTCCTTATTAGGCGTCACTGCCTGACAGCATAACAACGACCCGTATTTGCTTCATAAATTGTACCAAAAAAAATAACAAAAAAACCCCGAAGTAAGTAAACAATTCACTTGCTCCTTTCACCCGGAAGTGGAACACGTGCCGCGTGGGTCGTGGGGGGAGGGGCGATGGGGTGTGAGGGGCGGGGGCGGGGCATGCGCTCCCAGATTCCGTAGTGCACACGCGCGCGACGCACAGCCGGCTCGCTCTCCATTGGTCGATGCCCCCCAGCGGGGGCGGGGTGAACGCCAATCAGCAGCCGCCGAGAGTCTCGGGGCCCTCCCCCCCCCCTCAATGCGCGGTGGGAAATCCAAGAAGCCGCGTTGCACGTGACCCGGAGATGATTGAGACCGTGGCGGGGTTGAGGAGGAGGAGGAACCGAGTCGCGCCGGTCCCCGTGGCCGCGCTCAGAGCGATCTCTGCCTCCTCTCGCCGTGCCCCCGTCCCCTCTTCGCAGCCAGCCCTGCCCTGGCTTGCCCACGCTCTCGGTCTGGCTTGCCCTTCGCTCGTCTCTCAGCAGCCTCTCCCCCCCCCCCCCCCCCCCACGTCCTCGCTACCTGGCCCTGGTCGAGTCGTCTCCCTGCCCTGCACCGTGGCTCCTGTTTGTCTCCAGGAGTGCTTCTGCCCTCCCTTGTCTTACCGCGTCTCTGGACTTGCACCTTCTCTGCCCTGGCCGCCTCAACCCACGCTGCTGTGTCGAGACAGCCTGGCTCTACCCTTACCTCGTCTCGGCATTCGCAAGGTGAGCAGCTACTCTCTAAGAGGGGTGACGGGGCTGAGGTGTTTGGTTTGAGGGGGTTGTGTTGGGGTACATGACAAAGATCGTCAGTGGTGGAAATTTCAAAGTTTCGTGGCGTTCTCGAGTTGTGTGTGTGTATGCTGCCGGTGGTACTGCGTCACTGTGTTAGGATGGGAATGTGGAATTTCCACCACTCGGTGGCAGTTGAGCAAGTTTCAAGTTTTTCAAGTTTAATTTATTAGGTGTAGCCCTGTGAGCCACTCGGCTCTTGAATCGGGTGCAACCGCAACAAACAAAAAACAAAAACATGAACAAGAAAACATCTTAAAGCGAATGTGTGACTAAGAGCAGCGGTCGATGTGTTGCAATGGGAGGTTGACTTGTTGGTTTGATGTGGGCAATGACGATGAGTTGTGCTTCTGTTGACCATTACTCGCACCTAACGCACTTCACATCAACATTAGTCGCACGTAATCGTCCCCGAGGGCATAGCCCACGGCGCCTTGCGAGTGGCGTTTTATTCATGTGATTGGATCGTATCAGCCATGGTCTGGCTGTAACAATCATTCTCGCTGCTGCACATTAAGTGAGCTTAAGGGCATTTCTTTCTTTGTTTGACAAATCGTCACCGCCCTCGTCCCTTGGCTTGTGATTCCTTCCAGCGGAGTGTCCTGCTCAAAGCCCGCTTTTCTTGTTACAGTGTCAATATAACGTCACTGAGTTGCATGTTTTTCGTACGCGTGAGTGGTCCACTCGCTCTTGTCCGGGTGTCATTGCAAAGCATGCAAAGTTCCACGGTTCAGTTGCTCACGTCGCAGATTTCCTTACATTTTATCTTTCAGCGCCCACGTATCTTGAGTGTAATTAAACGAGCAGGTCCGGTGAGTAGGGTTCACATGCCTGGGGCAGCATGCCTCCCACAATCTTTGGCAGCCACCCAGAGTAGTAGACAAATGAATTCAAAAAGTCAACAGTGCCTCTGGCCTTTGGTTTATATAGCAAGAGATGTTGGCATAGAGCCATCATGTCTGGTCGAAATGTTGAAATCCGTGTATTAAGTTGAAACGTACGTTTCATCTCCGTTTAGATTAGAAAAGCCACATTGTCTCACAAATACTCTTGTTTTCAGAAGGGTCCTAACATTGGGATGTTTGGCCAGTTCCGTCACTGCGTGTTCTAATGCACGTGAGAGAGAAACAGGAGAACACCCGTGTACACAAGGGGATAATACAAGCTCGGCACGGGCATCTCCTAGCCACTTGACAGCCCAGTGGGTTTGGGAGTTTTACAGATCCGCGTGTAATCCACCAACACATGCCTCCAATGTGCAGCTCATAGTCATGCATATCTGCGCCCAGCTATAAAATGAAATAATATTTTCAACCGCATAACAGTGAATGCTCACGTGCCTAGTATTGCATTTTTAATACATGACATTTTATTATTACACTTTTGCATTTATATGGCATCTTAATGCGACTGCCTCTAAATCGTATACATATATTGGGAGATCGGTGTCAATGTGATCCTGATTTTTTGTGTTTAGAAAGAGTTGGTGGAGGGTAGAATGCTGTAGAAAGGAGAGAAACAGGAGTTTTCCTTTATTGTAAATGTGCGAGTGAGGACCATCGCTGATAGAACACTTTTTATTAGTGTTTCGTGTGAGGGCTTAGGAACAGTAACAGGGAACTATTGATTATCCACGGAAAATAAACGACAAGGCGTACACAAACACGTTCATTTTGAAACATCTACAAAAAAAGCACGCACAAAATTAACAATAGGAGGAAAATTAACCATCAAAAATGTAAATATGAGACCTAAAATAGCTATACATTCTCACCGGTATATTTGGAATGTCACCTTTTGAAGCACACCTTGCAATCATTGGCTGCCAATCTTCTTGTTGGAAGCAAGACGAGGCTATGATATCGGCAATGAAGTCACATCCGGATCAATTCCGGGCTGTATTGGGCAGCCCGATTTCAAAGCTGGCCTGCCCAGGCTAGCACCAGCCTAGCAGTTCCAGCTGTTACCCGGAATACAGTTTTGTTGACAGCTCAGATCTAGAACGGCCTGAGTTCATCTCGACTTTAGAGGTGCATATGGACACATCATTAGTATGATGCCTCTGATCCCAGGACCTGTCCACTCAATGCTTTTAATTTTTATTTTAGTTTTCTATCTACGTGACTTTACCGAAAGAACCAAGAATATGAATTCCTGCAGTCACGAAAGTTTTAAGTCTAAATCTGTCCACTCAACTTTAGTTCCCATATTCGCAAATAAGAATATCAACTGTTAGGAAAAATAATCGTTCAACGAACTGATGGGCGATGGACGAAAATGGTTACAGAATGAAAGCCAAGGGGGAAGGGGGGAACCCGACCAAGAAAACTAAACAACTGAACTAAGTTATTTTTTTTATCATGGAAGGCTCACTGAACTATATAGTTATTTTTCAGAAGCCACCTAGCCACAAATGATAGCTCAACGAAGTGCCTTACGTGGAAATGTATAACAGCCAAACACACTCTAAACGCACGTTACTAAATGCAGAGGGGAAAACCGGAGGACCCGGAGAAAAACCCACCCGACCATGGGGAGAACATGCAAACTCCAAATATACAGGCGTCAAGGTTGGGATCGAACCCACGACTTCGTGTATACCAGGCGAGGCAGTTAACATGTTACCACCGTGGCGCCTACGACTACCACGGAAATGGAGCAGCCAAATCGGTTCATGTGAAGGAGCGAGATGGAATGTGGCATTGCCGGTGACGTCGTAGGGAGGCTTTCATCTAGCAGTGGATTGACCATGGCTCATGATGATGCTAAGCAAAAGGAATTTTTTTATTAGTAATGGTGAGAGCCCAGTCACCTGTTAACTTTGTAATGTTGTGTGTTTGTTTTGTCACTGTACACACAACCTGGTGGCAAATGTTTTGATTTTATGGCTTTGCATCACCCCTGGTTGCTACTTGGCCCATTGTTTCAATGTATAATTCGACGTGACATTTTAGTTTCCTGACAACAAAAACGAGCCACTTGAGTGGGTTTTTTCGTAAAATCCTGCTTGTAGTGAGAAAACCATTGCAACACCCGTGAGATAAAAATAGATTTTAGAAAAACCCCAACACGCATGGTTATACTTCTCAGTCAATGCGACCGAACTGATTTGTGTATCTTCTCTGATCTGTGTAACCAACCGTTTCAAACCCACCATCAAAGCCGTACTGTGCATCGATTCTCATGAACGTGAACTTTCAAGAGCAGTCACAGGTGTACTGTCTTATCGCATGGATCACATCAGGCAGGGGGATTTACTCAAGTGCTGCTGCAGCTAAGAATGTCAGTGTTTCACATAAAGTGCAAAACATGTACGTGTGCATGTTGAACTTCTTTCGCACCGTACGTAGCCAAACCGTGCTAATCGGAGGTGCGGGGGAAGGACAGCAAAAAGAAGTTCTAAAGAAATGGGTTTTCAATCTAGAAAACATTGATAGAGGCCATCACGGTGTCTTATTAAGACGCATTTGCTTCCTGACACATTTATATTGTTAAATACACAGCTTAAAACTTCCATCAGCTGTCTCATCAGCAGAGCCAAGTAAGTTAAACAAATACGACATGTCTCGGACCGCATCCGTGAACATAAAGCTGACCTGAAACACGGTAGGACAAACACCTCAGCCGTGGCAGATCACTGTTACAACTCAGTGGGCTCACATGATATTGACTTCTCCAAGACAGAGGTTCTCTGCAAGCCATCTGGCTATCATGAGAGATTCGTTCATGAGGCGATCCACATATACAAACACAGAGACAATTTTAACCGAGAAGATGGATTCTGGCTTAGCAATCATTGGAAGGACGTGATAAACCATTTCGATACACATTAGGGTGTGTAGAATAATACATAGTATTATATTAAAATGTATAAGGTATAGGTTGGTTTACAGCAATACAGTATATAATTTAATGTTGGGTTTATCTATGGCAGTATATAGTACGGTATATGCTCGTGTGATGTAAGAGAATAAAGTTTAGATGGAAGCATATTATAGAATTTTTACGACGTAGAATTGCAATGTATTACTTGCTGTTAGTAACTCAGCTTATTGTAGAGTATAGTAAGTATACTGATGGTGCTAAGCAGTTTATACTTTAGTTTTTTATGTAATTTATACTTTAGTTTTCTACGTGGTTGTTGAGTAACTGCAGCTACATATCATTAACATTCCTTTCCTTTGTTACTGCTAATCCCTGCACCCCCCCTTGGTGCTGCTAATCCTGCATTATGCATGGGCATAATATGACTTTGAAACCCCCCCAACGCCTACGCATTTTCCATGAATATGCTAAATTCCTCTTCATATGCACATTCTTTTTGTTAAGGCGCTCTTCCACCTCCAACGCAGCTTATATATAAGCTCCTAGCTTGGTAGTGTCTCATTCTTCACCTGAAGACGGCTGCTTGCGTTGTAGCCGAAACGTCGTGAGAATTATTTTATTTTATTATGTTTTATTTTTATTATTTTATTACTTCCCTTCTACGTGACTTTACCGAAAGAACCAAGAAGATGAATCCCTGCAGTCACGAAAGCTTTAAATTGAAAAATACTGCTGGGTTGTCAGATGTCATTTTCAATGTACGCCACCTTCACAATGGGGCCCTGCCAGCACAAATCAGTTATGAATAAAAACTCGTTATGCTCTGTTGTGAATCATTGTTGGTAATGCATAAGGAAATACGTAATTACTCAATACTCATTATAAAACAATGTTGACTTTGTAAATTATTATCTCGGCATGTAAGCAGCTACAAAAACTTGGGGGCACGTTTGCAGCGCAGTTCGCTGTTTAATTCAGTTCACAGCACAGGTGGGCTTACGTCTTTTTAGACACCCACTCGGTGATGATGCGGCGGTGATGTCCAATGGGGATTCGATACATTTCCATCATAAATGCTGCGTTGGCACACGCTGTGCCAACTCCACACCCACCGTCAACCCAGGCACTCTTCCTTAATATCCTCACTTCCCTTTACTCGGCCTCTTTTTTGCAGCAGGCTCGGCGAGAGTCAGACGGAGCACAACTTTGCCGATCCATTGATTACTGTATTGGTTTTTGTTTGCACAAAAGTGTCGACAGGTCTGGTTTGGCTCACACGTCTCTGATTATCACAGTAGGCCAATGTTTCATGTTTACCTGAATTGAAACTTTGCTTGTCTTTGCGTCTGCCTTATGAAACAATTGTGTGTATATCTGCCATTCCTCTGTGTCTTGTTAGACATTGGTTTGCTTGCGATGCACTCCTGGTCTGTCATTGTCTGTTTGTCTATCTGATAGTTGCTTAATTGACTACCTGCCACTGTCTTTTTCTCTGTTTGCTTGCTTGTGTCACTGTTATTATTATCATCTGCACGACTGCCTATTGTTACATCACGGAATCGTGGTGAGATGGCGCGGTGGCTTGGCGAGACCTCATCCAGCAGTGATTAAGCATGGCTAATGATGATGGTGATGACTGTCGCCGTCAAATTGCCTTCCCCGTATGTCATTGTGTCGTTTGCCCGCCAGCTTTGCAGGCGTTCGTGATCACAATGGCTGCAGTTTATTTGCATGGGCTCACCACGCGGAGCCAAGAGCTCACTGTAGTTTTTGTCGTTGTCAGGTAGAGCGAGAGTAACGCACGTGCGGCCAGGATGAAGGATGAACATCCCGGTAAGCTGCCGGAGATGCACGCACGTGAACGGATTTCCCACCACCTTCGGAAAAACAACCTGGTCGGATCGATGTTCATCAGCTCCTTGATGCGATTTTTGTAATGGCTTAACAGCAGTCAATTGAGTATTGAAGATATTGGATTAGTTGGTACATGTTCTTTTTGAAAAGAAAAATGTAGCGAGTAAAATGTGGTGTCCTTGGGCATGTGTGTTTAGAGCCATGTTTTAGTTTTGTTCACTATTTGCGCAATGGTGTATCGATCAAAACAGATTTTTACGTTCCCGATATGTGCATTGAGTTTTTTGTTTGTAAGAATCTCGTGTGATGAAATAGAATTGTACGGATAAAATGTTTCCTATAGTCTCATGGAATAAATGAGATGGCAGATTAGAGATAATGTAAGAGACGTACAAGACAGGACAGAAAAGATGAGACGGTACAAATTAAACTAAATGGAAACAATATAACGGTTAACCCCTGACGATTTGATCAATTGTCATGTTTTGGGGTCTCGTTTGACTGTTTAATTTTGACTGAATATTGCATATGTTTGTCTTGTTTGTCTTGTATTTTTTCTTTAATTATTATAAGGGTGTATTAGCATATCACTTTCAAGTCAATCATAAATCACAGATTTTTAGACAGCACCATTCAACAGAGCCTGTGGGGGGGGGGAGGGAGTCATTGTCGCCATCATTTACGCATCTGGTGCTCAGGAAGACAGTCCCGTGTGCCCTCAGCAGATCGGCTCACTTCTCTCGTCGTCACCCGAGTCGACCAAAACTTTCGCGACCTAATTGCGCAATTTTCCTTCGTGAATAAGTCGGTTATCACGTAATTCACTTGAATTGGCCTTGAAAAGCGAGAGAGTAGCTGAGATTCGAGGCGGGTGAAGTTCACGAGAGCAGTTTGGCGTGAAGGTTGTGGTTACCGCCTGTGTGTAGGCGCAGGGCTTTAACGAGGCAGCCAAGATGATAACGCGAGCGGCAATGCCAGCTGTTCATATCAACGCGCACGGTGGTTGGCGAAGTGTGCTTAACACGCAATTTTGCATTTCCGCTTTTTACTAGCGTAGTGAAACAATGTGCAGTTATTGATGTTTTGTAATAATTGGATGTCAAAAATGTTCCCGGGACAAATTTGGAGGCAATTTAATCAACGGCGCGGTCACGTCTTATTTCACTCGCATGTCATTCTTGTGAGACCCACGACAACCAAATCGCCAATAATGTGCCAGTTCGTGTCATCTCGGCAGCTATGCAGGGTGGGGTTTGGTTAGTACTTGGATGGGAAGACTGCCTGTGAATGCTGTGTGTCAGACTTGTGCTTGGAGGTGGCCAAGAGATGACAGCACAGCAAATGGACACTTGAGTCTAACTGTGCCGAGCTGTGTAAATGTTTAGCCTCTGATTATACGTGGTGGGTTCCCTCCCACATGAAGCCAAATGCGCATGTATGTATGTATGTTGCACTTCTTTCCCACCGTACGTAGCCAACCGTGCTAATCGTTGGTGCGGGGAAGGACAACAAACTAAACGCAAAGCATGAACACAATTGGCCAAACCGTTAAATGTAAGACCTTCCTGAAAAAGAGTCCTGAGACTCGGCGATGCTTTCCTGTGTAAATGAAGTGCATTGTCATAATTATTAATATTGTTGATGAACAGCAATTGCAGAATCGGCATCTTCTTTTATGTGCAGCTGGCTGTCATTCTATTCTTTGGTGTGGAAATATGTTAAGGAACTGTTGAGGGCTGCATCAGAAAGTTTGTGTCGCTTTCCTGTTTCTGCTCCATTGCAGGAGAGTAGCCGACTGGTTTACTACTGGGTGCTCCATAGTTTGGGTTACATGGCCACAGGCAGGCTGTGGCTCGCGTCTTACATTTTCCATTCATGAAGGAGTCGTACGCATTGGCCTGTTGATGTTCTGTTGCGGTTGATTATTAAACCAGTGTCTTTGAGTAATGTTCAAATTCAGGAGGTGCAATGTTTGCTCTCTTGAATGAGGTGTTTATTCTGGACTTCCATGTTGTACCACTCTATCTGCTAACAGCGTTTTTCCGGATGTGGGTGAGATTGTAGAATGATGACAGCGCATTCCAGAAGGGGGATCAGTGGCGAGGTACATTGTTGAGTTCTTAGTTGATGGGTAGGTGGTTGTCCTTGGTAGTAAAACGTGTAAACTCCCTAGCAGTTTGCGCGATATCTCTGCGTATATATGGTGGTAGAATTTTCGCCAGAATAGGGAGGCCCCAGGGTATTGATGTCGGTTTCAATGCTACCATTCTGGTTATGACGCGCATTGTGTTATTTATTTGATCGTCTAGTTTCGTGTACAGAATGTGCAGTCTTCTTTCGTATGGCATGTAAGCAACAGTTTGTATAGATGTCATAGTTGAATGTTCGGGTCTTTCAACCAGTCCGAGGCGGCAGTAGATGCTCCATGGATTGCAGCGATAGTGATGTGTTTTGATGGTTTGGGTTTTACCATAGTCACAAATTGGCGAATATTTCATTTTCCATTTATGGAACGTGTATGAACATCTCCCATGCTGCGTCCGAGCGTGGTTCAGTGTGGTCCACAGGCATCGTGAGAGAGAGAATCCCGGAACTTCCACCATCAATTGGATTGCTTACTATATTTACATTGTACATAGTTCTGGTTGTGTATTATTACTACTACTTTATGAGTCATGTTTATAAAATGTCAATGCTTTTGTTCTACCGAACCCCTGTAAACCCTCCCTTCCCCCTGTGTGATGTCCTTGCTGCTTTGACTAGGTCGCCATTGAATAGAGTTTCTTAGCTCAATGGGCATTACCTGCAATAATCGACTGGCTCACCCGGCTGCTCAGGCTGACACAATAAACTCACTGCACTTAAGAACCCAGTAGTTATAGGTAGCTTCCTGGATTCAAACCCAGCATGTCAGTGGTGGTTACTCCCCAGCAACATTTGTTTTGAGTCCACACACTGCTGAAGACTCGGAAAATATTAATCCGGGGCCAGAGTTTGTGTGCTTAAGCGATGCTGCTGAAAGACATTTGTCCAGAGGAGATTTTGGTTGCTGGACCAGCACGTTATTTAATTTAAAATTTAAGGCAATGAATGGGAGCCTTGTAAGCCGATTATGTGTTACTCACCAAGATGGCACGTAATAAATCTGGAGCAGCAGCAGCCGCTTGCTTTGTCTGCTAAGTTCAGCTGGGGTATTGCAGATTTAATTTGTTGTCATCTTTCGAACGATAGTAAAAGGTTTGGAGCCGAAACTTTACTTTAAGGTGAGCGGTTATCATTAGGTATGTAAATGACTCGTTCGTTCCATGAATCAATGACTTTTGGCACAGTTCAAGGTCACACCAAGGTTCGCTTGGGATATTTGCCCTTGTGTTGTGCGTGGAATCCTTAGCGGAATGAATCGGTAGAATCTAAAATTCCACATGCGATCAAGCCTGAGAATCGATATTAACGATGAATCGTTGAGTCGTTGTATCTCAGGGCCATGTCAGTGCTACTACCCTCGTGATGCTGAGCACTACATTTCCCGTAAGGAGCGGACTTCCGCTTGGCAGATCATTAGACCGCAGTAGTTTTTCTGTCCCATTGGCCATGTGATCTGTGAAGATGTGAGGGCATTACAGCTGTCGCGCTGCAAATTCTGCGATGGGTACGTGTGTTACCGTGCGTTCCGTAGCGCAGTTGCTACGTTTCTGAAAAGTATTCTGAGATCGCTCGTTATCAACCATCATAGAAATGAGCAAGGTTGGCTGCAATTGAACTCCGGCGCACTGTCTATGCGTTGTGTTTATCACAATAATAATTTTCACGTTGCATCGGTATAAAGCCCGCGGAACTGCTGTACTTTAAAATGTAATTGCCCGAAGGCCCTGCTGCCGGTGTTTTTGCTTCTCCGGAAAACGCGAGGACACGCGACTGGCCGCGCCGGTAAACGCAGAGCAGGCAACGGGCACTCTTTCAACTCGCGCTGTTGTCACACGGCTCCTGAGCGACGAGAAGTTTGAGTTCAGTGAACCGACAGCCAGTCGTGGTTCGGGAGGCTCAAAGGGGGCACAGCCAAGGGCTTTGAAGCGCGCCACGTAACCCACCGTATCATGCACCACGTGACGCGCAACGTGCCACGCGACGCTCCGTGCGACCCACTCCGTCTCAACGCGACACGCCACGTGGGGTTCTGGTGAACGTGTGCGGGGTTTCACCACGTCACCGCTTTTGTGTTTGCACTGTCGAAAAGTTCACTTTATGCCCACATTATTTGTTTATTATTAACCGAGGCATTGTTGAACATAGCACACCTCATATCATAGACAAATACAATCTCTATGTCTGTATGACTTTGTCAATGAAGGTGACTTAGAGCGCTTTACCAAAAATAACATTTGCATGAATTCCTAACACTTCATAATAAACAAAAAACAAGACACTTAGCTTAAAATATCACCAAAGCGATGCCCTCTCGGCAGTGTGATAGGGAGCCTGTGGAGGGGGTGTGTGCAGGGGTAGGCCTCCGGGGTGGTTCAGCGGTGTCTTTTTCAGCATGCGTGGGGTGTGTGTGTGTCTGCGTATGTGTGCAGTGTATCCCTAGTTTAGCACAAGCCCTGTCACCACCTCTCGGTGGCGAATGGCAGTTGTTGTGTGGGTGATGGGCTTGTGTTGTGCATGTGCCGTGAGAGAGCGCATTGCGTGGCAAACCCGGCGACCCCAATTCAATTCCTGCTCACGACGAACACCAGTGACTTATCTGAACCAGTACTGGGCTTCGCCAAGGTCGACTCAGCCTCAAATGGCTAACAAGTGTGGTGTGTAAAACATCACCAGACATGATGCTGGAAACCCACCCCCTCATGTACCGGTGCTGGCTTTCATAGGTGCTTGGTCACAGCATTTGCCCCTACGGTCTGTTAAAGCGGTACGGGGGGGGGGGGATCTTTGTCTTTTGTTTGTGCGTGCATGTAAGTCGTTGAGCGTGCGTGTGTGGTGTGAGCTGCTGCAGGCTGCATGGGCAGGGTGGAGATGAAGGAGGCTGGGGTTGGGGGGCCTCTGGGCTCCAAGCTGCATGGGGGGGCCCCCAGCAGCCCAGGTACCCGAGGAGGATTTCCCGGTGGCGGAGGGGGCGAGCGTGGAGTTGAGGGCCAGCTTGCTTGCGCACGCTGCAATAATTATGCTCTTATTCTTAATTCCACATCGTAACGTGTGCCGATTGATTGGCTGATGCCTAATTATCGTGGCGTAATGAGACTCAGCCGTGCCCAATCCCTGATATCTTCCATCGGCAGTGAAGTATCCAGTGGCGTATCCAGGAATTTACGTCGCAGCTTTGGGGACGGGCGGACAGGTGGCTTCACAAGGAGAGGAGCCACTTGGCTTGAATGAAGATGCAGCCCAGGTTTAAGGGTTACAGCTTGGGAGTGTTTTGGGCAAGCGATAGTTCCTTCGTGGATACGTCACCGCTGGCATCGGTTGCCGTGGCCGATTGGTCGACCGATAAGAGTGAAATCGCCAAAAGGAATGACGTTTAATGAATGAAATTGATCGAATGTCTTTGAAGCGTACATTCATATTGTTCAACAACTTGCATTCCATTTTAGCTTCCGAAACACGTTTGTAAAAAAAAGGTCAAATCTGGCAATAGGAGTCACAGATTTCAAATATTTTACGAAATTTGTTATCAGAAGGCTTCTGTGGTCCTTATTTGTCAGAGAGCCCAAGCCCGTTTAAACGTAACAATTTTCTGCCAGATGGAATGCCATTTGTTACTGCATGCATGCTCGTATTCTCCAGTGCGGGTTGTCGCTGTGTGGAAATAATCTCGTCATTTTTTTTCGTGTTTGTAGTTTCGGAATTGATCCCATGTTTTGTTTTCACTATTCTCGTGACTCGTCGAATGTTGCAATCGTGGCCATCGTGGCCATTTCCCACAAAATCTGCCCTTTCTTCATAGCACGTGACGATTAAAGAGTGACTTGCATCACCAACTTCTCAAACTCTACTCCTCGCAGCCCCTGCCTCGCATAACGAGACCTGCATTGATTCACCGATTAAAATCCATTCTTTCGGTCATGATATACGCGTGAAACGGTGTGCATACGAATATATTATCTCATTAAGGTCGGGCATCCCCGGTCTATCCACTGCTAGATGAAGGCTCCTCTTGTAGTCGTCAGTCACATGATGCAAAAATCCATCGCGCTCCTGCACACGAGCCGATCTCATCACTCCGTCTCCACGGTGGACATCCTCTCGGAGCATGGCTGATGATGATGATGAATTGCAGAGCGAGGCACCACTCTTGTTTGCTGATATTGATCCTGACGCCTCCAAAGGAGACTCGGCTGCGGGAACAGGAGGTTGAAAAGCCCGAATGCTAACTGCTCAGAGAAGTGGTTTAATCATCACTGCCTGTCCTCTTAACTATTTGTATGTCTGCTCATCTACATGTTTTGCCTTTTGTTATTTTTATTTTGGAAACATAAAACACAATCTTGCTACTGCTTCACGAACAGGCTCCACAATGCGCTGGGTGAGGTCGGTTGTGAATCTAAACCTGTGACTCGCTCACCATGCGCTCAGAGTGAGTCGGGTCACTGAACCTTTCAACAGCTGAACAATTGGGCTGATTCTGCTGCTGCCGCTCGTAATTTAAAACGTTAAAGCCTTCTATTGGGTTACACCTGCTCCTGTGAGCCCATATATGGGTATGTGTCCTCAGTGGTGTTCTCGCTCTTCACAGTCACTTTTTTATTTGGCATGGATTAAAAAAAATAGTGCGTGCAGAGGTGGCCAGGTGTGACGAGGGGTCAGAGCCATGGAGCCGACAGTGCAGAGATACTGGGTTCGAATCTGAGTTTCAGCCGGGGGTTCGCAAGTGAAGCCTGTCCTCCCAATGACTGCACACTAAAGAATGCGTACGAATCTCGAATTCTGCTCATGAAATGTTTTGGTTTGACCACTGTGCAGCAAGAAGCTTGGGAAAGTGCGTGGCCCTCGACTTTGTGCATTAAAGGTCAATTGATGAGATCTCAGGAGCAGCTCTGTTGCATCTCCTTCCACGGACCGCTCTCTAACTCAGAGTGATGCATTGGTCGTCTGGAGCTCCGAGTGGTCACTTCATCTCATGACGTGGATCGTACATTCTGAACATAACTGGGGGGGGAAAGACAATTATGAAAATAAAATGAGAGAAAAAAGCCCATGTAACAACTCCTCTAATTACCATTACTGCACAGCACTCGAGGGTTTCTCCTGGCCAGTTGTGGATGTACTCTTGGGCGTGTCGTCCCCTCCCTTGGCTCCCACACTCTGCCTTCAGTCTCGACCACCAGTCGGCCATCATCGCTTCTATGGTGTGTCCTGCTCAAGCCCACGTACTTTTCTTTACTGTCGATATGATGTCTCTCAGTTGCATTCACACTCTGATCCATGCGTTCCTCTCCATGTGCCTGTGTAATTCCAAGTGTGCAGATGATTACAATGCTCGTCGAAGTGTCCGAAATTTATATTGGAAATCGTGGGAACCGCTTACAATATTGGGACAGTTCACCCCTACTTGCAGTGCTGCTTTTTGGCACAGTGACGGTGCCGTGATGATTAACGCTTCTTGTGATGATCATCGTGAAGGGATGTCCTGATCACACGTACACCTGTATCAGCCACGCGATGTGCTTTTTTTTTACTCCAGGTAATGTATTATACAACTTATCTGATGCTAGACATAATGAACAGGACTGCCAAGGTAGATGAAGACGAGCAATCTGGCAGACAGTGACATGAAGACAGATGGACCACACGGGCAGACGTGCAGGCAGTGACATACTGACTGACAAATGGACAGACGGGGGGGGGGGGAGTAACAGACGTTAATTGACACAAAGGGCACACAAACTTGAATGTTTGATGTTTTTTTTTGTGCCTTAGAAACATTCAGGTTTAAGCTGTTTTACAAGAATGACTCGCGGTGACAGAGTGATTGACAGAGAGACAGCCAGACAAATCACTTTGCTCTTGCAGCAATAACAAGGGACACTTGCGTCTTTCCTACTTGCCAAGACCCCCTTGAAAATGCTACGTGCATCTAAGGGCTTATCCTGATAGGATAAAGATTATTGTCAATGAAAACACAAATCATTCAATGGGATTGACGTTTTTTCTCCCGACGTTGCCCCCCCCCACCCTCCCTCTCTATCCCCTCTGCCCCCACCCGCTCCCCGACCAGGCGAGGAGGATGGGGTGCTCAGCGATGGAGTCAGCAGCTACAACAGCCTCGACTCTCCGCAGCGGTCGCCGCCAGAGCCACACGAGAGCAGCGACGCCCCCGCCGAGATGTCCACCTACTTCGACGACAAGATCCCCGTGCCGGACGCTGGCGCTGTGAGCTGCTGCTGCTGCTGCTGTTTTGGGGAAAACACTGCCGCCCCCATCCGCCTCACCCCCCCCCCCTCCACCTTTCCCCCACTGTCTTTTGAACACTTTCCAACTCGGGTCGAAGGCATTCATCGGTCAGATCTGTAATGGTGAGGGGGAGTGCGATGACTTTCGTAAAGATGATCCAATATGAAATGAACTTGAGGGTAAAGTCGTGTTGCATTTGGCGACTCGCCGTGAGTGTATCTGCATGTAAGTGTTCATGTGCACATTCATTCAAGTGTATGTGTGTATATGTGTGTGGGGAGCGGTAGTTTAGAGGTTAGTGTTTGCGCTACAAACCTGGCAATCCGCGTTCGATTGGCGCTCACGGCCAACATCGGTAACGAATATCTGAACTGGTCCTGGGCCTCCCCTAGGTCGATTCAGCCTCAAATAAGTATCTGATGCGGTGTGCAAACATCCCCACTGGCGAGCCAAAGGCGGCCTGGCGTGGTGTTGGCCACCCACCCCCTCGTGTGCCTTGCCGGCCTTGCTAACGCCACTTGTCCTAACAATCTGTTCAGGCTATACGGGGGATCTTTGTCTTTGTTTTACACGTGTATGTGTGTGTACGTGGCTGTGGCTCGCTCAGGGCACGTTCAGCTTCCGGAAGCTGTGGGCCTTTACGGGTCCAGGGTTTCTCATGAGCATCGCTTACCTGGACCCGGGCAACATCGAATCGGACCTGCAGTCGGGAGCCAAGGCCGGGTTCAAGGTGCCGTTGCCACGCTATGTACAAACATCCATTTAGGCACACGCTCATACACACACATGCCTATAGACAACACCTACGGCCTTCATTCGGCACCAAGTTTACTTTTTATTTTACAAGGTAAGGCCCACTGAGCTACATAGCTCTTTTTCAACGGTTTTATTTAACTTGACTTGTGTTTGTCGTGGTCAAATCTTGTAATCAAAAGTTCGTCTACTACCTGTTGTCTAATCAATTCCAAATTTTGCACATGTACTCAGATCCGGTGACAGTGCATGCTTGTATTAAAATCGGCACCAATTCATCAATTAATTGCCTCCCTTCAAGCAATTAAAACATTTTCATGGACGGAATATTAATTAGATATTTTGTGTAGGTGAACAATGCCGCGGTCCCTAAACTGTGGAATCGGCTCGCCCAAGAAGCAGACGTCACGTGTCTCTTGTAATCAAGATGTCGTCCACTTCCCGTTGTCCAATCGAGTTATTTACTTTTTAGTGCACTTTTAAATAAAACCGTTGTTTAAAAACAACTTTTTTAAAGGAGTTTATTCATAAGTGACCTGGCAACAAACGATTTCTCAACAAAGTGGCTTATCACGTGGCAATTTACAGCAGCCAAATACTCTAAAACAAACGTTTCTAAAATTGAGGGCAGAACCGGAGGACCTGGAGAAAAATTTACACGACCACGGGGAGAAGATGCAAACTCCAAATATACAGCAGGCGTCAGGGTTGGGATCGAACTCACGAACTCCTGCATACCAGGCGAAGTAGTTAACATCTTGCCACCGTGGTGCCTCTAAGTGGCGGTTACATTACCACAGCGCTTGTGCCAGGCGAGGTGCACTTTGAGGCCACGTGAAATGTCGACGGCTCGCTGACAGAAGGTCATGGGAGACATGCCAAGGTATTATGGGTTAACTGATTGAGACATGCGCCGATGCACACACTCGTGCACAAAGGCGGACGCACGCCTGTACACACGCAGGCACATACACGCCCGTACACACACAGGCGTTCGCTTACAGCACGAGCCCGAACAACCTGTTAATGGCTACATGGGGGTTCTTTGTCCAGCTGCTGTGGGTGCTGCTGACGTCCACCATACTGGGCTTGCTTCTGCAGCGCCTCGCCGCGCGGCTGGGGGTCGTTACGGGTATGCACCTTGCTGAGGTGTGCAACCGCAACTACCCCAAGGTACTGCCGCACTCACCTGCACTCACCCGCACACCCAACACTCGCCCGCACTCACACACACACAACATTCACCCTCACTCAACCACAAACCAAACATTCACCCAACTCACCCGCACTCACCCACACACCCAAGACTGACCCCAACACTCACCCTCACACCCAACACTCACCTTCACACCCAACAGTCGCACACTCCACACGGGCCTGCACACCCATACTCACCTGTACACACCGGGGAATAGATATTTGGTCGCCTGGCTCATCGCACAGCATGCTCGCCACCGCTTCACCCTCGAATTGTAATCTTTGGCCATATTTGGAGACGATGTAAATTCTTGGTGGAATGGTGGCACCAGTGGGTTGGCGCTCTGCGCTACGGAAACCGCCAGCCCGAGTTCAACTTACATCCATGGGTTACATTGGTAGCGAGTGATATTTGAACCGGTCCTGGGTCCCTCTCCCCTCCATCAATCTGTACTAACCAAGGTGTTGAAGTATGATAATAAAATACAAATTCCCATGACCGACATGGCATGAGGAGAGCCTTCATGCACTTATAGATTAAGAACGGCTGGAGGTTCTCTTTATTGTAAATACATATTGTAATTGTGTTACGTCATCCTGCGTTCGTGTGTAGATCCCTCGCATCGTCCTCTGGCTAATGGTGGAACTGGCCATCATTGGCTCGGACATGCAGGAGGTCATCGGCTCGGCCATCGCCATCAACCTCCTCTCCAATGGCGCGTGAGTGGTGCCAGCACGGCTCCCCTAGCACCGCGCTGCTTATTGCTCAGTTTGGGGATGGCGCCTTGGTCTCTGTAGCAGTCTCCGCTCAGCCATCGCTCAGGCGGAAGGGCTCTCACTCTCATTCCTTCCTCTGGCCAGCCGGCTTCTCTGGCCCTGTTCAAGTGCAGGCTCTGGCCGTGGTTCACTGTCTTTTTTCTTATATATGTGTGTGTGTGTATCTAGGTGGCCGGGCATGGTGCTGGCCTCCCACCCTCTCGTTTTCCGTAACGACGGCCTTCATCGGTGCTCGCTAACCATACTTGCCCCAAAAGTCTTTAGGCTACACGGAGGATCTTTGTGTTGTGTATCTATGGACATCCGTGTGTGTGTGTGTCGCCACCTGCAGGGTTCCCCTGTACGGCGGGGTGCTCATCACCATCGCCGACACCTTCGTATTCCTGTTCCTTGACAAATACGGTGAGTCGCTCCACCGCTGCAGTGAGTTCTCAAAATACCGGGCTCATGCAGGGGTGCAGGGTGCCCCGCTTTGTATCTTTTCTTAACCATATGAAGGCAATGTGCAAGCTGAAACCACCGAGAATCGCGAGCCACCATTGGAACAGACGAACCGATGCTACAGCAGTTAAATGTGCAGTGCAATACGAAACTGGTTTTTCCTGGCACGTGACGTTTTTTGCGCAGGGTAGAAACGCAGCTTTTGACAAGGCAGCATTGCTTTGCCCGCTGTTCAATCGTTGAGCTATGGGAGTGTGGTTTTAGAATTTGTATTTTTGGGGCCCCCCAAAACAACACCGCGTTCTGTTTGAGGATTCGTATATCCACTCAAGTTATTTGAAGGATAGGCTATTACCAATCCTCACCCGATGCTGCCATGGCGTAATAGTTAGCACACTGGACCAGCAATCCAGAGGGCGTCCGTATCAACTCCCAGTGCGGCAGTCGAAACGATGGTGCAAGCATTTAAATCCCTCCCGGCATGGTTCACACAGCAGTAGAGAAGGCCCCACCCACCTTTAGTCGATGGGCATTTCGCGTGCGGTGGGGGTTAGGTGTGGGTACTCTGGCCAATGTATAAAAATCGGCCAAAAAATACCTTCAAAAGAGCATTTTCCTAGAGCTCCCTCGAATGGAGGCTCTTCTGGCAGCAGTGGTGTAAACAAAGCAATTTCAGGGTACCACCTTTATTTCTACAAACCTCCGTTACACCCACACACTTGCCTGCCCTTCCGCTTGCCTGCCTGCCCTGCCCGCTCACAAAGTTGCACCTCTTTGTCATTGCTTCACCGCGCGCTCATCCTCTCCTCCCCAGGACTGCGGAAACTGGAAGCGTTTTTCGCTGTGCTCATCACCACCATGGCCATAACGTTTGGGTATCAGGTGGGTGCCTTTCCGACCGTGGGCCGGTGCGGCTCGTGGGCCGGTGCGTGAACCATTGCGCAGTACTTTACTGGGCTCTGCTTGTCCGGGAGCACTGCCAATCGAAATGTCTCCCCTCCGCAAGTGAGCGTGAGGGTGGCGCCCAGCTCCCATTGGTCACGCGGAGCCAGTGGTGGACATTCAGCTCGTGTGCAGGGGACACATGGATAGTTGCTTCACGAGACCGTGAAAGATAGTGACAGCTCCAGTATGTACGTATGTATGTAGAACTTCTTTCGCACCGTACGCAGCCAACCGTGCAATAGGCCATTGTGCAGCAGTACATAGGTCGCTTTTATTTTCTACCTACGTGACTTTACCGAAAGAACCAAAGAGTATGGATTCCTGCAGTCACAAAAGTTTCAAATCAAGATTGAGTAGATAGATCGTTGGTTAGGATGACGACGTGGTGCATGCCGTTCGTGATATGGAAACTCGTTTCGAACGATTCCAGTCAAATCGGTTCTTACGTACGCGATACGCGCAGCCACGGGTCTGTTTAACCACGTAACAATGTAAATATCTTGTTGTGCTGGCCCACCTCCCCCCTCCCCCCCAGTACGTGATGGTGGCCCCGGACCAGCGCGAGCTGCTCAAGGGGATGTTCTTCCCGTACTGCGAGGGCTGTGGCACCCCACAGCTCGAGCAGGCAGTGGGCATCGTGGGTGCTGTCATCATGCCGCATAACATCTACCTGCACTCGGCCCTCGTCAAGGTGCGAGCGCCCCCCACTGGCAGCACGCTTGTGTGCCCCCCCATGCCTTGTGTATCCCTCTGCCTTCAAATATATATCTCTGTGTCATTATGTACCCGTGGGTACCTGTCTGTCCATCTGCCTGCATGTTTCCCCGTTTCAACCAGTGGCTCCGCTTGTGTCTCGGTATATCCCCATGCGTTTCTGTCTCCCTTTGCGTCACCATGTGCCTCTGTGTATTCCCGTATCTCCATTCACATCCTCTTATGTTCCATGTGCCCGTACGCAATCCCCTGGGTGTGCAGTCGCGAGCCATCGATCGCTCCAAGCGTCAGGAGGTGCGTGATGCCAACATGTACTACTTCATCGAGGCCACCGTCGCCCTCTTCGTGTCCTTCCTCATCAACGTGTTCGTGGTGTCCGTGTTTGCCGAGGCCTTCTTCGGGAAAACCAACAACGACGTGGTGAGCACAGCTGGGACGGGTGGTGGTGGTGGTGGTGGTCGTTGGGAGAAAGTTGTGTAGGCTGGTGGTGGTGCTGCTGGCTGGGTGGTGGCGATGTTGCTGGGTGGGTGGTGGTTGGTATGTAGAGGGGGTGGCAGTGGTGAGTTGCATTCCACATGTAGTCAGTGTGAAAAGTCGGCCAAATACCATCGAGAGGGGCTCTCCACTAAAGCCCCCTCTAGTGGAGACCCCTTTTACCAGCAGTGACATGAATGAGCAATTGCAGGGCTGCACCTTTAACTTTAATTTTTACCCTTGTGTCTGAACATTCTGAGGGCTAGAGGTGTAACTTCCATGCTGCCCCCCCCCCCATGCGGTTGGCGGCTCCGCACAAGCCGTCTCGTCCGTCACGAGGGCGCATGTGTAATCGGTCTCTCCTGCCCCCATTCAGCGCACGGTCTGCTTGGATCACCACAGCCCCCACGCGGACATGTTCAGCAACGACTCGAACACGCTGCAAGTGGACATCTACAAGGGGGTGAGGCTCCACCCGCCGTGCTGACGCATCCCGGCCACCTGGATCCATCCCCAGCGTTTCCATTCATTGGCTCATTGCATCTCTGATTAACACCACCTGGGTAGTGAATTAATTTTACCCACCCAGCAGCATAACAAAAGGCGGCTTAATCCTAGCTGGCTTATCTACTTCTGCCATCTTCATGACAAAGGCTCAGTTCCAGCAGCAGTACTGACCATCTCACAACTCCTCCTCTCCCACGGCCCATCTTGGCTCCTCCCCCCTTAACCAGTATATAAGGTCGTGCCTCTTGGGACTTCTCTTCACTTGATACAGATATTTTTCTGTGACCGTTTCACCTGAAGACGGAAGCTTGTGTTGCCTCCGAAACGTCGTGATTTTTATTTTTATTAATTTTTATTTTATTTTTTACCTACGTGACTTTACTGAAAAAACAAAAAGTAAGAGTATAATTCCCCACCCGCCAGCCGTTGCCGTGTGGTGCTTTTGACACAACTAGGGCTGCACGCGCATTTTAGCTTTACGCGCGATAACGTCATCATTCAGCCCTATAGGGTGACGGCACCGTGGCGAAGCCGTAGGCGTTGTTGTTTAAGGGAATCGATGTCTTGTTAGTTTGCTGTCCTTTCCCCGCACCACCGATTAGCACGGTTGGCTACGTACGGTGCGAAACAAGTTCTAGATGCATACGTGTTGTGTAATTCAATTTTGCATGGATGTGACACTTCTGACCACTGGAGGGCACAACGTTCACTTGGATGTTAAACAGAGGAATTGATTCACGTTTGGATCGGTAATTTATTGACGTGCGAGCGAGAGGAGGTAATGTTACACCTGCAATAATTGCACCTCCGATTGGCATTTCTATTTGTGTTTAAAATTTTTAGCCTGTTCACTGTCACGCTACTCGTAAGCAGCTGTTCTGCTCATTTTCATCAACTCTGGAAGTTGCTGTTGAAAGCAGGTTTCCATTTAGAAAGAAAAACATTTTTTTTACCAAATGCACACTTGCAGTTTTGTAAAGTGAGTCAACCGCACACCAGTTTTGGTTGTGGCTACAGAGTAAACGGTGTTAGTTCACCATCTCACCAGCTGATGAGATGAAAACCAGAAGAATATTTCTAAACTTTCATGGTTAATCTTGGTTCTTTCGGTAAAGTCACGTAGAAGGGAAATAATAAAATAATAAAAATAAAACATAATAAAATAATTCTCACGACGTTTCGTGAGAATTATTACTGCAAGCAGCCGTCCTCACCTGAGGACGGCTGCTTGCGTTGTGACCGAAACGTCGTGAGAAATATTTGATAAAATGTTATTCTTATTATTTAATTATTTCCCTTCTACGTGACTTTACCGAAAGAACCAAGAAGATGAATCCTTGCAGTCACGAAAGCTTTAAATCGAAATTTCATGGTTAAATTCCACCCCCTGCCCTTCCCCCCTAACGAAACGTAATTTTTGTTTCCCCCAAATGTTTCTCTTCATTTTTCTTCATTCTCCAAAACTATTCGCAACTCATCTCAGATAGTTACAAGATCAGGAACAGAGTTTCGTAACACTACCTGAAGATTTCCATGGTAAATGTTTTTAGCTCTGGGTGTTTGGAGCTAGGTCAAAGGTCGGCAGCCAAAATAACCAGATGACCCATTTTTGTTCGAATTCGATACAAAAACTCAATATTTAAAGAGCGCGTGAATACGAGATGGTGGTCCTTAAAAATAACGTCACTAAGCAGTCCTGAAACAGCTGCATGCAGCTCTGGAGCCACAATTTGCCAACCCCTGAGCGAGGTCAAAGGTCATAACTCTTACAAAGCTCATAAGCAATACCATAGGTCCCTGGTTCTTTCCGGGCAGAAGGAGCCTGAACTCACCTCTGCGTGACGAAACCTCGTCAAGTCGGTGCTCTGACGGACAGAACAAATGGGAGACGGACAAATTAAGGGCCTCGTTCTGTAGTCCCTGTTACGTTTCGGTGTCTCGCGAGCCTCTGCTCGTGCGCTCACTCCTCTCGTGCCGGTGCCGCCCCTCCCCGGCCAAACAGGGCATCGTGCTGGGCTGTTACTTCGGCCCCGCGGCGCTCTACATCTGGGCTGTGGGAATCCTGGCGGCCGGTCAGAGCTCCACCATGACTGGCACCTACTCCGGGCAGTTCGTCATGGAGGTGCGGCGGGGGGACGTATCGCACCGTTCGCGCTGCATAGCCGTCTCGCCGCACTGTGCCGCTGTTGCGCTGCACCACCACGGGGCGCAGCGTCTGCTCTGGGCAGTTTGTTACGGGGGTTTGGAGGTCACTGCATCCCACCGCAGAGCGCCGCGTCTCGTCGCAATGTGCCCCTCTGCACCCGTGCGTCACATCTCACGTCGGTGGCGAGTGACACTTAAACGGGTTCTTGGCACGTATTAGATTGACTCGGCCCTAAGTGAGTACGTGGTGCAGATGTCGAAGCACGAGTATTGGGGAGATTGGTCGGGCGTGGTGTTCGCCACACCACCCCCTCGTGCGTCGTACTGGGTTTAATAGGTGCTCACGAACAGCGGCAGCCCCAACAGTGACCGTGTGCACATGGTGCCTCCTATAGGGGTTCCTCGACCTCCAGTGGTCGCGGTTCCGGCGCACGCTGGTGACGCGATCCATCGCCATTTTCCCCACGCTGCTCGTCGCCATCTTCCAAGACGTGCAACACCTGACGGGCATGAACGACTTCCTCAACGTGCTGCAGAGCCTGCAGGTGCCACCTCCTCCCTCCTCTTCGAGCCTGCGTCTTCTGCCTCTGTATCTTTCCCTGCCTCTCTTTCCCATTCATCTTTTTCCACCTCTCCACTACTTATCTCCACTGCCTGCCTCTCTCTCCCATCTCGCTCTCCACCTGCTTTACACCCTGCCTCTCTCGCAGGCCTCACTCTCGCTTACCTCCATTCCACTGTGTTTTACTCGCTGTCCACGAAAATCCTTGCAACCGCATCGATGTTCAGCTTCCTCGGCTTGTGTTTACTAAGATTGTATTACGACAAGTGTGGGTTTCTCTCAACACTCCCAACTCTATAAGCAACAAAAACGCTGCTCGGATATGGAATTCAAGAACTATTTAAAGGAGGACCTCCCCGACAAAAAGACGGAAGGAGGGTGAATGCTTAAGCGAGTCTTTCCTGAGTGAACATTTCAAAAGGCTCTTCTCTTCCGCTCACTCTGTCGCCATGAATTCTTGCCGAGGCTGCCAGTGCGTGCTGTCACCGGCTATCGACGTCTTAATGTTGTGAACGCGTCCTCTCTTCCTCCGCAGCTGCCTTTCGCCCTCATCCCCATCCTGACCTTCACCAGCTCCAAGAACCTCATGGAGGAGTTCACCAACAATATGTGAGTGGCCTCCGCATCACCAACCCCAGCGTATCATCGTCTTTGCCTTCCTGCCTTTTTTGGAAATCGCGATAGAGGGAAATAAAAAACATTCTTTGTGAGATTTGGGAATTTTTGCAGTAGATTTATTATGAACAGTACTCTTTCTAGAAGGGTGGGTGGGAAAAATTTGTAGCAGTTTATATATAGATAAGGTACAAATGAAGACTGTTGATGCAACCCTTACAGTCACGAGAGGTGCGTTATAATCAACGCCATGTTAACAATAGAAAATTAACCACCATTGCATCAAATCGTGATAGTTTGTCGAATCGCGATAGGGGACGAATAGTTTAATGCCTCGATGCCACAGTGGCAGCTGTCTTCAAATCGTAAAATCGCCTTCGTGTGTCGCCGACCTTCACGGCTGTATCGGCTGCCTTCCCCACGAATCCGCTGCCACCCATCACCGCGGTGCCGCCCGCGCGTTGTCGCGCAGGTTCTGGAAGGTGGGCGGCGGCATCGTGGTGCTCCTCGTGTGCTCCATCAACCTCTACTTCGTGGTGGTGTACGTCAGCGCCCTGGGCCACGTGGCACTCTACGTCGTCGCCTCCATCATCGCCGCCCTTTACCTCGCCTTCATCGCCTACCTGGTGCGTGCAGGAACGCCCGCACGCTTGAACGCCGGCTATCCTACCTGCTCACCCGCCCGCTATCCGGGAGAAGTGCTCGTAATTCACCATGTGGTGTTGGACGTATTTTGGCAAACAGACTTAATCTTCCGTGCCGGGATGTTGGTGCGTCCAGTTTCGTGTTCCATAAATAAGCATGTTTTCTAAAACTATAGGTGATTTAAGAATGTAAGAGAGTAGGGCAAATACCTTTATAACTCCCCTCTAGTGGAAGCCCTAACACAGCTGTGGCATGGGCCAGCAATTGCAAGGGTTATACCTGTACCTGTGGGTAATGCCTCTCAGACAGATGTCTTGTATGTTATTAGAAATGTATTTAAATGTTGACTTCGACTAAACAATTTGTGGAACTGCCCTGAAGTAAACTCAGCATTTCCCACTCTTCCTGCATCGTCCGGGAAATGAGTGACAGTTTACTGTCTCCGCTGATACGTGTGCACGTGTATGTGCGTTTGCGCGCGTGTGTGTGTATGCGTGCGCGTTGTGTTTATCTTGTTTCCCATTCCCGTCTCTGTTCCACGGCCCACATCCCCCCACCTGCCCTCTCCATCTGCCCGTCCGTGCATGTGTGCAGGTGTGGCAGTGCCTGCTGGTGCTCGGCGTGCAGCCATGCGGTGGCTGTGCCGCGGTAAGCCGACACGGGGATTTCTCGCGCCAGGGCGTGCTCGTGGCGGACGATCGTTCGGGAGACGGGCCTCTCGCTCCCGAATGCAAATTGTGACGGCCTCGTGTCGTCACCCCCCCCCACCCCCTCATCTGCCCACTCCCCAGCAACCCGTTTCTTCTTTTCTCCTGCCACCCACCTCCCGCCTCCCACAACCCCTCTCTTGCCCGCCGACCCACCACACGGCATGCGCGCACCGCTCTCACCAGCGGAGAGTTCGTATGGACTCTGCCAGGATGGACCGTTATTAAAAAAACCGGCAATCGGTGTGGTACTGTTGCAACGGTGCGGGTTTTGCTGAGGAAGAAATGTAGCGTTTTTAAACTCTGCCCCGATGCTTGGCGTGATTGTACAAGTCCCTTCACGTCCACAATACGGATGTAACTGCTTAGTGAGTGTTTCCAGGTTGATTGAAGGAAGGTTCATTCCAAGAAAAACCCGATCGGCTCTCATCGTGTAGCTAAATACACAGGCCATCTGTCTCTGGCTGTGCAACATAGGATTTAATCTTTGTTTGAGGAAAAGAAACACTTAAAATTTTGGGTCAAGTACTTCATTTTCCCACTTCAAAGACATTATTGCAATGTTACTCCCAATGTTTGAGTTCAACTTCAAAGTCTGTTTTTCTCCTTGTTACTCAAGCTTTGCACATGTATGGGACAGCCCAGGTCACATGGCCTAGGTGTGTAGCTATAAGATAAGAACTGTTTTATTGGGTGGCATCCGTATATAAAATGTATACATTTTAAAAAAGGATGCTTTAAACTTAGCCCATCATCTTATCCTATCAACTCCGCTCAGGGTCCATAAAATCAGTACCCACTATGTGGTAATATAATAGTAGTCAGATGGATAAACGGGCCACCATCATACAAATGTGGAATTTCAACCACATGCATAGGGGGCCGCCAGTGTAGATGAGCACGACCCACCACGTTGCTCATTTGAGCAGTGGGACAAACTGGCGTGTTCATTCACAACATTGCAGGGCTGTCTTTCCACCGGCTAGCCACTCGCAATAACCTGGCCAGAATAATGTTGAAGCGTTTGGTGGTCTGGTGATGTTACCTGACATGCAACACATGGGAGGACTGATCCTATGGTCATACTCGCTCCTTTTTCCATCTAGAAATCACCCTTTATGCAAGCTGCAACTCCTGTTTCTAGCCTTCACTCAAGTCTTCTGTCTGATGAGCATCTCCATTTTCAGAATTGGTTCGGCAACTCGCTCGTTGGCTATTCCATCGCCCGACGTAACGTTTAACGCGGTCTCTCTCAGGCCACTCAGCCGCACGCACCCATGGAGGTGTCGGTGCAGTGAGGTCACCGCCCGTGCATTCCTTCCGCTGCCAATTTGGCAAAAACAAACAATAGTTAAACAGTATGGACAGATCCTTAGCGAGGTACGGTGGCGTGTTAACTCAATTGCTTGCAGCCTTTCACGGTGGCACGAACACTGCAATTTTTTTAGTTTATTCTTAAATTGTAACGATTGTTAAAGGGTGGCTATGCTGATGATTTTTTTTTCTTTATGTATTCGTTTCGGTGGTTCCATTCCCACTGCGCATTCTACATGAGTGTTGTTGTTGCAGCTGCTGCTGCTGTCGCCCTGGTACTTGGTTGAGTGCGTGAGCGACGGTGACAGTGGCTGCTGGTGCTGCGTGTTGCCGGACCGCGTGCCTAGCGGCAACCAGTGCGTTGCCTACTGTGCTCCGTGCAATCAGTGTTTTTTGTGCCGTGTTCAGTGCAATCAGTGTATTGACAATACAGTGCACGGCACTGCCTGTGTTGTTGTAGAGTGTTATTATTATTGTGCGCGTGGGGGCCTTTTGTGGAGGCTCGTTGCCGTTGCGAAGCTTTGTTTCACTATCCGTAGCATTTCTGAATTTTTGTTGTCATTATTACTGTCACCGGCCTTTTTGCAAATCAACGACCCCTTGCTTTTAACAATGCAGTATCAGGGATCCTGCCTCAAAAAGAGGCACATTAACGGTTTATCCTGAAGTTTCTCTGCCTTGGTCTGCAGTGTTTACACTGATGTCTCACTTTACAAGGATCTTGTCTCTATAGATGCTTCATAGCAAGGAGTTGCGCTGTCTTTTGTTCTTGCACTACGCCTGATTTTTAGAACCAAATACTGTTTCGCACATGCAGTCACTCTCTACTAGCAATGGGGAGTTGAGTGCTACACTAACAATTGTTTCAGGGAGAGCATTTTTTTTATCTGAAATAAAAATGGGATCCCCAAAAAAAAACAGTTTGTCTTTAAGATTTTTTATGGTTTTGTTTCTCAATGATAGATGGTAAAACGCAACAACTGAATGGAATTACGTCTTTGGTGTGGTGATTTTGAGGCAAGCGTTGGTGGATCACACGGATGTGTGAATTTCCCATACCTGCATGATGGCAGTCCAGCACATTGGTTTCTAACCGACTGTTAAGAAACTTTGTGCATTTTACCCTCATGCGTGTGTTTTCCATGGGCACTCAGTGTTGGACACTCCTTAAAAGAGGTCTGGTGACTCGGTTGAAAGTTTTCTGGATTAATTTATTATTGCATCGTCAATACTGGATTGTATGTTTAAAGATTCTCTGTCAATACACTTCCTGATGAAGGCCTCACCAAGTCGTGACATTAGTGGGCATCATTTGACCATATTTTATGCTGGTCAATGTGGATTTGTGGCATTAACGCTTTGACCCACGTTGCTGTATTGATCTTGAATGCCAGTTTGCAAAGGGGAATGGATGTAGAAACGTAGAACCCGTTCGGAAATCACTTGATGATACTGCCTTGGATGGGAATAAAACTTGGCTCGATGTAGTCGCAGGGCAGTGCTGTACCACCTGATTGTATGTGTGTATTAGTATCAGAATATATTTATTTTTCAGATGTCACTACTGGATATTGAGTTGACATCTGAGTGCATGCACCTCCACTCGTGATTTGCACTGGTGGATCTTGCACTCGTTCTTGGCTACAGGGTTGTTGTGAATGTGCACAGATTGAGCTTGCTGTGGGGAATGCGTTTGAGTCATCGGCCACAACCAAATGATGCTTGCAAATACGTTCTACCTCTCGGCATAGGCAGCATAAACTTTGCCTGCTTGGGATATTTTCTCCCAGCATGCAGCTGCTTACCTGCCATGGCAAACGTACTGGCTGTTGGTGAGGCTCTTGCCGGGTCGTGGTGAATGTTTATGCCTTCCTTGTGCCACAGTAACACCACCAAACCAGCCTGTTGTTCCCCAAACCTACAAGCTTCCAAGCTTTGAAAGTAAAAAAAGTTTCATATGAAAAAAAAACCTGTCAACGATTTTAGTACCAAATTATTGCAGTATGTCGCACTCTGGGATCATAATAATAATAACAAATGAACCTTGTGGCGGGACCCCGGGGTCCTGAATAAATGGAAGTCAAAATCGTAATTAATTAGTTTATTTTTGGCAACTCCGTCCCACCGCGCACATAAACGCCGCGACCCACCAGAAATCAATCCTCTCGTTCTTCACCAAGCACCCGTTGTTGCCAAAATTGCCGTAGTCATAAACAAAACTTTGATTAGCGCATCGTGTAGAGCTCGTCGAGAGGAATAGATTGCCGTATCGTTCGCCTTCAACAGACATAAAATGACGTCGCAACGCAGTTTATGCGAGAGCCGGGGGCTTATAGGACCCTGGGGTCCTGCCATAAGGTTCAAATCAGAAACTACAGTTTGGGGTGACAGTGCATTTCCGAGAAGGGCTTTGTTACCTCCAGCACTTGAGACCGCGTCCTGTGGAATTCGAGTGAAGGTGTCCATGGTGAAGCGATGTTGGCATCACTTGACCCGCTCTGGATTGGTGCACTTGCTCAACGGCATGTGGCCAATCCGGCTGTAAGATCTCTGAGCTAACAGGTTTAACCTCATTGTTTCCACTAACCTCTTCCAGTCCTCTGTCTTTATAATTGCCCTGGCAGGTGTGGAGAGGACTTCCCGCGGTAAGGCCTCACTCTGTGCCCCTTTTGTCGTGGCATCATCTCTGTGCGCTGCCACGTTCACCGCTTGTGCAGCGTCGCTACGGTTCACGCATTTTTCTCTTTTTTTTCACTGGCTGAGTAGCGGTATGATTCCTCCGATCATTAATTTAGTCCTCTGCTTCTAATACATCAGCAGCAGTGGTTGCTGACTTCGTTCTGAAGGACCCCTCCACGGCCTTCTGTTGTTCATATATACTCTTATTGCATATTTGGGGGTCATTCGCGGCACGAGAACAGCCGCATCCATTGAGAGGTATCATGGATGTGATGTGCCGGATGCGGAAACATTCCGAATCGCCAACTCGGACATCCTCGGCTGAAACCGGGTGTATACCATATCAACGAGCAGACGAGCAGTGTTTGCATCGGGTGCTTAATTGTCACATCAACCAATTTTTACTGTAAATGGCGGAGGCCGGCCAACAATGAGGAAATCTGGGCGATGGAGGGTCCCAAGAACTGGAGATCACCACCAGAGAGCACGGTCACGTGTCTACGTGCATGCGAGAGAGATCGTTTGATCACCAGCACTTGCTTTGTCACCCCAGCAATCCGCTCGTACAGCACCTGCATTTTTGCAAATTGATGCACCTGAAATCAAAACGTGCGGCCACGGCGTGCTTTTGTGTTTTCTGTGAGTAGGCTGTTGAAGCGAGATTATTATCGCTCGGCATCTTGGCCCTTTCTTTGCGTTGTTGATGTAAGCATTCTTGAGGCTTGACAGGTCAGATGTTCAGTGATCTCACCACTGAGCCAGATCACGTGGGTCCACGCTCAAAATCTAAATCCCACCCCCCCCCCTGCAGTGCCATACATGACAGCGTGCCGCCTGCTATTATCGACAAAATTAAAGGATTGCATTGGCAGTCCCGTGCAATCATGAATTTAAAAAACGCCACGACATTTATCATTGATCCTTGCTTATGAGTTAAATTCCCATCCATGGCTAACATAAGTCGTGAGTGATGCCCGAATTCTTCCTTGCCCACCCCACCCCCGTCCACCCCACTCCCCCGTTATAAGGCACTTACATTGTTCAACGAGGAATGCAACGAGTTCTTTGGACCGTTTCAAGTGAACCCTTGAGATGGCTGCTTGAGACGCTCTAGTCGTTGATGGGTCATTATTTATCCAATTTGTGCCCCGTGGAGGCCACTTAAGATGGTTTCAAAAATCCAGATCATTGTGTGCCTTGGGGTAATGGTACATATCTCAAGTACTGTTAGGTTTTTTCGGTAAAGTCACGTAGGTAAAAAATATAATTAAAATTAATAAAAGTAAAATAAAAAATCACGACGTTTCGGAGGCAACACAAGCTTCTGTCTTCAGGTGGAACCGTCACAGCACGCTTGCTGTATGAAGTAAAGAGAAACTCCAAGAGACCTGACCTTGTATATATACTGCTTGAGGGGGGAGGAGCCAAGATATTTTACTTTTATTCATTTTAATTTTCGTTTTTACCTGCGTGACTTTACCGAAAAAACCTAAGAGTATGAATCCTTGCAGTCACGAAAGCTTCAAATCTAGAATACATATCTCAAGTGTCACTCTTACCGTCAAGCATGCATTACGAACATTTTAAACCGTCGCTTCTGATAAGCAAACAATGATTGGTCGACACTTGATATTTAGGGAGTGACTTGATAAATTTCATGAATCTCACCATCGGCACATTGAGCTCGAGTCACATCTTAAACTAATGGCCAAAGTGCATCGACATTTCCTTGGCAATTCTTCCTACTATTCGTGATGATGGAGACATCGTTTGCAGTTCTACAATGAATTGGATGAATTTGAACGTTCACCAACAACGCTTGAATCTAATCCTTAGATCACTTAATGCTATGTCAGGGGACGTCCAAATGTTTTGAGAAAATGTTGATTTAACCTTAGCAGAGATACATGGCTTGTATATTCATTTTTCAATGCAATCTCAATGAATGTTTCGATTCAGAGTCACGATTTTGAATCGACGATCTTAAAAAAATATATGTTATGGTGTGTTGATTGTGGCCGAATGTCGTGACTGGAGGGTCAGGTGAACCCATTGCTTGCAACGTGGACCGGTCCATAAAACATCGATTTGCACGTGTCGCAAATTTAGGTATCGGTATTGATCGCCGGATCGTTGCACCCCAAAATAAACTCAAAGGCTGTTGGAATCGCATTATCAAAACATTTATTGGACCTTTGCAGCATGATTCGCCGCTACGTTTTACTTGAGCAAGTTATGTACTTAATGTTTTGTGTGTGCTACTGTGTGTATGTTTTCGTAAATATAGTAAGATATTTACAAAGATTAATGATATAGAAATGTGGAATTTCATCCACTGGCTCAGGGCAATACATTGGAGATAGCCATCTCCCAACATTTTCTTCAGTGTCAGAGACCCCTGGCCCTCAACAGGCCAAATAAAATAAAATGTTACTGATATATATATAGAAACACTTCTACCCATGCCAAACAAACACCATAATGTGGTGCGGAAGTGGGGCGGGTAGTCGCTCACTAAGACTAATTACCCATGCGCTTGAGAGTCTAATACAAGCGAATTTTAACAAGACGAGCAAATATTGCAGTGCGGCTGTGCTGACGATCTCCATGTGCGTTGTCCACAGCTGCGGCGCCACAGCGCCATGGAGGCTCTGCTGATGGACGATCGCAGCGCGGACGAGTGGCCTACCCAGGACGAGCGGCGACCGGACGACAGCCGGCTCCTACGGGATGATAGCCTGGAGGAGGACCGGCGCTCTCTTGTTGACCACCCGGAGCATTAGTCGGAACGCCAACACCTCGGGAGGGCGATTCCAACGGCGCTGCAGGACGGCGACCGAGAAGAATGCCGTTGGGACTGGCACCGCCACCACCGCCGCTAACATCCTCCTGCTGCTTTGCCGGCCGTGGCGGCGACGGCTCGTGCACATGTCACCGCCATGGCCGTGGCGTGGTCTGAGTGCTCGCTTGTTGCTGGTGGAGGCCGTTATTACCTGGTGCTAAGCAAAGGGGTGGGGAACCTTTTCCTTCCTGAGAGCCGAAGAGTACATTGAAATACCTTTTGGAGGGCCACGCAATTAGTTATCGGACTATTGCATTGACTGTGTGACTTGCACTACTTGAAAGACAGCAGGTGACTCGATCGCGCAAAAATTAGTGACGCGCTGTTTGGCAGGTTGAAAATGTAACCCTCGATCGAGTGCTCAACTAGTGTGGCCAAGAATTATCGCAGTGATGGATATAAATATCGTTTTCGGGCCGTTTTTAAGCGGCAGGTTTCATGTGGCCGCCAGCCGTATGCATTGAAGTCGCGGGCTGAATTTGGCCAATGGGGCCGTGTGTGTTCCACCCCGGCCCTAATCGACGACCGGGATTGGTGCGGGAGACGCAGTCGCCGTCGTGGGACGCATCGAGGTGGCCGAGCTGTCGACCGTCTAGAACTGTCGAGCGCCCACCTCGCTTCACGTGGCACGCGCTCGCGTGTGGGCGCGTGTTTTTTTTAAATCGTAACTAAAACTTTTTTAAGGTTCTTGAAGCACAATCGAGGGTGTTTGCTGGTGTGTGCACTCGACCTGGAGGGTGAGCTGCAGTCCCGGCTCCACGATGCTTGGCAGCCAGGAACGGTAATCGGGGCTTAATTTCGACCGAGTTTTACCAGGTCAGCGACCCAGAAAATATTCCGTGAGAAGTTAAGCCCCGAACGTGAGCATTCCACATGTGCTTCTGCGTCTGTGTTATGTGGCACAGGGTTGACCGCCGCTTCCTTTTTCTCCGATGTCCATTAGTTGCTATTTGTCTTTGCCTGTCCGTTGGGGTCCCTCTGTCAAGAGTTTTCTCAGTGAGTTCCCTCCTTTAAGAAGGACTCATTTTTATAAACGCCGGGAAGGATGATGAGCCCCAGTTGACTCCTGACCCAGCTTTTAACTTGCGACTTTTCTGTTTGTGAGTCGAGCGCTCTGATCACTGTGCTGCCCAGACTGAGCGTACCGACGTCAACAATGCATATCGCCATAATCCTCTTTGGAAATCACCTATCCACTGCTGGGTGATGTCTTCCACAAACCGTCGCTGTCCCGCATGGTCACGCTATCCATCGATCCATCGAGCTCCTTCGCACAAGCCTCCGATGCAGACGTCCTGTGAGGCGTCCCCCTCCTTTGCTACCACGCATTTATTGTATACGACAAACATTAAGTAATAGCTACGTAAACTTCGGAGGGTTAATAAGGTTGGTGGGTTGTGCGCCGTGCCTTCTTTCACAGGTGCTCGCTCTCAGCACTTGCCCCAACAGTCTGCTAAGGCTGTACCGGGGATCTTTGTCTTTTCGAGGAGGGGGGGGGGGGTGGTGCAGTACCATTGTTGTTTAGGTGCGAGTGCGGCAGAGCCGCTTGTGCCATGTGGCTGCACCGAGACGCGAAGTGCCGTGATCCGCGGATCGGAGAGCGTGTTTTGGTCGCACCTGAAACCGTGGGCAGGACCTGGTGGGCAACATGGGTGTGTGTGTGTGTATGTATGCCCACGTGATAGGAAGATGTAGAGGGGAGCGGTAGTGTAGAGGTTATCGTGCTGCGCTCCGAACCCGGCGACCCGAGTTTGATTCCCGCTCATGGCCACCACGAGTGACGATTATCTGAACTGGTCCTGGGACTCCCCTAGGTTGAGTCATCAACAAATGAGTACCTGGTGCAGTGTGTAAATATCGCCACTAGGGAGACAAAGGCGGCCGGGCGTGGTGCTGGCCACCCACCCCCTCGTGTGGCGTGCCGGCCTTCATAGGTGCTTGATAACAAGCACTTATGAAGTATGTTAAGGCTATACGGGGATCTTTGTCTTTGATAGGCAGATTATTATTATGATCAACACGAGTGCCAGCACTAATTGATAAGAGTTCTCCTACATAAGTAAACATCCTTTCGTGTGAGTATTGGACATGTGTACGTGCTGCTTGGTGTGTGTTACCAGTTTACCAGCGTCGCTGTGTTTGGAAGCTGTGCATTGTCCATGAGGTTTTGGAAGTTTAGGCAGAGATGTGCATTGATCCAGAGATGTGTTTTAGCAGGCGTCTCTTTGAGCCAGCTGTGCATTGTCTGCAGGAAAAGAGCATAATTTTATTTTAATTTTAATGTGATGTGATGTGAGTTTTGTGCCAAGTGGTTTCCAGCAAAATCCTCCTTTGGCAAAGGGGGGTGTGATTTTCATCAAACTTTGCACCAAGATGACCACATCTGGGCGAAGATTTCCAGCCCCAGTTGCTGTCGGCTTCCTTCAGAACGGACGTTCAGACTTGCGTCGTCGTGGTTGGGTTACGTGGAATCTCTTTTTATAACGCGGTTCCACGATGCGTAACACCGATGACGGCAGAAACAGCTGGGGCGCATTGATTCCTTGCCAAATTGTCAATGGGATACATTTTCGGACCTGGAATTCGGTGGCGTGTGAACATCATTGTAAGTGCGACGGGAGGGGGGGGGGGGTCTAAAATATGTATATGAATATTTAATGAATACATTTTTTTAATGCTATGAATATAAAAAAATGAATATCCAAAAATATGAGGGTGCAAGGTTCCCACTGGCAGAGCACGTGGTAGACCGGCAATCCCAAGGGTCCCAGGGTTCACCAATTGTGTCGGCGGACTGCGTGCCTCGGCTCGTGGTTGTTGACCTTGTGCTCTTTCGCCTTGTCCGGCTTCCAGAGGTTTTACTGTGTGGGCTGTGTTTGCAAGCTGGGAAATAAGTATGGTTTAAGGGGGGCTGACTAAGCCCTGTTGGCCCTCGCTACCCACCGTTGGTGGTGTTCACCAGATTTTATGGCAGAAAGATTGACTTATCGTATGAGGTCGCACTTTACACTTTGGTAGCTGAGCATCTCTGAAGTTTGTCGAGTTAACGGTTTTGAATTGATATACGAACATTTCCCCCCCCCCCCGTTAATATATTGAGTAACAAATAAACATCAAGTATTACTGTTTTTTATGTTCACAGATACATTATCTACACAATTACTCTTTGGTTCTTTCGGTAAAGACGTCGAAAGAAAATAAAATAAATCGTAGAATACGACGTTTCGATTGTAACACAAGCAGCCGTCATCAGGTGTGAATGCAAGCTCGGAGAGAGACAAACACAGACACGGAGAGAGACAAACACAGACACGGAGAGAGACACAGAAACACATAGAGGAGAGACACAGAGAGAGACACTGTTTGTCTCTCCGTCTCTCCGTGTGTCTGTCTCCGTGTCTGTGCTTGTCTCTCTGTCTCTCTCCGAGCTTGCATTCACACCTGATGACGGTTGCTTGTGTTGCAATTGAAACGTCGTATTCTATTATTTATTTTATTTCTACGTGACTTTACCGAAAGAACCAAAGAGTAATTCCTGCAGTCACGAAAGCTTCGAATCAAATGTCTACACAATGTAAAATTTGATTACGTTTGCAGCATGATGTCTCTCCAGGTTTCTGACGTCACACTGGTGTAACGTGCTCAGAATCGCCTTAAAAGGGGACCACGTGCCGCATGCACCTTGTAGCTGCGACTGCTGCCCTGTCGGCGTTTGCTTTGAGACGGGGTCAGGGGGTCTCTTGCACAGCGACGATGAGATGTATTGCTTGTTTACCCAGGAAAGCCTCACTGAGTCAGTCTCAAGACACGTTTTCAGGAGGGTCGTACTAAAGTTTATCACAGTAGGGGGCGATGATGCTACGTATATATGTTGAACTTCTTTCGCACCGTACCTACCCGGGAGGTGTACTCCCAGTATGAATTTGCGTAATTTTTCGGCAGAGGGATGTTTGGCCAATGCCAGTTACAACGCATGTTTTTTTAAGTCTTAGGTTTATAATATATGGAGGCCCAACAAACAACACAACCTATATTTTCTCTACTCTTTGGTTCTTTCGGTAAAGTCACGTAGGTAGAAAAATAATAGATCACGACGGCTACTTCAGCAGTTTTTTCTTGCTGTGGTTGTCCCACCTGATGACGCTTGCTTGTGTTGCGATCGAAACGTCGTGATCTATTATTTTTCTACCTACGTGACTTTACCGAAAGAACCCAATAGTATGGATTCCTGCCGTCACGAAAGCTTCAAATCTATATTTTCTCAGTTATTTTAAACTGATACAAAATGTTCCATAATCATGGGAACGTCATAAAACAGTTGGTTGTTTTCATCATGGTCACCAACCTCTGTGCACTTCGGCGAACTTGGAACCAGGACCAGAATTGACGGCATTCAAATGAGTATTCGGTTATATGTAATCAACAGCAAACAGCATCCGGTATAGCAGTGCCATTTTTCGAAATGTAGGCCATCCTTCAAAGAGCTGGACAGATGAGAATGTGGTGCCAGATCTGGGCTATCTGGTGGATGGAGCAGTGCACCGCACACCGAACTCTCGAATGGCCTCGGAAGTTCTCGGGATCGTCTGTGGTCTGTAGTCTGCTGGAGGAGGATCTGACAATTTGTCGTGACATTCATGATTATCAGTGGTGAATCGTTTCAATTTTATATCGATTTAATTACAAGTTCTGAGAAAGCAACAGGAGGCCTGTGGATTTTTCTCCGGGTCCTCCGTTTTTCCCTCCACGTTTAGAAACATGCGTTTCGAGTATATGGCTGCTATAAAGTTCCACATAAGTCACTTTCTTGACCCATCATTTGTGGCCAGGTCGCTTCCAAAAAAAAGCTATATAGCTCCGTGGGCCTTTCCTGGTAAAATAAAAATGTTTTTACCCCCACCCCTCGTCCGGATAAGGCTTGTACAACAAATGTCCCTTGCCGAATATCCGATTGGTATCCTGTTAATGTATTAATTTATAATTCTATTTATACCAGTAGAAATCAAAATGTATTTAATAATGAAATAATAAATGCGTGCTCTATTCGCATTATTTGACGCTTAGTGGAGAAATGATCTGCATAAAATCACTTTCAACACAAGGTCGGTGTTTTTGACTTTGCGTACATGTCAAATACGTCACGGTTTTTGTGAAATACACGCACAAGTGCCTGTAAACGTGGGTACGTTTAGTCGAATGATTGCATGTTTTTTCATAAATTGCCAAACTGGTGGTGCGTGAAGCCACCGGGTCAAATGGATGCCAAAGACATCTCGATCGACGACTTGACGTTTCTTTTAGTTTGGCCGGCAGTGCCAATTCTATGATGCTCATTATCACATAATTAAGAGAAATGCCCCCTGTACTTTTCTGCCCCTCCCCCCCCCCCCCCCCAAATGAGGCAGCTCCTTGGGGTCAAGTTAGAGGTCATCGTGGATGTCATTCATGCTACAAGACCTCGCCATCTATTTCCTTTTGAAGATCCCACAGCAGTTTTGGTTGAGACGTGACGTGACTTACAACGGCTGCTCACACTCATCCCACTGTTGGCGTTTTACACTAAGTGTGGATTTGGGTGCCCCCCTCCCCCCCACAAGGTCGTCTCACCCCCCACTTATTATTCAATCCTGGAATCGCCACTGTTTGCTGGTGCACGGTGCTGGTGACAATTGAGATGCGTGCGTCTTTCTAGGTCAGAGTTGAACGCGTTTAACGTCGCTGCGTGCACACAAATAAGAGGGTGGTCTTCATGCTGAAAGTCCTGTCCCAAGAAAAATGTTACGTTTAAATGTGTGGCGGTCAGCACATACCACAGCCTGGCAGTGAAGGTCCCGTTCCACCTACACGTGCATTATGGCCAAAGTGTTGTCTCCTTTAATAAATGGATGTTCCAAGACTGTTGGGAGTAAGCCTGTTATTTAAAAATGCATACTCTTAACTCCGTGAAGATAAGGAGGTTGACCTTTCAGACCCGCGAAGAGCCCAGGGGGGAGTGGTGGTGAAGTGGTTGGACAGCACAAACCCAGCAACCTCAGTTCGGCTCCCAGTCACAGCTAATATCCGCGGGAAGTGATCTGTACTGGCCCAGGCTTCCCCATCTTCGCAAATCTGCACTAAAGTATGGTTCATGACTGCCCCGGCATGGAGATGCCTTCAGCCAACAGTGGATTGGCATCGGGCCGTATATTAAATTAAGAACCCCCAGACACCCGAATTAAATTTGTCGAGGGAGACGAGCTCATTGTGCCACTGGGATCCGAGTTCTCGGGGCACAAGGCAGAGAGACTTGCGCGTGGATTGTATAGTGGAGGTTTTATTTGCTTCGCCAATGTCCAACATTCAATACAGGACAAACAAAGTGTAAAGTGATTTTTCATGTGTATATATTATTAAAATAACACCTTTCATTTTTCCGAATAAATACCGTTTGGTAACCAGATTGTGCAGTGTAATAGATGTGATGTTTGTATTTGAAGGTAAATGTTACAATACCATTTCAATTTAATAACGCAGCCTTGTGTCTATACAAACATACCCTATGTACATAACAAAACTCGATTTCACCAGAGTGAAGTATGGCCACAAAGCCCTTCGACACGGCTTAACAGTAGATTGATAAGGGGGGGGGGGGTGCAATTGGTTACACAACTTAATATTCACTAACAAATCGAATTCTGCATTTCTCCAATGTCTGAATGATGCTCCAGGCTCTTATAAATTGGCACCAAGCTTTCAACAAAAAACAATTTTAAAACACATGTACAGCCCTTTATCAATCCACTGCAGGATAAAGGCCTCACCTACTGTTGGTTATATGGATTGTTTCACGCTTCACCATGCTGATCAGGACAGGTTGGTGAAGGGAAGGGCCCAGGACCAGCTGAGGCATCTCACAAATAAACGCAAGCTGTGGCTGGGAATGAAACTTTGTTCACCAGGTACACAGCCAGCCCAGTGCACGTGCTACTGCACCATCCCCTCCCATTCATCGCTTTTGTAAATAAAACGTGCACTAACAACTTTTACCACTACAGGATGCAAGGTCGATACATCCATCCACAAACCACTGCCCCCCCCTCCCCCACCAAGCCTCGCCACCACCGGCCAGAGGCTTTGGTGCAACTCTAAGCAGTCGCGGTTAAAACCACAATCATTTCCTCAAGCCAACACCCCCAACGCCGAACGCTGGGAAAATGCAAATCATGGCTGCTTGCACCACATCTGCCCACCCTTCATAAAAATATAATGGCCAGACGGTTTAGAGGTTGCCTGGCACTGCCCAGACCCTAGGTTCTAATCCAGTCAGCCACCTGTGATTAACCCGGGATCAAGTGCAGTGCATTGCTCGTTTCAGCCTGGTCACCAACAGCTGAAAAAAGCCCCTCAATTAAAGTTGGTTCTATATTTAAATTTGGCTAATTGACAGCTCTGAGAAATACATTTTTACGTTTGATTCCTGCAATGAGCAGTGCTGTCTCGCAAAGCGAGTAGTAAAATGCTCGTCACCTTTGTTGACCACAGGTCACTTGAACGGATCTCCCAAGTAGCTTTGTGATATCTGCAGGCTATTGCTGCTTTGAGATATGTGCCATCATTGTCATGTTGGGATAAAATTGGTGAAACAATAAAAATAAAAAGGAGCCTCAAGATGTTGCTTTGGTTTCCCTCACCAGCATTGCAGCAGTGACAAAGGAAACAAAACTAAAACATCACATGCACATTTATTCAGTCCGACAGCATAGCATAAACAAGGTAAATTATCAGTGGCATCAGTGGGATGCCAAAGAGGTTACACGAACATCAAGGCAACATGGGACAACGCTCGTTTGCTTAAATACAGCTGCGGCAATATACAGGAGTCTGCATCTCTCCCCACGCCAACGCAAACAAATGTCCACAATACAATATTGCCTATTGTAGCTTCCTCAATGCGAAGTCTTGTCAACTTCTCTTTACTCTAATTCTAACAATTTAACATAAATGCCCCCATTTGAAGAGCCTGTAGCAATTTGGCGAGCGTGGTGGTGGGGGGGGATCTGTAGCTGCGTACATTGCACGCCAGCCTCTTGGCTCCTTCACGGCACTGTCATTTCGGTTTGGTGGCGGTAGACTCCTTGGGCTTGACGATGTACTCCTTGTACATGGAGTAAAGGACACCTGAAGAAGACAAGGGCATACGTCCCCGTGACTGACGGCATTGACAATATACACGGAATTGGCAGCATTGATAATGAGGAAGGCCTTGGAGGCGACTGGTCAGCTCAGCAGGTTCATGTTGACCGTGTCGGTCGGACCACTGCGATTCTGGGTGGAGGTCTGAGTGCATCTCCTTTCCTCTCTCATGGGGTTTCATAATAGTCATGCTGGACCACCGCAGCCAGCGCCACAGATCCAGGGTTTAAATGCAGGCTTTAGCCATCGGTAATAAAATCCAAGTCTCAAGTTTTTCAAGATGCATTACATCTTGAAAAAAAAAAACATCATTCCCTGTTGCTATGCAAAGAACACTGAGCAGAGCATATAAAACATGTGCCCGTGTGAATAAAGGAGGCCTATTGATGTTGTTTCTCTTACATATTCCAGGGACATTCTCTGACGATATTAAACTCTGGCAGTGAGAGTTACAAACTTAAAATTTACTTCTCATTTCAAGTTGACTGTTCGTAGCACAATAAAATATTTCGGGAAAAACAAGGTTTTTGCGCAGTGCACCGAGCATTGATGACAAAAATGATGTCAGACACCTAACCATTTACTCACATCGATTCTACGAATTATCACACATGTATACCTTCTTTTGCAACATACACAGCCAACCATGATAATCGGTGTGGGAAGGACAAACTAAACACAAAAATCAATTCAGGATATTGATTGGATCCAAGAATAAAATATTTTGGTTATGTTTTGACCATCTAATTCATGCTCTTTCCAAGTAACGTATTTTTACACCATCTTCTTGACTCAAAACAGTGCATCATTCAAACAAAACGTACACAACACTAAGTAATCAATTCCCCCACACACAATAACGATGTGTGCCTTGCGAGTGCAACAAATGTGTTAAGGCGAACCTTACCGACAGTCATTGCACCGACCACGCAGCTCTGCGCGGCCACACGCATGTGGATCAGGTGTATCGACATCTTAGTGTCCCCGCGTGACCGCATCTTGTAGAGGCCGTACGCGACCACGCCCAGGAAGCCGCCGATGCCTGTAGAGCAAAAAAAAGAGGAGCAGCAGTGCCCATTAACATCCGGGGTATCGAGAGCCAGGTAAGGCCTCGTGGCAAATCCAGCAGAGGACTTTGGATAATTCAGAGACATAAGATGCAGTGAGGCTTCCCAGAGTAAATAGGATTATTTTAGGACATTCCAATAAAAGTCTTAATAATTTACACAACTTATCTAAGCCATCATTCAAATGTATCATCACATTCTATCCTAAGGTGGTGAAGCCTGTTGTAGGCTTTAAAATTAAATTTTAAAAATCCCCTAAATGTTAATGCAACTCTTGGAGGAGAATCAACTTTTCAATTTACAGCCTGTGAACATTTAAAATGTTGATGACGATTAATATTGCTTTCTGCAAAACCCACAACTGGAAATATATTTTTTGAAAAGATAATGAAGTGAGACCACGAAAGCCATCTGATTAGACAAACATAGAAATAGGGAAGACATGTAATAGCCACTGTTAAACAAAATCCACCGCCATAAGAGGAGCCACCTGCTGGACAAACAAACAGGCAAATAAAGATAGGAGTCTAAATCACTGAGATTCGACAAGACCACGAGTCGGCTCTCTTCAGACCCAAATAAGACATGAACCGTCGATCCCTGGTAAAACGTCAGGGTTGGACCGGTGCCGCCCCGCTCACACACACACACACCACACGCAAGATTTTATGGTTGTCTCGTCCCAGAATGGATCGACCCCGACGCTGGCAAAACCTCGCTCATCCCCACCGCTCACCGATCGGCACAAAGGGCGCGTCTGCGCTCTTCTTGGCGAGCTTCGACATATGGCCCTCGCCCTCTTCGTAGTTGGCCGGGGTCCACGACATTGCTGCTGCTGCTGCTGCTGCTGCTGTTTCTGCATGGGACAGTGACAAGACAGCGGGGGGGGGGGGGGGGGGGTCAGATGAGGGTTCGTGTGCTAGATACATAACCATTCCTGGCAGGCTTCCTGGTCTGATTCACATGTTGGTGGTGAGCAATGCAAGCGTGGTGTGTTCTTCCGACTTGGAAGCCAATGGGAAAATGCAAATATAAAGCGATCTGCCAGGGTTCAATAGCCATGTGCAAACACATCTTCAATGAGCAATTTTTTGCATTAATGTTTCGCATCCACGTGCCTACTCAGCGGATAAGGGCCCAAGATGGAGCCAGTCTCGGGCTGTGTCACAGTTTCACTCTTCGTTTCCTTGCCCAGACCCCTCTCTTAAGCCATCATTTAGGCGGTTTTTTTCATGTTCGCAAATAATCTTGAGTTGTGATTTCATGGAGATGCCTTGTAATTTAAAATTGTTATCGATGTTGAAATTCCACCTGTATATTGTCAAAAGACCACATCAGAGATCGGTTATTTGGTATAATGGTGTCTGCAGTTGGTTAAGAATGGAAGGCCAGTAGTGATGCAGTCTCTCTCCCATCACCACGCATCGCGTGATGGGTGCGCGGTTCACACTGGATGTGACCTACACTGGTTGTGGCTGCCTCTGGCCTCAAGGTGGACGCATGGATAGTAGAAGCGGCAGTGTGCTGACTCACCGTGAGATGTCTCCACGTAATTGTGTTTGCCGTCCCTGCCTCGGGTTACAACGGGCGAGGTTCGCAGATGTGCACTTACTGAAGTGAATTATAGACATTAAACCAGGGACAAACCAGTCTGTTGGGGTCTTTAGATGACAATAGATCGACCAGTCTGACGAAAGTCTCAAGATAATGGACCAAAACACCGGTCTCTTGATAGGATTTGAAAGAGGAATAACACCTAAAAAAAATAATCGACTATAACGCACATGCCATTCATCCAATTAATGGATCGGTTCCTTTGGCGAACCCTCTCCGATTGCGCAATCGCTTGTGACCTTGCATCACCTCTCCCATGGTAACGCCAAACCCAGGGTGCCCCCCCCCGCCCGGTGCGTGACGTCACGCGCACGCCAGCCAATCGCGCGCGTAGCACGTCCACAACGCCGCACCCCCCCCCCTCCTCGCACATTCCCATATAAGGACTTTCGGGCGTGGTTTTCCGGAACACGTGGTTCCGGGCCGGCAAAGAGGGCCTTTTTGCATATCCATTGTCGTTGATTCTACCCGCGGTTTTCGGCACGAACGTGCAGTTCCGAAGGGCTTTAAAATAATATTAAGAGGGGGCATTATACATTCAGAACACAAGGTCAAGTCAACCAAGGCAGCCAAATGGGATTTGTCTCAATGGGCTCCCAAAAAATAAATTCAGTCCGCTGCATATCCACTGCTCGATGAGAGCAGAGTCACACCGTGTCGATTGTGCGAGTTCACCATATTTGACCACGTTGGACAGCGTGCATTGATGAAGTGGAGGGGGGCATCCACTGATGTTAGCCGAGGTCGCATGGCTCTTTGCAGTGCAGTAACGACCCCAATGGGCTCTTCGGGCAATAAAGTACACCTACTGCATGTTGGTGACACGGCGGTAACGTTAATAACCATTAAAATCCTATTCTTGGGTTTTCTACATGGCTTTACCGAAAAACCCTAGAATATGAATTCCTGCAGTCACGAAAGCTTTAAGTAAACATTAAAATCCTGTTGCCACATGTAAAATAAACGCTGCCTCTCAGTCTATGGGCCTTCCAGTTGAACCTTTACAGCAGCATGTGTTTAAGCGGGGGTCAATGTCAGATTTCAACTTCTCTGCAACTTAGCAGTCAGTCATGTTAAATGCCGTTCAGTTAACCAAGTGTTATAGGTAGTACTCTTTACATACGGTACAGGTGTCTGTTTAGTACACTGTACTTTGAGCCTTAACATCCCCACTGAACTCAAAGACCCAAGGTGCCCCAAACTATACTCGCTGCGCAGAGACCAATTTACCTGGAATGCGCCCCCGTCTCTTTGGATTGTAAAAGGTAAGGCGGCTTTCGACTGCACAGCGCTTGGATGAACGTCTTTTGGGGGGGGAGGGGGGGGGGGGATACTTAGTGGGCGTCTATGCTCGCCATATTAAACTCACGAGCGTTATGAATTAAGGCCCTCATCCAGCAGTGGATTGACAAAGCGATGTACGTAAATAATGCTGGAGTACCAGCAGAAGTCCCACGTTCGTATGGCGAGGACTTCAGGAAACGATGCTCCCCGCCAGTCTCGTGTGTTTGCGCGGTGTAGCCTAGTCACCTAGCGCTCGTTTCATGGGAGTTTATCACCAATTTTACTTTGTACTATTTTAAGTATGCGTCTGTTTGACTCAACCAAATGAGTCATTGAAGGCAAACCTATGTAATCTTTCCATGTTACACTGTATTACTGATAGGGTTTGGACAGTGTGTTTTTGTGTTGTGCTCTGTAGGCAATAATTATTAATTTCTGTGTGCATGTCTTAAGTTGGACTTAATTAATCACTAAACATTTACTGGGTTGCCGTTAAGACTAGAATTTATGCGAATAGTAACCATGCAAAAGGAATATACGATTCTGGATGTGGTGTGCTGATTGCAAAATATTTTTCGGGTAATTGGGCTGGAAAATCAAGCCCTGGAATACAACATATGTGCTTGAACGGTTGTAGAAAACATCTAATGACCTTTAGAATCTAATTCATATCATCATAATCTACTGGTCTATTTAAACCAAGTGGTAGACCACTGAGACAATTCCCCTGTATAAAAAGGGTTGCATAAATAAAACCATAAAACCAATAAAATCAGCTCCTGGCAATTTCCATATTTCAGTTTGCTGCTATTAATGTATACGGCGAGGCCTTTGTTCAGCGGAGAATCAAACTATGGCTGATGATGAATAAAGTTGGGTGTTGTTTAGTTTTATGGGTCGTATATTTGAACAAAAATTCCCAAGCTAGATAATGCACGCCTATTTCATAATTCCTTACCTGCTTCTATCGTCAACCTATTTCTAAAGAGATCGGCTTAAAACGCAACAAGTTTTACCAAAAGGTTTCCAAAAGAAAACTACCCAAAATGTTGTAGGGCTAAAGACTAAGTAAAACGTGTTAAATAAAATTGGAAAAAACAAACTAATGTTGATAAAAAGGAAAAAAAAAAATTAAGTTCAGAGATATAAAAAAAATATAATGGCCATCAAGTAGGTTGCACGCCAGTTTTTAATTCCCCACATTGAGAAATAAATTATTATAAACCTGGCTTAACAATATTGGTCGAGTCTAAACGTTTGCAGTAACCCACATAATATTTCCATGTGAAGATGGCAAAAAAAATTCATTATTAAAGCAGCGTTTGGCCGTACCCTGTGTTTTGCATCTTAAGACGTGACGTCGCTGTCGGCAAGGGCTGGTGGTGGGTGTCTTCGTGCCGTGCAACTCATGCCGAGTGTGGAGAATGCGGCTTTAGTGGAAACTGCACAGTCACACTGAGTTGACTCTTTAACAAAGGGGGGGGACCCCCCCATTTTCTGCCTTCTATTATACTTCCTTGGGGGGGGGGTGGGGGCCCTCACCTCCAAATGCACATAACCACTGGCGATGCGCATCAAGGTTAAATTACACGGTCCTGAGATCGTGCATGGTCATCGTGGTGCATGGTCATCACAGACTGACCCCTGCCATGAGAATGTGGAATTTTTTAAAATGACTTAAGGCAGCTTCTTTGTGCAGGAAGACACTTGACGTTATTAATAATGCAGTGCAGTTACAGTGGTGTAATACAATCTCAATACAAGACAATATAGTGCGTTAATGTACTTAAAACAGTCTACAGTAGTAGTTTAAGAATCTCACAAGTTTTTAAATTGCACCACACTTTATACCCCGTTTCCAAACGTGCAAATTTCAATATTTACACCTAAAAACCTGTAGCAGTAAAATAGAGTTTTAAAATGCACGAACATTTTAATATTTAGCCAGTGGAATTATGCGCGTGTATCTGCAACAGTACAGTAGTTGATGTTTTGTAATAACTACGGTAAGTGTATGTAAATGGATTATTCACTCGCAAAACATTTAAAAATCGTGCCGTGTTAACTGGTAATATAAAATTGTCTCCAACATTTTAAAGTGAGCTGGAGGGAGGCATAGAAGGCGGGATGGATGTAGCAAGGCATGGATGGGGTAGGGATTAGGGGTGGAGGGGAGGGAGGCATGAATGGATTATGCAAAGGAGGGATTGAGGAGAGGAGTGAGGGGCGGTTGGAAACAAGAATACAGAACAGTATAAAGATTGGAGCCATGCTGTAGAGACTGTAGCGATGGATGAAGAGGAAGGAAATTAGTGGGGGGAGTGAAGGATGCAGAGACCAACTGGATGAAATGGTGTAGAGAAGGGCAAGTAGGGATGGATGAATTCAGAGATTAATACATGGTGGGAGAAACGATACGTGGGCGGCAACAAGAAGTGCAGGCCAGGATAAAGGATCTTGACCAAGGTCGGTTGTACATCAACCCTCGCCGACTTTAACCCGGGCCCATGAACTCCAAAGTTTCATAGAAAAAAAACCAGAGCCATGGTGAACCGCTGTGACCTGACATGTCTAATAGACAGCGCATATCAGAGCGGGGACACTGCTGCTAAATTTGGCCAACAGAACTGAACGTCATACTGTAGGCTGAAGGTCAAGATTTTGACCTTTCCCAAAACCATCATAAATGACACGTTCTTCGTCGTATAACATTTTGTACGTAGTGTTTCATTAGTTCCTTCCTGAAAAAGCCGGCTCTCCCAATGGGCTCTCGTTCCGTTAAAAGTGCACCCAGTCTCATACCGTCCGACCTATGACTAACACAACATCAACAACCACCTGATCTATATGCATGATAGGCATTCACCATGGAAAGATAAGGTCTCATGGGAGGTCACATTTTGGGCAAAATATGTCATCGGAGCATTTCCTGTGCGTGCTATAGACATGCATCCTGGACGCGAGGATTTGGGAGCCTCTAATACCATGGTGAGCAGAGTTTTGTACTTTCTTAGAAATGCAGTAGGTCATCGGTTACATAGAAGTCCAGATAATATATTCCTTTAACAAATAAAGGCATAAAGTGCTGTAAGTACATGTTAGTCATCAATATCACAGGTAACCCGGGTTAGATACCAAGCTCCAGCTAACATCAGTGGCGAGTGATACCTTCACTGGTCCAAGCCCCCCCCCCCCCCCCCTCGGCACGAACGTGGTGAAGTAGGGTCAAAAATGTCCCATAACCGAGACGCTACGTGGCAAGGCCTTCATCCAGCAGTGGATTACAATTGAGTGATATTTATGTTACACGTCCTATATCATCTGACAGCCAAAGTTACCCATTCTAACCCCTTATCTCAAATGTCCTGAACCAGGTGGAATTTCCATGTTCCTATGCCGGGACCCAGTCTTATAAAACTGGCCACCAATTAGTACAAGGATGACGATCATAAATGTCGCTAAAGATGATGGGGTTAAGGTTGACGAAGCATAGAACTCGTCACTTCATGCGATTTAACCACCGATAGTGGCATTGAAAGTAGTTTAACAGGGTCGGCCTAAACGGGGCAGCGCTTTGGTTAAGGACAACCACTTTTGACCTCTCGCAACTTATAACATTATCCACTATACGTACGTACATACATTCACACTCTGAACACTATTACAAAACTGCATGTGCCATTGAAAATAAATTGAGGTCAAATATTGTAATTCAGTCATCAAAAAACGTATGTGGCGCACTGGGGAGGCCTTTAGGATGGATTTATCATGGTCGACTTGACGGTAATATACACATGTACTCAATGTCAAGTTCAATAAGGGTCGACTCAAGACTAACCTATCATTATGACGACCCTCCGGGGTCCGATAAAACCGGTACCAACTTGTGACATCTCAACAGCGTTCGTCATGAATGGCACTCCGGGAGCCGTGCCATGGCAATGTGGAATTTCAATCGCCCCCCCCCCCCCCGATTGACGTTCGGCACAAACTCGAGTCGCTCATTACGCAAGCCTACCCAACTCTTTGGTTCTTTGGGTAAAGTCACGTAGGTGTAAAACAAAACCCTACCCGACTTGCACCGTGACCGCCGCGTCCTGCTCAAGCACTTTAAACAAGGTCATATAAACCACGCCGGACCTCACCTGCTTTAAGAAGAAGAGATGGAATTGGCGCGATGACCGCTGACGACGAAGAGGAGGTGGTGGTGATACTGATGATGATGCTGATGATGATGATGCCAGTAGCGAAACCGGCGTTCGTGGAAGGCGGCGCAGCGACGACTCGGCCTGTCGATCGCTCGGGGAGGGTTTTTATTAAGGCGAATGACGTCATCGCCGCGGTCACGCGACCTGCGTCGCGTGGGCACGTCATGCGATTTGCGCGATGACGTCAGACGCAATGACAACTCGCGCGGAGGCCAATGGCGTTGTGAATGCACTGTCGGTGACGTCACGGCAAATCCTACGTCGAACGCGTGACGCTAAAAAACGGGGTGATGTAACGCTCAGTTGAGTGATGACGTCATACACAAACAAGCACTGTCTTTCGGTTACGTGACAGTAACGTCATCCAGTAATGAAATAGCGTGTGGATATATTTATATACAGTACGCTTAATGTGTTGTATAAGCACTGCCTCTCTTGTTATGTAAATTGAAACGCTCCGTTTGTTGAAAGTTAATATTATATTCTGCTTATGAGCTTTCTTAAAATACACACATTTCCACTCATGACGTCAATTGCTTCAAACACTGTCGAGCGTGATGACGTTTCGTCACATCGCTTGGGAATCAGTGACGCAGGCACAAAAAAGCACGCGCCTTGGCTTCCATTTAGCACGCTTATCATGTCGAATGAAGGGGCATTGCCCGAAACGTCGTTTCTTTATTATGTACTTTAGACCAATATAGTTTTTAGGATATTGTGTTGTCATACAAATAGAATTTCTATTCAAAATAAGGAAACATTTCCATGTGTGGTCCTTGGTAAAAAATAAAAAGATGATTTACAATTCCACTCCATCACAAGGCATAGAATAAAATGTTCAGCATCATTGATGCAAAACTAACTCTTTACCGGTTTTGACAGCTTGAACCAAAACTTGTGAATTGCCACTTGTAATAGATAAAGACTCACGATTAAAACATTCAACCGACCAATACAATTTAATAAATTATCCGGTGATACTGCATTGTCAGTGGGCCTTAAACCCTTCACGCAATGTGCCGGTAACATTTTATAATTGTAATACCAATGTTTTTTTAATCATTTAAGGACTGATAGGTAACTTATATCATACGATCAAATGTGTTTAATTAGGTAACATTTGTATACGTTAAGTTTTATCATCCATAATATAGGGGGTTTTTTTTGTTAGATCGCGTAAATATAAACATGTCGTTAAACCCGCCACCGCCCGACACAGCCAACTAGTAAGGGTTGTCACGTAAACAGAACGTGGCCAATTCGTCACTAGTACAGCACACCGGTGTGTTGGAGAGCAAATCCACAAATTTACAATCTGAGTACTGTACTTCCTTGTACAACACACCGGTTTGTTGGAGAGCAAATCCACAACATTTACGATCTGAGTACTTCCTAGTACAGTACACCGGTGTGTTGGGAGAGTACATCCACAACATTTACAATCTGAGTACTTCCTTGTACAGCACACCGGTGTGTTGGAGAGCAAATCCACAACATTTACGATCTGTGTACTTCCTCGTACAGCACACCGGTTTGTTGGAGAGCAAATCCACAACATTTACGATCTGAGTACGACGTTTCGCCAGTAGTTACAACCGGGCGGGTTTAACGACACATTTATATATTTACGCGATCTAACCCCCCAAAAAACCCCTGCGTTATGGATAATATTGCTCGCGAAAGCCCGACTACGTGTTATAAACTAAGTCCTATCTGGGCCACCCCATGCTATTATAGAGGTCAATTGGTCTCCACTCGCCTCTTCTTTCTCTGTGTCTGGCACGTGTCCGCGCGTGACGTGAACGAGCGATGCGATTGGTCCGCGGCCGCCTCGTGACCCGCGCCGAGTGGGGGAGGGGGGAGTTGTGAAACGCCGGGGAGGGGGAATCGCCTCGTAGCGACTCGCTGACCCGGTTGGGAATCGGTAGAAGCGATTCAAGAATCGATTACGACCGAGAGTCCAGGCTATTTATTATTAAATCCTTTATATTAAGTTCACTTGCTTGCTTGCGCGCTTAGGACCGTGCAAATCTTTCGGTCGTTCTTTAACCCACTTCCCGTGATCCAATCGAGCTGACATTTTGCACACAGACTCGTTGTGCGTGACAATTTATTTTCGTGAACATTTTTTTCTCGAAATTTGACACTTTTTAGGAAAAAAGAAATAATATTTAATTACCAATTGCTTAATGGTGGCAGGCAATCATCTGACCCATAGGTGGCAGCCATCTCAAGCCAGAGGACGAGAGGACTCTAGCCGCCACGCATATAAAGGATTTATAGTGAAAAACGTTGTTTTTACGGGTAATTTTTTTGTACTTGGAGGAATCCGATTAACTATTGAGCTCCTTTATCACAGATGTCCAGCATGGGGCGGGTCAGCAAGTTACAACAGCAAACAAATTAAAGGGGCATGGACGATGAGGCCACCTGATTCACTCAACGGCGCATAAAAGATTCCAAACCCATCGACCGCATCGTAAACTTCACTCCTTTAAAGGAGAAATGGACGAGATCCACTCTGTTTCTGAAAAGATAATTGAGTGGATAGTACATCTAAAATGGCATCTTAAATCTGCCGATATTAATCCATACAAAAGATGGTCCGACTTTGCCAGATTTAAGAAGGTGCACACACGCGCTCAGTCGGAACATAATGAACTTCCCGTAGCAATCATCGCCCCCTACTGCGAAAACTTTAAAGTGCCCTGAACAAGAGTCGTGAAACTTAGTGAGGCTTTCCTGAGTCTACAAGTTTTGGTTCAATTTTCGATTAAAGCTTTCGTGACTGCAGGGATTCAGCTTCTTGGTTCTTTCGGTAAAGTCACGTAGAATGGAAATAATAAAATAATAAAAATAAAACATAATAAAATAATTCTCACGACGTTTCGGCCACAACGCAAGCAGCCGTCCTCAGGTGGAGAACAGGTCTGTCGAGGAGACAGTCTGAATGACACACTCCAGGCTTGGAGCGACTATTTAAGCTGGGATGGAGGGGGGAAGGGCGCCTTGACAAAATAATTTGCATATACGATTAATCGCATATCTGCATTTCCCATAAATATGCTAAATTACTCTTGCAGAAATTCGTTGTGCACGAACGCCCGCTGTTGGGAGGTCACGGGGCAGACCCAGCAGGTGCCACAGGTCGACTGACGGAGATGACTGTGATGACTGACTAATGCCACCCGGCGCTCCGCTCGTTGTTGTGAGCGTCGCTCCTCCGCCCTCCGTTGTTGTTGGAGGGCGACTGCCTCCAACTGCCCAGTAGTAGCGTCCTTCACGAGCCTCCTCCACAGAGGCCGATCTTGACACCGCTGGTACCAGTCATGGGCAAGTCCACTCAGCTCCACGTCCTCCTGTACCACATCACTCCATCCAGTGGCGGCTCCTGCAAAATCTCTCAGGGGGGGCAAATGTCTGGATGATTGATAAGGATAAGGTCCACCCATGCAATGGATAAATTAACAGCTTAAGCATGTAATGGCAACTTCACTTCTTTAATATTAATGAAAAATAAAGTGACTCTTACAATACATCTTGTTTGTTTCTATACTCACTATTAAAACAAACCACTCAAGTTTATTTTATTAAAGATTCCACTAGGTGGCCACAAATTATATTGTTGGATGAAACGTGCTTACGTATGATGACGTAAGCACGTATGATGACGTAAGCACGTTAGGGCGAGCCCTCCCGGAAGCCATAGAGAATGCATTGGAGCGCCCCCCGGTCGAAAAAAAACATATTTGAATGTAAGTCTATGGGGCCACTCGGGGCGATTCTCAGCCGGAGTGAAATCGCCCAAAAAGAGGCGGTACTCCACAGAACGTGACATGACGCTGATTGGACTATATCCAGAGGCTGCAGTGACGGCTAGCGTGACTCTGTGGTTCAATGACATTGATGGTGCGTCGCCCAATCGCCCTAATGAAGAAACCGCCCCTGACTCCATCTCTTCTCTAGCCCGTGCCGCGCCCGTTTAGCCCCCTCGATCCGGTCGAACAAAAGCTGTTTAGGCATGCGGTGGCTGGGCATGCGGGCTACATGACCCAGCCAACGCAGCCTTGCCTGCCGGAGGAGCTCACCGATGGGACCTGGTCCACATCTTTCAAGGATTTGTGAGCTCCTCACACAATGCAGCCAGGTTAAACCCAGGATGGATCGTAGGCAGGCCATCCTAAATGTTTCTTACCGGCGAAGATGTTCCATTAAGGGGGTCCAAATTTCGCAAGCGTAGAGTTCGGAGGGAATGACCGTGGCCGAGAAGATCTGAAGCTTCGTACGGAGTGATAGAGCAGGTAGCTTCCACACAGCGTTACGCAGCCAATGAAAAGATAATGCAGCTCGACTTATTCGGAGTGAGACCTTTGCTGTTAAACCGGAGACGGTCATTAGCACACTGGCAAGGTATGGGAAACTCCTGTTTTAATAAAATAATAAAAAATAAAACATAATAAAATGAAAATAAAACATAATAAATATTAAGAAAATGTTTTATTATTTCCCTTCTACGTGACTTTACCGAAAGAACCAAGAAAACAGTGAATAAACATTCTGATTGTGACCTCAAAACACGATTTCAAAACAATCGATTTCGTTCAACGCGAATCACCCGCGCGAATCGCGCGCATCGGAATCGAATTACCACGAAGCATGAGGATCGATCCGCGCTCCGGAGCACGTGACTCGCTGAATCAAGCCGAGCGCGTTTCAAGAGTTGCGGTGTCGGTGGTGGAGGTGGTGGGGCGGTGGTGCTGGGAGCCTCAGGGAAGAGACCCGCCAAGGGGGGATCGCAGGGGCAGGAGGGCGACTCGGGGAGACACCGCAGAGGATGCCGCCCTGCAGGTGAGGCGGAGCGGGACCCCGTGGGCGAAGTCAATAGTTGGGGTCCGGCCCTGGATCTGTGGAGGCGGCCTTGTGTTTACAAGGTGGTGGTGGTGTGGGGGGGAGGGAGATCACGCGCTCTGCATTGTTGCTGTAGTCGTTACGACTGAATATAGATCACTGCCGGTAATGTTACTGCTGCTGCATGACGCTGTGCGGAATAACCACAGAATTGTAATTTTGTCAGCGGATTATTAACGCTGTACGCGGTAATATTGGGTGCGATTGATGCTTGTTGGTTTAAGTAGAGTATTTGAAACAATGTTCGGGAAACCCCACGAAACGCAAGGCCCTCAACCGGCAGTATGATTTACCAAAGGGCTCTGCCGGAATTAGTAGTCAATGGGTAGATCTCAATTTCCTTGCAAGGAGAATCAATTCTAAGGCTGAAAATAGAAGCAAGGGGTCAAAGATCCATTGGGTTGTTGTAACTGGAGCACTCAGAGGACGGTGCCATACTGCCCGATGGCAATACTTTGTCTATTATTAGTTTTAATTCCTTTGGAATATAGACTATTTTTTCCAGTGAGATGTTGTATAAATGAGGACACCACAGTTCTGAAGATGTTAATCCATGAATTGAAATTGTGGAGTTGGGGTTCTCGGAGAAGAGCTAGGTTCAGATTTGGCTCATGATTGTAATCCTGGAATTGATCAAATATGTACCCCTTTTTGGGTAGGTATTGATTTTCTTTGGGGTTTGGGAATGTGGAATTTTGTCAGGTGGTGGAAAGTTTATTGGACGTTGACAAAGAAAATTAAACAATCTTAACATTCGGGGAATTACACTGACCAGGAATAGATAGATCAGAGCAGGAACGCAAGATATAGACTTGAAAATTCAAGTGGGCTTGGGCAGGACTTATCACTGAAAGGGATGATGGTCGGTGGTCATAACTACAGTAATGGCGAAGTGGTAGCCCCAGGAGAGAAGAAGCCCAAGTGAATATGTTAGCACAGAGTTAGAGCTATAAAATCAACATGCGTGCAGGAGCTAGATGAGAAATAGCCATGACTTGGAGAGGCCATAATCCAGCTGGTCTGCCCATGATGTATTCTTGGTTTAACCAGACTTGATTATCTGGAGAGCCGACAGATCCTTGAAAAATCTGGACACAATCCATGAGTGAGTTCCTTAACCAGATTAGGAGGCATTGGCTCAGTTATGTAGCCCGCAGCATATCCAAACAGCTTCTATTTGGCCAGATGAAAGGGTATAAACTTGTGCCACATGGTCTTAAGAAAAATGGGCTGATGTGGTACGTGAGGACTTGGAGCTGAGTGGTCATGTGAAAGACTGGTACCAGCGGTGTAAAATTTTACCTCTGTGAAGGAGGATCAACTACTGGGTAGTTGCAGGAGTGACAACAGCGAGCAAAGCACTGGCTGGCAAAAACACAGCGAGATGGCACGGTGGGAAGTACAGACAGTGCACTTGCGTGTCATCACAGTCATTTTACCCACAAGGCTTCCCAGTGCACATAGACTGGCACACGTGCAATATTGACGTCGCTAACATTTAGTGGTGAATGGCAGCTATGTGGTTGCGTGGTAGTTAGCGTGCTGCACTGGGACTTCGATGATATGAGTTTGAATTCAAATCGGTATTGAATATCTGAAATTATCTTGGGCCTCCTGCAGGTCGACTTGGCCATAAATGAGTACCTTGTGTGGTGTGTGAACATCAGCACAGGGGAGACGATCAGCCTGGTGTGGCGTTAGCCACGCCACCCCCTCATGTACGGTGACGTCCTTCGTAAGTGCTCACTGACAGCACTTGCTCCAAAAGTCTGTTAAAAGGTACACAGGAAACTCTGTAATTGTGTGCGCATGTACACGTGTCCATGTGCTGTTATGCTGCAGGCGCCGTGAGACGTGACAGACAACAACCATGTCAGGCTGGACTGGTGGTGAGGAAGAGCTCGTAATGAGCCTGTCCGCTGTGCTCCGGGACACCGGTGAGTAAGTTTTAGAAAATCAGTCCACCACATGTTCCCTTAAAAGAACACAGCCCAAAAACCGCACTGCTCATGTTGTAGCTACACATCTAACCTATGTGTCATGAGCCATCTGACACTGTTTGAAACTTCATGAATGAGAAGACAGAATTAAATTTGCAGTCAAATGTATCGTCACATCCACTAGTCAATGCAGCATTGTCCACGTTTTTATGCAACCTCGTTGCAGCCACATCACGAGATGGAATGTAGTTGTAAAGTCTTTCTCCATTAATGATGCTCTAAATGTGCATCAAAAAGCTCTGGACATTGCCCGGGTATGTTAATATGGGATAGGAGCGCGTCTTTTTTTTTCCACTCATAGCCAGTTTGACTGCCCTAACTCATTACCGCAACTCATGGCAACAGCACTAATGACCACTGAAGTGTTATCTTCCATCCAGCATGGATTTCGCATTGCATGCTACTTCTACAATGCTTTATTGCTTTTCTCTAGTCCAGTGATTTTCCAAAAAATATTTTTCTTAAGAGTAATGATGGCAAGATGAGTGGAAATAGTGCTTCTTTAAAGTATGTCCGCAGCTTTACAGAATTGCTTGTGAATCTCATTGGGCTCAGGAATGGCCATGTAAATGGGTGTCACTGTGAAAAAAACATTTATCTGGGAAAGCCTCACTGGGTCTAGACTTTTTAGAAGGGTCCTGCATTGGAGTATTTAGCCAATTCCGTTCATCAGCATTTGGCTTCGGAGGAAACCAGAGTACTAGGAGAAAAAAAACCACCACACATTCGATTGGATAACACTCAAAGCTCCAGAGTTGTAGTCAATCCATTACTGTGCTGCCATCTTCTGGCTATCGCTTTCGGAAATGAAAGGTTTTTAGGTTCGGGATAGATTAAGGTGCTCCAATTACTGTACCACTATTTTTCAGAGCCGCGGTATTTCGAACTAAAGCGGTAGTGTATCCCTCCACCCCTTTCACTGCCAAATCCGTGCCGGCTGGATGAATACAGGTGATTCGGTGCTGAATGGACACAGACAGCTCGTGCTGAGCACCACCCGACTGCAGCACCTCAACTGCCTCCTCCAGCAGCTGCTGCATCCACGCCCACTCCGTATGCACGGCTTCCTGGCACTGCCTGTGCTGCCAACGGCAAGCTCGCCGCATGTCCTGGAGCTGCAGTTCCTCTTTGATGTCTTCCAGAAGGTGCCCAGTTTCAAGGTGAGGCACCAGCAAGCAGGGTCGCACTCACTTGTGAAATATTTTTCTTTAGTTTTTATTCTAGATGAATAGTCCTATCATTGACAAATTGTTGTGAGATGCAGAAATTACCTTTCGGAACTCTTGCAGCAAACATTGTGAACACCACCCCATGTTAGAGAATGATCTCTGGACGATTATATCACAGGAAATCTTATGAGGTTCCTTTAAATCGCTTCTTACATTAGAGGGTGTACCTTATCACATGCTCGGGTGTTTGTTGGATGGAAATCAAATCAATTATAATCCTCATCATTGTAAATGTGCTGAATTTACTCGAGGGTTTTTTGTGCTGTTATTGGTGACTTCACTGAGACCATTAACTCATTCAGCTTTAAAAACCCAGTGTGTTTGTAGGCAGCCAAAACCTGGATTCAAACCCAGATTTCTAGTGGTGCCGGTTCAGTGCTCTGACATTGTGTTGGCCCCTGAGCTACCTGGCCACCTCTATGTTTATTTTTTTACCAACTGATTTGAAGATTTCAGAAAATGCTCTGGTCTTTTCTATGTTAACATCTGCATTATGGGGGTTCTTTTTAGACTGCTATACCCATTGTTTAGAACATCCTCTTACCCTGTGTATATCTCACATCTGCTGTTCAAACCTCAACTGTTGGCCTCATCATGAAGCATCTGTATCATACATAAGTGTTTTTTTTATTTGTATTAACTGTGATGGGCTGTGTGGCTTTACAATTGAAAATACATGCGCTCCTTACAGCTGGTCCACAAGCAAGGTGATGCAATACAGACGGGCATCAACATCTTCGCCTTCAAGTTGCTGAAGTCTCTGGAGGTAAGACAAATAAAACGTGTTTGTTTTTTATTTTGTCGATCAGCGAGTACACGTTCGGGGGAAGATGCAACCCACTAAACAAGTAGCTTTTGTCGATAGGCCTGTAACAATGCATCAATTAAAATATATTCTTACACTCGCAATACATGTCGAATCTTGGGTGTGAGAAGTGTATAATTTTTTTATTCACGTATGTTGCATATATGAACATATTTATCACAAACTCTTCAGCCACTACCGATTTTAAGGTTGCGTCTTCCTTTCATTGAGCGCTGCGCTTGTTTTCGCGTTGCGCTGTCTGGGTTGTTGGAGCAGCTCAAAGGCGTTCCCGTGCACTGCCTGGAGGGACTACAGGGTATTCACACGCAGCTGGAGAGCCTCACCTGCTGGAAGTGCGTCGACACGATGGAGGTACCAGCGTCGGGGAGTCACGGGGGCATTTGGAGTGCGTGTGCACGAGTGTATTCGCGCGCGTATGTTTCCTTTAAATTACCAAAGCAACTGGAATGTACCCAACCTCGTTAGATCTCGGAAATATAAGCAAGGTCCAGCCTGGATAATGCTTGGATGTGTGAGCACTATGTACAAACAGGTTGTTGTAGGCTGCGAGGCTATGTGATGGGCAGCAGAGGGCAGTGTCAGTACATCCATTGTTCTATTCTACTTCTAGGCTTCTGTGTCTGTTTCCAACCTTTAACCGGCATTGACCAGTGTAGTGAAGTGCATCCAAATAGCTTTCCATGACCCATACAGCTTGGGGATGCCCTCATCTAGCAGTGAAGTCACAAATAGGCTCTATGTGTACAATCGTGCCATTGTTCCAAAATAGAAGATTGTCGCTCACAATTGCCGAATCCAAAATGGACATGTTGATTCGTGTTAACAACTATTACACAAAGGAATGCTAAAATACCCTAATGCTAATTGAACAAATGTACTACAAGTCCATTCACTTGCTAATTTCTCTAGCCCCACCCGTCCATGCATGCCACAAACCCTCCCCCCTCTCCCCCCGGTGCTAGCTCCCTCCCGTCCCTGCACACCACAAACCCTCCCCCCTCTCCCCTGTGAACTCCTACAGCCAAACTCCTTCCCCCCCTTCCCTCTCCCCTCCCGTGCCTATATAAAGCCACAACAGCAGATAATTTTTTCTCACCTGAAGATGGACGCTTATGTTGCCACCGAAACGTCATGTTTTATTTTATTTTATAATTTTTTCTATCTACGTGACTTTACCGAAAGAACCAGAGAGTATAAATTCCTGCAGTCACGAAAGCTTTAAATCAAGATTGAAACAAAACTGGTTAACAGAAAATTAGAGTGGAAAAAAGGAGGAATTCTGCCTGTGTCTCGTTTTTTCCAATAGGAGGTGCTGTCGCAGTGTGGGGGAGACCTCGCTACGGCCTTCCCTTGGCCCGAACTTCACACTCTCAATTTCAGCCACAACTTCATCTCATGTCTCGACGACTCGCTGGTACACCGACTCTGGCACGCACTGCTGTCTCGCTCGCCCATGCACACACTCGTCTTGCACACACAACGCTACTCCCACAGTCACCTTTACGTTTTTATTGTTGCCCGTGCCGATCTACAGAACTGGCTCCCAGTGCTGCGCTGTTTGGATCTGAGTCACAACAAATTACAGGACGCCGGCCTCTACCTCAAGGTGGGTGCTGTCTGGAGAGGGGCAGTTGTGCGGCCACGCGATTTGTGGTTCCCACGGCTGCTTAGCCTGGACGCTAACCACTGGGTCCCACACTTTTGGACAAGGCTGTTTGTACTCTTTGGTTTTTTCGGTAAAGTCGCGTAGGTAAAAAAATTAAAATAAATTAAAGCACACCACTTAAGCTTAAGCTAAGTTGTCCCCACCTGAAGAAGGACGCTTGTGTTGTGCCTGAAACGTCGTGATTTTATTTATTTTAATTTTTTACCTACGGGACTTTACCGAAAAAAACAAAAAGTATTAATCCTTGCAGTCACGAAAACTTCAAATCTAGAATTAAGGCTGTTTGTATTGCAATTTTAGTTCTGTCTTGTTTGTTCTGACTTAGGCAAAAATAAGCATTTCATGTCGACCTAATTCTAGATTTTAAGTTTTCGTGACTGCAAGGATCCATACTCTTTGGTTCCTTCGGTAAAGTCACGTAGATGAAAATTAAATCAAATAAAAATCACCACGTTTCATTTATATCTTTCTCGCAATTGGTTCTCGCCAGAGATTTGAGTCTTTGAGAATTATGTTGCATAGAAAATCCGTTAAATAAGCATGTGTTTGAGATGAATGGTGAGCATGGTTTTTCCCGGACATGTTGTGAGAGCCTGCCAATTTGTCCCACAGTCGCTGACTGAGCTGGAGTCACTGAACATCGGCTACAACTTCTTGCAGAGCTTTCCCGCACTCAGCCCATCGTGCCGCAGCCGCCTCACCGTGCTGCTGCTGAGCAACAACGAGCTCGACTCCATCGACGGTTCGCACTTTTAAGCAGGGGAGCTACTGATTGGGAGTGGGGGGGCCTTATGCATTCAGCACTCGCACTCACATGCGCTGCTGATAGCCAGAGCAGCGTCCGTTGACAAGAACTTAAGCTCGGGTTGCGGCAGTGCCTCCAGGCAAGTTATACTGTGCAGTGCTACAGTGACTCCTTCGCAGCGACATAGATATAGAGTGTACTAGTGGTGCACCTGCACTGGGGCCCACTGGCCAGAGGGGTCCAGGTGCCGGTCTATGAAGACGAGAGAATTAGAAAAGGGGGCCTCATTCTTGCACCAAGGTCTGTGCCAACCACGCTACGCCACTCGCTGAACATACTTTTGGGCAAATCTGGGGAATTGCCACAGATGTTGCAAATGCTGTAGTGCCACTGTTATTGTGTTTCTGATTTATTCTCCAATATCACATACAAAAGAGATACTTCACATATGTTATAGATTGAGATTTTTTTTATTGATGTTGTTACTGGATCTTGTTGCAATGAAAAGGGAGGGGCCAGATTTTCCCCAATTGTGTCTTATTCAACAGAGCTACTCTTACATTACATTGTAACAGAGCTTGCCATTTTAAATATATTTTACTCCTGTTGTAGACGTTACATGTGAGATCCATTTTAAAATCTAGTTGTGAAAATGTTAAGTTCTATTTAAATGTTAATATTTGATTGTTATAATTCTGTCATATTCTCATGATTTGAAGTTTTTGACACTTATCGACATTTTTTAACATACACTATTGCTTTGACTCAGATCTTTCTTGAAAAAAAGTCAGTTTCAATGGGCTTTCTGTCGAGTTAGAAAGTACATAGAATAATTTAATTTCTTTGAAATCAGGCGAAAAAAATTAAGTAACCTATCAAACTGAAAATGGTTTTCGATGTTGGAAAAAACCGATTTGTATTACTATTCCTATTCCTCTTCTGGTGGCACTGGTTTCCTAATCAACTGGCATATGCAAGCTGTATCGGAGAATTGGCAGGCAGTGAGAGTGTACGTGCAAGTACGTGTACTTAGGTGCGAATCTGCGTGTGTGTTGATGCCGCTGTTCAGGTGTGCAGATGCTGGAGACCTTGCAGACATTGGACGTGTCCTACAACCTGCTGATGGAGCACTCACAGCTTTCCCCGCTCTCACAGCTACCGCACCTTCAGAAGGTGATTGGCGCATGCCAAGACACACGGCAGCCACAGCTAAAATGTTCCTTTCCCTTCTGTCTCCAGCGGACAGCTCTTAGGAGTAAGGGACTCCTAGTTGGACTACTAGCACTGTTTCATCAAATACAGGAACTTCCATTGTCAGAGAATGTCACCAGAAAATTACGTGGCAAAACTTGGTGACCATTTGTGGCTCCAAGTGGAAGAGGCAATATTCCACCTCGGGTTTTCCAGTCTCAGGTGACACGCACAATCGGATTACTTGCCAATTGAATCACAAATTCAACGTGCAATAATGTATCGGTGCTGGACTCCCACCAGACCAGTTCTCTTAGGAAGCTCCATGGGATGCTTTGTGCCCATCTGGTGGAGAAAGCATTAATTATGTAGCTCCTGCCAGCACATTCCAGTTACTCGAATCCACCAGCTTTGGTTATCACCTGAGACTTTGACACCTGAGGCGGACTTTGTTGCCTTTTCAACCTGATTCCACGAACTGCCACTGACAAAACTACTTTTATATTCACTTTTATGGGCCTTTATCAGTGCATTAGGGAAATACCTTGGATATGCCATTGTTGCATGTCAATCAAATGGCCATGTTTAATTCTTAGAGCCAATTAAAATGACAAACCCAATGTAATATTTCGTGTTCTTGTGCAGTCATTCATGGGGATGCAATGAACATACCACACTTGAGCACACAGTTTAATCACGGGTGGCTGAAACCTAGATTTTAAACCAGGATCTCAGCTGTGCTGATTCAGTGCTCTGACACGGCATTAGCCCAAGGAGCCACCCGGCCACCTCCTGCTGCTTTAGCCTTTGCAAGCCTCTCGGCTTTCATTTTTGTTGCGCTGCTGCCATCATGCACTACACGCTTCAGTGTTGGTGGGACTGCGATTTGTTTGTATTTTCAACTCATGCCCCGTGTCACTGTCTGCGCGTCCCTTGTTTTCCCAGCTGTATGTACAAGGGAACCCGCTGTTCTTCCGCAAGGGCCACCGTGTAGAGACAGTGAGACACCTGTCTCCAAAGTCGGCCACCTTGCCAGTATGTGCCAACCCTGAAGGGCACCAAGTCTGTGCTGTGCTTGCGTACAGATAAGATGAGTAGTAGCAGTAGCCTCGTACATTTAAGAGCAGTTGGATGGTTTCCTGTCATTTTCCGTCTCTGGTTTTACTTTTGGAGTCACATCATGAGACAATTTCTACAGTCCGAATATTTGCAAAACAGTGCAACCACATGACTTAAAGCTTTCGTGACTGCAGGAATTCATATTCTTTTGGTCTTTCGGTAAAGCCACGAAGATAGAAAAATAATAAAAAATATCATGACGTTTCGATCGCAACACAAGCAATCGTCATCAGGTGAAAAAATATAGCGGGAGAGCTGCTGAGGCAGGAATGAAACGTCGTGATATTTTTATTATTATTTTATTATTATTTTTCTTCTATCTACGTGGCTTTACCGAAAGACCCAAAGAATAGTGCAACCACATGTATTAGAAAGCGGCCTGCAGAATGAGATATCGCAAAAATACTTCTGAGATCCCTTCAAGTGACATTTTTTCTTATCCAAACATAAGAAGGGTGCACTTCCCACACGGTCTGCTGCAGAGAGAAATGTTTGTTAAATGTTTTTGACACTCTTTCAGTTTTAATTTATTCAAATTTAGTGGAAACATTTTTTTGAGAAGTTGTTGGTGACCTGGCTGAGACCATCAACTCATTGCACTTGAGAACCCCCTTTAATCATCATGGGTGGCTAAACTCTGAATTCTACTCAGGAACCCCGCAGGTTCCAGCTGAGTGTTCAGAGCTACCTGACCACCATTGTCTTCTTTTTTTTTTTTAAGTTGCTAACTAAAGGTCTTTAAGTCATATTGCAAAATGTAATCACCATCAGTTCCCCATATCCAAGAGTGGTACAACAGTTGAATGAAAATTATAATCAGATGGAAAGACAGACGTAGGTGATTCGTTCCAGAGTTTAGTTCCACAGGGTATACATAAAAAGGCAAAATGCTTTGTGCGGCATATTTGGCAAGGAAACATCACATTGTCAGCTGGAGGGGTGATGCATCCGTCGACTGGTTGAATGTCATGATTTCAGGTTGAGTAATGTTAGAAACTGACCACAGCGGTACCAGCGGAAGAAGCAAACCACCACAGATTTTGCAGCTTCAGGTCATAATTTAGAAATGTTTTTCTAGGAAACTAGGTTTCATTGTCAAATTGAAATAATCAAAAGTACCTCATATTTTTCCACTTAAAATGATTGCGGAGATATGCTCCCTGCTCATTGAAAAAGAATCCATAGGCTTCACGTAAAATGTGGACAGTTCACCCTCTGCAGTGTTTATAACTGGTAACTTTGCTGAATTCGAGGAAACGTACTTGATACTTTATTTCAAAACTGTCCTGTTTTTAAACGTTGCAGTCAGACACACAGGAGGTTAACACAATGCCTTTGTTTTTCAGCTAATACTGGATGGGAAGCCACTAACAAAGTCTGAGTTAAAGGTGAGAATGCCTCATCCCCCGCCCACTCACTTTGGAAACCCTTATAAGCAGTTGCATTTGGAGGCTTGCCCCCTCTTTTCTCTCCGCCTGATGAAGACCGCTTGTGCTGCGATCAAAACGTCATGGGTTTTTTTCTTGTATTATTTTCACATTTTTTTTTATTATCTTTTTTTTTCTATCTACGTGACTTTACCGCAAGAATCAAGAATATGAATGCCTAACGTGTATTTAGCTGTTACTTGAGTCGACAGAAGTACTAATGCAGTATTTTTTTTTAAATAGTTTTGAAACTGCTGTGGTTTTCAAACTATACTGCATCCCTTATTTGAAGATCGAGCTGTTTTCACACCGAAACAGCTGGGCACCAGTAAACATATTTGAGGAAGTATGACAACAATCTAAACACAGCCAGATGGCTGCAGGAGGCATATTTCCCGAACCGTGGATAATACAAAACTGTAACTTTAACCCCAGTAGATTGCTGGTAGATCACCAACAGGAAGAGTAACCATTCCAGATATTACTCTTTGGTTCTTTCGGTAAAGTCACGTGGGTATAAAATAAAGTAAATTAAATCACGACGTTTCAATTGCAACACAAGCAATCATCATCAGGTGAGAAAAGCGCAGCAAGAAAATGTTTTGCTGAAGTGAGAGAGAGTTGAGGTGGTAAGAGGTTATACAGGCAAGAAAGGGGGAGGAGCAAGGGGGGAGAGGGAGGGGTGGGGGGTGTGGGGTAGAGGGAGGGCGAGCGCTGCGTGGTTTAGTAGTACCCGGCAGATATGATATGATAGACGGCAACCAGTAGAGGGAGGGGTGGGGGTTATTCTGGATATTGTTTTATGGATATACTGCCCCCAGCAGAGGAATGTGGAATCTTCCACTACTACCCCACATTTTTGACCAGGGGAGACATTTTGACTGTTCCAATTGCTGATAGTCTTAGTGCACATTAAGTAGGCATGCTGTACTTATTATGACTGTGGCTAATGAAGTGGCAACGTTCCCTCATTGTCTTTTCTCACTCCCCCTCTTAAAATACCATAGACACAACCGTTTCTTTCCCCGGCAAGATATGAACATCCCCTACCTGTTTGTGTACAGCATCTTGAGATGCAGTGGCATTTTGGATACTTTGTAAACCCAAATTGTACTGTGAAAAGACAAAAGTGGCTTCTCGCTCGGATGAACTTGTCACGGTGTCAAATCCATTTACAGCCCCAAGATGTGATTTGCATTGCACATTCTTGCAGTACTTGCCATTCACTCGTGAGGACAACCACTTTTGGCTTCCCACAAAGTGGTGCTCATTTTATGTACCCCAGACGGTTGATAGGCAGAGTTCCTCTCCTCCCCTACCTGACGACGAGGATTTTAACTCGTCTTACAATTGGCAAGTCAGTTGCTCGAATTGCAATGACCACCCACATAGTGTGCTCAAGACAAAACTGGAAACTAATATTGCAATAAGGATGAATGACCCTCGTGAAGGTGGACAGGAAGTCTCCTGAAAAAATAAGAATGTTTTACCCTTTCTTTCAGTAAAACAGGTGTTAAGATGTTCAACACGAAATAGAAACCTTTTGCGAGGAATCATATCTACATTAACCACACGTACTTGTGGTGAACATGCAAAAAAACATGCTCTGATAAGAGAGCTATATCAGTTCTGCTAGACTCAGGTGAAGGCATAAAGGAATATCCAGGCCACACTTCAGATTCATTATTAACGAACCAGACGCCAGCAGTGTTGGGGATACAGATGGGACTGTGAGTTTGACACGAGCTTTGAAACCGAGATGGAAGTTTATTAATACTCCGTCATCTCCGCCGCCAGAATCTGCCGACGGTGCGGCCGGCACGTGCTGTGCGGCCCTCCTTCAGCGGCGCATCGTTGGGGCCACGGAACGGAAGAGAACAAGGCTCGTCAGATAACACGGCCAGCGAGCTGGAGGACAGTTACCGGCGGGAGCGGCGCAGGATTGACTCAGTAGGGGCAATGCTCACATGTCCTTCTGTACGTGTGTGTGTGGGTGCGGTGTGAACTACAGGGGCATCTCACTCCTCAGTGTGCCGGGAAAGGTCCTGGCAAGGATTATTCAACATCGCCTTGCCAGGCACGCTGAGGAGAGGCTTGCAGAGCCCCAATGCGGTTTCAGAAAAGGGTGGTCCTGCACAGATGCCATATTTTCTGTCTGTCTGCTACAGCACAGGTGTAGGGAATTCCAACAAAACCTACATCTCTGCTTTATTGACCTGGTCAAGGCCTATGATACCATCAGTAGGCCTGGGCTCTGGGTTATTCTTCGTGCTTTCGGAATCCCTGACCCTCTGCTCACGATCATTAAGGACTTTTATGATGGTGAGCGGGCCCGGGTAAAACTACGTGGCCGGGAGTCGGAGCCATTCCCTCTTCACCTTCGGGTGCGACAGGAATGTCCTCGGGCTCCCATTTTATTTAACATATTTTTCGATCACGTAGTTCGTGAAGCCTTCAATGGCTGTACCGGAGGAATTTCCATCTGGTACAGATACAATAGGAGGCTGATCGATGCCCGGGTGCGGTACAAGAGATGGCTCCCTATTGGTCAACTACATTATGTATGCCGATGATCTGGTAATTGCCGCTCACTCAGAGTAGGAGTTGGAGGCGCTGTTGCTGAACCTGGAGCGTGCCACTAAGAGGTGGGGCCTTACCATCAGCCCCACCAAAAGTAAGCACCTGCCTGAGTATTTTGTACCATCGGACACTCCACCCCCACAACTCTCAATTGGTGATGCGGTAGTTGTGGAGAGAGTGGAGCTTTTTCCATAGGTGAGTAGTGTGCTCATGACCAGCTCTGGTTTGACTGCAGAGGTCTCAGTCGGAATCAGTCTAGCGGCATTATCTTTTCATCGGTTGTGTAACGTTGTGTGGAAGCTACCTGGTCTGTTGCTCCGCACGAAGCTTCAGGTCTTCTCGGCCACAGTCATTCCCTCCCTTCTCTATGCTTGCGAAACGTGGACCCCCCTAATGGAACATCTTTGCCGGTTAAAAACATTTATTTTCTGCCTGCCTATGATCCATCCTGGGTTTAACCAGGCTGGATTGTGTGAGGAGCTCACAAATCCTTGAAAGATCTGGGCAAAGTCCCATCGGTGAGCTCCTCCAGCAGGCAAGGCTGTGTTGGCTGGGTCATGTATTCCGCATGCCCATTCACTGCATGCCTAAACAGCTTTTGTTTGGCCGAATAGAGGGCGCTAAACGGGCGTGGCACGGGCTACAGAAGAGATGGAGTGATGTGGTACAGGTGGATGTGGAGCTGAGTGGACTTGCCGATGACTGGTACCAGCGGTGTCAGGATCGGCCTCTGTGGAGGAGGCTCATGAAAGACGCTACTGGGCAGTTGGAGGCAGTCGCCCTCCAACAACAACGGAGGGCGGAGGAGCAACGCTCACAACAATGAGCGGAGCGCTGGGTGGCTAAAGCACAGCAAGTTGGCACAGTAGGGGCACAGATGGTGCATCAGCCAGTCATCTCAGTCAGTCGACCCGTGGCACCTGGGTCTGCCCCGTGACCTTCTGCCAGCAGGTGTTCGACATGTTTTTGAGTGCGTTTGCGTGAATGTACACGTTTGTGTGTGCCTGTGTGCACGCTTAGTTGCATGTCTGTACCTGTGTACGTGCGTCTGTGTGTGCATGATGATGATATGTTGTGTGTCTCCACATGTGCTCATTTGTCTGTGTGCTTGCTCGTCTTCTTGTTTATGCCTTGTTGCTCGATTACTCCTGACAGTTCTTCCCCACTAATGTTGTCGTCAATGCCCCTGCAGAAGCGGAGGATCGCACGCGAGGCGAACATCTCGGAGCCGAGCGCGTCGGACGCAGAATTCGACGCGCACAGCTTCACCAGCAGTGAGTCGGGAGCAGCCCGCGTCAACGAAGCCATGTTCCCCTGCCAATCCCCGCACCTCCCACGAAGTCTAAACCTCTACAAATATTATTTCACTTCGTCTAAATTTCTCGACCACTGTAAACTGGGTTCAGCTGGCCCAGTTCTGTTGCAGTGATGGCCCAACAGCAGGCCTCTGTCCCTGGGTTGTGTCGCCATGCTTTCTAAAACTATAAACTATTATTATTTTTCGATTTAAAGCTTTCGTGACTGCAGGGATTCATCTTCTTGGTTCTTTCGGTAAAGTCACGTAGAAGGGAAGTAATAAAATAATAAAAATAAAACATAATAAAACAATTCTCACGACGTTTCGGCCACAACGCAAGCAGCCGTCCTCAGGTGAAAACCAGGTCCGTCGAGGCGACAGAGTCTGAATGAAACAGCACATGGGCTTGGAGCATATATATAAGCTGGGCGCATTGACAAAGGAATTTGCATATCAACAGGAATTTAGCATATTTATGGGAAATGCAGGAATGTAATTAGTACTGCATATGCATGTGCATTATGCAGGATTAACAGCATCAAAGGGAGCTGCAGTTACTGCTGCTGCAGTAGTTGCTGCTGCTGCTGCAGTTTCTGCTGCTGCTGCAGTTGCTGCTGCTGCAGTTGCTGCTGCTGCTGCAGTTGCTGCTGCTGCTGCACTTGCTGCTGCTGCTGCACTTGCTGCTGCTGCTGCACTTGCTGCTGCTGCTGCAGTTGCTGCCTTATCCATTTTAATATAACACTATGTATTATTCTACCCACCCTAATGTGTATCATACTGCTATATGTTTACTGTACAATTACGACACCATACATTACTCTGCACACTGCACCATGCCAGTGAGTGGAACGCGGTCTGAAAGTCACCGTTAACGTGAACACAATCAGTTAAGATCCGAAATGGTTTATTACGTCCTTCCAATGATTGCTAAGCCAGAATCCATCTTCTCGGTTGAAATTGTCTCTGTGTTTGTATATGTGGATCGCCTCATGAACGAATCTCTCATGATAGCCAGATGGCTTGCAGAGAACCTCTGTCTTGGAGAAGTCAATGTCACGTGAGCCCACTGAATTGTAACAGTGATCTGCCACGGCTGAGGTGTTTGTCCTACCGTGTTTCAGGTCTGCCTTATGTTCACGGATGCGGTCCGAGACATGTCGTTTGGTTTCTCCAATGTAACTGCTACCACAGAGGAAACTTAGTTTGTAGACGCCAGGGTACTGTATGTCTGGAACCACATCTTTTACAGACGGGACCAGATCACGGATTTTATGTACTGTGTTGAATCGGACCTGGATCTTGTGTTTAATCAGGATTTTGGAGATCTTTTTTGTGACCCCAGCAATGTAGGGTAAGGTGATGGTCTTGAAAGGCTCCTCAACAGGATCCTTCTTGATGGTTGGAGTGATGGCTTTGCGGATTGTGTAGTCGGAGTAACCATTAGCCTTAAGAGCTTGGCGTACGTGTTTGAGTTCACTGGAAATGTGTTCATGGTCGGAGATGCATTGGGCTCTATGATATAGAATCTTGATGAGGGAATTCTTCTGGGATGGATGGTGGTGGGAATCCGGTTTTAGATAAGCATCCGTGTGGGTGGCTTTCCTGTAGACAGAGTGGCTCATTGAACCATCAGGTCTTCTTTTGATTAGGACATCCAAAAAGGGTAGCTTGCCATCATTTTCGACTTCCATGGTGAATCTGATGGCTGGGTGTATGGAATTGATGTGGTCGAGAAATTGGTCTAGAGCAGGCCGGCCATGTGGCCAAATGACAAAAGTGTCGTCTACGTACCTCTTCCATAAGGTCGGGCGTAGAGTGGCAGTCTGGATGGCGTCCGTCTCAAATTTCTCCATGAAGATGTTGGCTACAACCGGAGATAGGGGGGAGCCCATTGGGGTGCCCTCAATTTGCTTGTAGAAGGTTCCATTCCAGGTGAAGTATGTATTGGTTAAGCAGTGTCTCACCAGGGGGGGTACCCCAGCATTCAGTCCTTGATGAACCAAGTCTTCAATGATTGCGATGGTGTCAGGCACAGGCACCTTGGTGAACAAGGAAACCACATCAAAACTGACAAGCAGGTCGTCTGGGGACAGGGCAATCCCCTTGATTGTCGATACCAGGTCAGTAGAGTTTAGTACTGCAGAGGTGGTTTTTCCAGTGAAAGGCCGTAGGATTTCGGACAAAAAACGAGCCAGTTTGTAAGTGGGGGAGTTGATAGTAGAGACAATGGGACGAAGAGGTGTATCTTCTTTATGTATCTTTGGCAAGCCGTACAATCTTGGTGGCCTGGCTGCAGAAGGTTTCAACGAGAACTGTTTGGTCTGATCAATTAATGCGGTTGAAGCAGAAATTATGTTGTTGGTTTTGGAGACGAGGCTGTTGGTGGGGTCTCTTTTTATTTTTGTATAGCTGCCATCGTTGAGTAGTTCTTGAATTTTGTTGTTGTATTCTATTTTGTCCATGATGACAGTGGCATTGCCTTTGTCGGCTGAGAGGATGACAATGTCATCCCTCTTTTTTAATTGAGCTAATTCAAAACGCTCATCTTTGCTAATGTTGCTAGCTGGCATCTTAGCGTTTTTGAGGGTTACAGAGATTTCAGATCTTGCTACGTCTGCAGCGATGTGACTCAAGCCCTTGAGAGCTACATCTACTCGAGCAATTATATCATTAACTGGTATGTGTCTAGGTGTGACTGCAAAGTTTAGTCCTTTAGCTAAAACGGATTTCAAACCTTCAGAAATAGGACTGTTACTGCGATTAATTACGACTTTGTTAACATCTAGCTTTTCAATGTGTGGGTCCGGTTTCTTGTTTGAGAGGCGGTTGAATTTGGAAATCAAGTTGTCCTTACATTTAGTCGACATAGCGGCAGCTGAAGAGGCAGTCATTTTTTCCACATGTTCCCAATCCGATGTGGACATTGTTACACTCAAAGATAAGTGTGATTTGTAGAGTGTCTTGTCTAACTGATCTAGTTCGGTGCGCGTAAGTCTGATTTTCTCTGAGATAAGAGCTAAACTAGTTCTAGACAGAATTCGTTTCGCATTAGAAGAAGTTACAGCAGCAGATGTTAGTGTAAATGCGTTTGGTATTACCTTAGAGTCGCGGCATCTCTTCAGAAAGGTGAGAGACTCGATTAGCTGAGCCTTCTTATCCCGGAGCTTGCTGAAGGATCTCAAAGTTATGTGGAAACCCTCCCCGTAGAGGCGGTTAAATTTCGATTTAAAGCTTTCGTGACTGCAGGGATTCATCTTCTTGGTTCTTTCGGTAAAGTCACGTAGAAGGGAAGTAATAAAATAATAAAAATAAAACATAATAAAACAATTCTCACGACGTTTCGGCCACAACGCAAGCAGCCGTCCTCAGGTGAAAACCAGGTCCGTCGAGGCGACAGAGTCTGAATGAAACAGCACACGGGCTTGGAGCATATATATAAGCTGGGCGCATTGACAAAGGAATTTGCATATCAACAGGAATTTAGCATATTTATGGGAAATGCAGGAATGTAATTAGTACTGCATATGCATGTGCATTATGCAGGATTAACAGCATCAAAGGGAGCTGCAGTTACTGCTGCTGCAGTAGTTGCTGCTGCTGCTGCAGTTTCTGCTGCTGCTGCAGTTGCTGCTGCTGCTGCTGCAGTTGCTGCTGCTGCTGCACTTGCTGCTGCTGCTGCACTTGCTGCTGCTGCACTTGCTGCTGCTGCTGCAGTTGCTGCCTTATCCATTTTAATATAACACTATGTATTATTCTACCCACCCTAATGTGTATCATACTGCTATATGTTTACTGTACAATTACAACACCATACATTACTCTGCACACTGCACCATGCCAGTGAGTGGAACGCGGTCTGAAAGTCACCGTTAACGTGAACACAATCAGTTAAGATCCGAAATGGTTTATTACGTCCTTCCAATGATTGCTAAGCCAGAATCCATCTTCTCGGTTGAAATTGTCTCTGTGTTTGTATATGTGGATCGCCTCATGAACGAATCTCTCATGATAGCCAGATGGCTTGCAGAGAACCTCTGTCTTGGAGAAGTCAATGTCACGTGAGCCCACTGAATTGTAACAGTGATCTGCCACGGCTGAGGTGTTTGTCCTACCGTGTTTCAGGTCTGCCTTATGTTCACGGATGCGGTCCGAGACATGTCGTTTGGTTTCTCCAATGTAACTGCTACCACAGAGGCAACTTAGTTTGTAGACGCCAGGGTACTGTATGTCTGGAACCACATCTTTTACAGACGGGACCAGATCACGGATTTTATGTACTGTGTTGAATCGGACCTGGATCTTGTGTTTAATCAGGATTTTGGAGATCTTTTTTGTGACCCCAGCAATGTAGGGTAAGGTGATGGTCTTGAAAGGCTCCTCAACAGGATCCTTCTTGATGGTTGGAGTGATGGCTTTGCGGATTGTGTAGTCGGAGTAACCATTAGCCTTAAGAGCTTGGCGTACGTGTTTGAGTTCACTGGAAATAGAATACAACAAGAACTACTCAACGATGGCAGCTATACAAAAATAAAAAGAGACCCCACCAACAGCCTCGTCTCCAAAACCAACAACATCATTTCTGCTTCAACCGCATTAATTGATCAGACCAAACAGTTCTCGTTGAAACCTTCTGCAGCCAGGCCACCAAGATTGTACGGCTTGCCAAAGATACATAAAGAAGATACACGTCTTCGTCCCATTGTCTCTACTATCAACTCCCCCACTTACAAACTGGCTCGTTTTTTGTCCGAAATCCTACGGCCTTTCACTGGAAAAACCACCTCTGCAGTACTAAACTCTACTGACCTGGTATCGACAATCAAGGGGATTGCCCTGTCCCCAGACGACCTGCTTGTCAGTTTTGATGTGGTTTCCTTGTTCACCAAGGTGCCTGTGCCTGACACCATCGCAATCATTGAAGACTTGGTTCATCAAGGACTGAATGCTGGGGTACCCCCCCTGGTGAGACACTGCTTAACCAATACATACTTCACCTGGAATGGAACCTTCTACAAGCAAATTGAGGGCACCCCAATGGGCTCCCCCCTATCTCCGGTTGTAGCCAACATCTTCATGGAGAAATTTGAGACGGACGCCATCCAGACTGCCACTCTACGCCCGACCTTATGGAAGAGGTACGTAGACGACACTTTTGTCATTTGGCCACATGGCCGGCCTGCTCTAGACCAATTTCTCGACCACATCAATTCCATACACCCAGCCATCAGATTCACCATGGAAGTCGAAAATGATGGCAAGCTACCCTTTTTGGATGTCCTAATCAAAAGGAGACCTGATGGTTCAATGAGCCACTCTGTCTACAGGAAAGCCACCCACACGGATGCTTATCTAAAACCGGATTCCCACCACCATCCATCCCAGAAGAATTCCCTCATCAAGACTCTATATCATAGAGCCCAATGCATCTCCGACCATGAACACATTTCCAGTGAACTCAAACACGTACGCCAAGCTCTTAAGGCTAATGGTTACTCCGACTACACAATCCGCAAAGCCATCACTCCAACCATCAAGAAGAATCCTGTTGAGGAGCCTTTCAAGACCATCACCTTACCCTACATTGCTGGGGTCACAAAAAAGATCTCCAAAATCCTGATTAAACACAAGATCCAGGTCCGATTCAACACAGTACATAAAATCCGTGATCTGGTCCCGTCTGTAAAAGATGTGGTTCCAGACATACAGTACCCTGGCGTCTACAAACTAAGTTGCCTCTGTGGTAGCAGTTACATTGGAGAAACCAAACGACATGTCTCGGACCGCATCCGTGAACATAAGGCAGACCTGAAACACGGTAGGACAAACACCTCAGCCGTGGCAGATCACTGTTACAATTCAGTGGGCTCACATGACATTGACTTCTCCAAGACAGAGGTTCTCTGCAAGCCATCTGGCTATCATGAGAGATTCGTTCATGAGGCGATCCACATATACAAACACAGAGACAATTTCAACCGAGAAGATGGATTCTGGCTTAGCAATCATTGGAAGGACGTAATAAACCATTTCGGATCTTAACTGATTGTGTTCACGTTAACGGTGACTTTCAGACCGCGTTCCACTCACTGGCATGGTGCAGTGTGCAGAGTAATGTATGGTGTCGTAATTGTACAGTAAACATATAGCAGTATGATACACATTAGGGTGGGTAGAATAATACATAGTGTTATATTAAAATGGATAAGGCAGCAACTTCAGCAGCAGCAGCAAGTGCAGCAGCAGCAAGTGCAGCAGCAGTAGCAAGTGCAGCAGCAGCAGCAACTGCAGCAGCAGCAGCAACTGCAGCAGCAGCAGAAACTGCAGCAGCAGCAGCAACTACTGCAGCAGCAGTAACTGCAGCTCCCTTTGATGCTGTTAATCCTGCATAATGCACATGCATATGCAGTACTAATTACATTCCTGCATTTCCCATAAATATGCTAAATTCCTGTTGATATGCAAATTCCTTTGTCAATGCGCCCAGCTTATATATATGCTCCAAGCCCGTGTGCTGTTTCATTCAGACTCTGTCGCCTCGACGGACCTGGTTTTCACCTGAGGACGGCTGCTTGCGTTGTGGCCGAAACGTCGTGAGAATTGTTTTATTATGTATTATTATTTTACCAGGTAAGACCCACTGAGCTACATAGCTCTTTTTCAGAAGCGACTTGGCCGCCAATGATTGCTCAGCGAAGTGGCTTATTGTGTGGAAATTTACAGCGGCCAAATACTCTCAACGCATGTTTCTAAATGTGGAGGGAAAAACCGGAGGATCTTTTTAAAAATCCATGCAACCACAGGGAAAACATGCAAAATAAGAAGTGTTTTTATTTTTCTCATGTTTAACATAGGCACGTGTAATGTTAGACTTTAAGTTAAGGTCCACTTTGTAATTTTCCACTGTGGAGCTTTAACAACTGGAACGGTTCCCAGTGGTCATGGAAACGTGGCATTGCTCAGGCTGCCAGCTCTCAGGTGTCTTGCCTCTTGGCTTAAGTTGACAAAGTCTTTCCCTAATATGTTTATTCCTAACTGTATTCTTAATCTCAATTAATTTAATGCTAATCTACACATGTGTTGCTACTCTGGATCACGTTCACAATTCTAACTCTAAACCATTTCCTAACACTACTCTACTTATTCCTAATATTAATTTCTGTAATTGCAGAGCAGTTAATGACCATTGCCTAATTAATCCTAATATGTATCGGAAACCCCACTCCTAGCCCAGTTGTTCAACCTCACCAATGCAACCCGTAAAACAAACAGCTCTTATCTTGTAGATGCACACCTAGGCTGTGTGTACTGTGCTCTTGGATATGAGTTTTAAGAATAGTTTCCAACCGAGTTAGTTTAAGTTTTGGAAACTCTGCACTGGTTTATAATTATCTGAGTCTCAAAGTGTTTAATTCCCACACTATCCTAAACGACACTTTTCAACTAAATGTTCTGTCCCACTCCAGTTCAATTACGGTCCGTTTTTTCATCCAAATTTCAAATTGCTGTTTAGATCTCTCCCTTCCCTTTTGTGTCTCAGTTATATCCATCCTGTTTATCCTTCTGTCCTTTCCCCCTCCTGACCATCCTTCTCCACCCCAGCGCCATCACAAGGCTTGCTGCACAAGGAGGAGATTGAGCAGATGGAGGACTTCCGCAAGCGCCTAGGCTCCGACTGGCTGCGTTACAAGCACCACCTGGAGCATGCCACCGACTCTGGTGGCGACAGCGAAGGGCTTAACACCCAGCGGCAGCAACAGGGGCAGCAGCAGAAGCCTGACTCATCAGTGGCTGATGGCATTCCCACCCAGCAGACACCCGTCGCTGAAGACTTGGAGAGCAGCATCAGCATATTTGCCGGGTACTGCAGTGCGGATGAAGTCACGGAAACGGACGGAGCCGGGGAGGAGGAGGTTTTCGTCACGGGAAGGCAGACGAGCGACGAGATTGACGGTACCACCACGGCTGGCGCTACCACCACTGCTTCCCGTTTGGACTCGACGTCCTCCCGAGGCACCCTGAAGCAGGAGAAGATCTCCTGGCGACTCGGGATGGACGAGGAGGAGGAAAAGGAGGAAAAGGAGGAAGAGAGGGAAGATGTTTTTGACGAGGATGAGAAATACGGAGGTCTGTGATCTGTGTCAGACAAACTGTTGTAGATGTTTTTGCTAATTTATTTTTGTTACTGAGGGCATGAGTCTTAAGCATGGTAATCCTTAATTAGCACGAGATGGAAAATCAATTAAAAATGTTTCCATGAACTCACAAGCAGTCGACAGCGCTCATCCAGTTGTGTCGATTCCACATTCTTGTGGCAGGTGTCAGTTTCACTTCAACACAACCACTTTTTAATTCTCACAAAGTTGTCCAGCAAAGTGGCTGGAGTAAATTTCAGATCTAGAGAAGCAGGCTTTCAATCACAATAGTCATCGTCTATAAGATTAGGGTGCATCTTGTGTGTACCTTGGAGGTTGTCGTAGTTCCATTTAAAGAGGCTTTTGATGGCTGTGGCATTATTTGGATTCTCTTTAGCTTGTTAATACTGCATTGTCTGTGCCATCTCGTTTGTATTATCAATCTGATGTTTTCTATCATTCGTTCATTTCCTTAGCCTAAATAGTGCCTTGGCTTTGAATTTTCACGAATCCATTGCAATTTTTTTAAACATGATTTGATGCATGTCTCGTGGGCCTAAAACTGTATTTAATTGTCGTAGATTCACATGATAAATGTGATTTTAAAAATTCGATACATTTTTCACATTGTAGTGAATGCAGTTTCAGCTTCGGCATATGCAATATACTAATCGAAAATTATCTATTCCTACGAGCACGATTTGCTGCATGTGTCATGAACATGAGAATCGATTTTAATTGGTGAATCGATGCATCTCTTAATTGCTAAATTATTTTCATCGTCATGAAAATTATTATTTAATTTGCCTTGAATATTTAAATATCATTTATGATACAGTTTATTATTATTGCGCTATTTTGCTGTTGCACCTTTCGCATTGCAGGCCGCTGATGCGGGGCTGTAGTTGCGTGGAGCTCAACTGCCGAGATTGGGGTGAGGCCAGACGCTAGCCTCGCAGATCCTCCTAACCGTTTGATGCTGCGCGTGCGCAGAGACCCTGGGCGCGCCGTGCCTGGCAAGCGTGTGCACGGACGCGGAGGAGCGCACCGTGTTTGTGACGGTGCGGCGCGTGGCACTCGTGGAGCAGGAGACGAGCCGCGCAAAGACCACCGCCACATTCGAGCTCGCGTCGCTGCTCTCGGCAAAGGCCACGGCTCGGCCGTACTGCCGGCAGGTGCGGAACGGCACGCATGTGATGATGCAGCGCGGCAGACGTAGCCCCAGTCGATCTGTGGATGGACTTGCCACGACCATGGTAGTGGACAATATATACCAGTGGCTATTTTGAGCACTGGTAATGTTTTTTACTTGACTATTGTTAGCTCATTGATGGCATGTTCCTGCATGTATTAACCACAAGCGTGCCTTATCGGTAACCCTACATATCTCACACCTTATTCCTAACCATAACCATACCCATAGCACTATGCACCCTATAAATAACCCAACCTCTACCCCTAACACTACCCCTACCTGGCCACACAAACCCCCCTTTTGTGCCTTGCTGACCTGCATAGGTACTCACTAGCAACACTTGTCCCATAACTGTAGGCTTCACAGGGGATCTTTGTCTTTGTGTGTTTAAGTGCACAATGTATTGCACGTGTATGTCTATGCCCAGGGGGTGGAAGAGTTGGTTCCAGCCCTAGAGCTGCACTTCAGCTACATCTGGGCTGACCGGAAGCAACGCACGTACCTCATCCTAGAGGAGGACCCGAAGCTCGTCCTGCAGGTGGACGCACCGCGGTTTCTGGGGTCTTGCAGGGGTTGACAGCGGGACTGGTCTTTTTTGCCCCATCATTTGGGGTGGTTTGGGGTTGGTCTAGGACAGGGGTCGGCAACCTACGGCTCCGGAGCCGCATGCGGCTCTTTACGGGCTGCTTCTTGTCGATGAGTACGTATGTACTCAGATGCATTGCGGCTCTTGAAATACTGAATTTTGTACCGAATTGGAAAGAAATGGCTCTTCTTGTTATTTTGGTTGCCGACCCCTGGTCTAGGATCTGATTGGCTGATGTGGTGATTGTTCTTGGGTAGAACTTGTATCTGAATGGCTCTGGTTGGAGAATTGTTTAATTGCCCATTGTAACTACTTCCCTTACAGATCTTCGTGCCACCTACACACTCACAACCACCACAAAGATCCCGTACTTAGACTTACCTCACTAGGGTTCCCCATTGCTCAGTTAATGAAATTATGGTCAATTGTGGACTAGAGGTTGAGATCTCACCCTGATATTTTAATCCCGAGCCGTCATCCATATAATGTTTTCATAATCTTGATCATATTCCTATCCCTAACCTACCCCATGTAATCTTCACCGTAAGTTATTCTAGTCCATGGTTATTACCCTTTGAAACTTGCATTTGAACATAAACCAAACCCTCTTCCTTTTCCTAAGCAAGGAATCCCAACACAGCCTGTAGCAATTAATCTTTAAATAATTTTCCTAATCCTTGCCCTGTGCCAAACATGAATTTATTTTATTGTAACCCAAATGCTCACGCACACTTACAAAAAGAGCATCAATTCCCAATACGACATGGTACAGTATCATGCTCGTGTCCAGTTGGCTACTGTGTTCCACTTTCATATTCGTTGGTTATTTCGGTAAAGTCACGTAGATAGAAAAAATAATACTAAAGTGTTCCACTTCCAAACTGCTCCATGCCCTTTTGCAAGCATCACCGTTTCACATTTCATTCCATTTTCACTTCCTGTGTCGCATTCAACTGTAGAGATGCTCACATTTGGTTTCTCCGACTGCTGCCACCTTGCGCCCACTCTGCACCTACCCTGCACCCACCCTGCGCAGACCCTGCTGTCCGTGCTGGCACCCGTGGCTCAGGAAAACCGGCGTGCCCTCCGCCAGAAAGATTCCGCCTTCCAGTGCCTCAAGTGCAGCCAGTCGTTCACTGGGCCCACCCGGAACATGCCGCCGCCCCCCGGGGCCCTCGCTCGCCATGCCTCCTTCGGCCGCACAGCCTTCGACAGAGGTGACGGGCGAGTTGTGACGCAGTGTAGTGAATGCAGGATTCTTGTTCTGCTGAATAAAAACAATTGTTTAGTGCGTGTCTAAAATTGCAATGTTTTTACTGGGGAATTAATTGACCCAAAGACCCGAGTTTATTTATCTGTCTTCCTGCTTTGCGCCTCTCCGCCCCCACAATGACACGTGATCCCAGGAAACGAGGAGGAGGAACGCGAGGGGTCCCTGCTGGCGTGCCCGTCGTGTTCCAGCGACCTGGTGGTGCTCGTGTCCGACACCGATGGAACGGAAGGCATGCCCCGCCGTTCCAGCACACCGCTCGCCTCCTCACATGGCTCCAGTGGCGTCTGGGCCAGCCTAGCCGGCGCCGACGTGTACCGCACCGTCTACGTGGATAACGGCACGCCGCGCAACGCCTTGGACAGCGGTGTCGTTATTAATGGTGTCCCACCGAGCCCCACGGTGGCGGGGGGAAGCGACAGCGGCCGGGTACGCGCAGAATCGTTCTCGCTCTACCGGACAGCTAACGAGTTCCTGTCTGGCTTGAGCTCCGGCGTTTGGAAGACTGAGACAGACGGGGCTTTGAGCAGCTGCGGCAGCAGCAGGCGCAGCAGCAGCGCTGGCGGCGGTGGTGGAGGAGGAGAGAACCCTTTCTACGAATGCGGAGACAGTCCTGTGCATGGCGCCATGCGAAGGTCGTCACTAGATTCGCACGGTGAGAGGAAATATACAGGGACCGGAGTTGATGGGTACAGAATTCTGCGACTAAATAAGGTGTGGTGATTTGTGACGCTACCAAACCTACTCAGTGGGAAAGGTGGCGATAAAATGGGTTCATGAACCCATTTGTGACGACCTTTCAGTGTTATCCTCTCAACCAGCATTTTTTTCTGGGTACTTTGGTTTCCTCTCATATGCAATGCTCCTTAACAAGGTATTGGCCAAACATTCCAATGCAAGATCATCCTGAAAAATTACTTTGAGACTCGGTGACACATTAATGCATTAACGATAATTGGCATTTATTTGGCTGGGTACTGTTAACTTCATTGGATAATCGCTTACCACAAAGTGGTAGCTATTTTATCATCCCCAGAGGGATAAGGGGGCTGAGTCAATCTCCCCTGGTGCCCGACAAGGATTTGAACTTGCACCCTTTAAATTGCGATTTGAATGGCTTCCTATCAATACCACACTAATTTAAAATGGTATTTACCAAACATCCTGATGCTGGACTCGCCTGAAAACTAGTTTTGAGACTGAATAAGACCTTTCTGGACAAACAAATGTTATAATAATTATTATTATCAGTTACAATACTTGCCAGGTGGCTCAGCGGCAGAGCGAGTGGCTCGCGATCGTAAGGTTGCGAGTTCAAATCCTGATCGGGTATTGACTCAGCCCACCATCTCTTTAGGGTCGATCAAAGGATTTCCAATTTGTGGATCAATCAACAGTAGTTAGTTGTTCTTTGGATAGAATCGCCCCCACCATAGGAATGAGCACTGCCTCTATCCACATTTGAGTAAGAAAGCGCTTTAACCTTTGTTTGAAGGCAGCATGTCTTATTGCGACGGTAATGGCGTGTTCCCTGTGGGGAAGGACCGTGCGGTGGTTGAGTTTTCTCGTGATGATCGACCGCGCCCCGGTTTCTTGCAACCATGTGACAACAGGCTCTGGGAGTCCTGGGTCCGACGGCTTCTCGGCGATTGACCACCGACTCAAGCTGCACCTGGAGCTGAATGTCTTCGAGGACGAGGAGTTCCGCCTGCTCATTGTGGTAAGTTTTATCAGCCCTGACGAAATATGGTCAAATATAACCCCCACGTCCCGTACGGCATGGGTATATCCTCATCCATCAGTGGCCTGAACCCATGGAGCATTAAACAATTCACCCCCGCCCCAACCTCCTCATTAAGATACATTTAATTGGCATGTAGGTGCTGGAATGATGACACGGTAGTTGACATATTAAGCTATGAATCTGACCACGGCTTACAGCAGTCGCGATGAATGTCAGAACTGACCATGGGTGGCCCCTTCTTCACCAACCCGCATTGACCAGCATGGTGAAGTTTGGTCACAAAGGGCTGTAAATGACAGGCTTGAGATGATTAACCTCCATGCCCAGTGCAACCATGAATTGCCACGATTTAAAGTTGCATTTTGCTTTAATAATCAATTTCTGTCTCGATCTATCTCGTTCGCAATGGTTCTTGTTTTGTCTCGTTCGTACAGGTCGTTTCTGCCCCATAAGGCTAAATTTTAAATCGCTGTTTTGAAATTATTTGCAAACAATTTTGGAGGATTCGTTCATAATAAATTATTCTGTGCATGGTTTGATGCATGGGCATGGGTCCTGTCACTAAAGCTCCTGGGGTCACACCACTGGGTTTTCGTTGACCCAGTTCCAAGTGTAAAACCCAGTGTGACATGTGGAGAATTCATTTAAAAAAAGGTTTAATTTGGACCAGTTGTGTGTTGTGCACTTGAGCCCACGCATGTGTGTCCTATAAATGTTTCTAGCCAGGGCAGTGCCTGCGTTGAAAAAAGCTGCCCCCTATAAGAGGGTTCCCAGACAATGCGTCGCGCAGTCACCTTTTAAAAAGTCCCTATCGCCTAGTAAAAACTACACGTGTATTTAAGTAGGAAGCCTGTATACCAGTGGTCAGTCTGTATACTCGCCGTCATTCTGTATATGAGCTGCCAGTTTGTATATTTGCTGCACACCAACTGACGCCTTATTCAAGCTTTCATCAACCTGATACCCTGCTCCCCCCCCCCGCCCTGGTGTCACGCCACCACGAGGCAATCGCATCGTGAACAGGCACAACATTAACCGCATTATCTGCCCTACTTCAATAATCCTCCTACCACCACAGCACTGGAGAATTATTAAACAATAGGCAGTTTTCCCTGTGACTGTAAATAAAGGGTGGCTGTGGCACACTCCAGACATAACTCCTAACACTCGGCCAAGTGCCATATACTTAACTAGGTCATGCCTCTCCCTGATCCCAAATGCGCGCCAGCGATTGTGTGCTCGTTACATGGAAACATCCTAAAGGGGGCACCAGTGTGCAGCTCATAATACAAATAATGTCCAATATTGAAACTAAATATTTATCCCGGATAGCTTTACTTGAGCCCCAGCGAAGCGTATTAAATTTGGATGTTTGGCCAATTCCTTTTTAAGGAGTGTATTATGTTGAGGAAGAAACCCGAGTACCTGGAGAAAACCAACATGTATGAAAGGATAACACTCTTTAAAGTTCCACACAGATATGTTCAGCAACCCATTTGTTGAGCTCTTTGGCAGCAAGTTTTTTTTTAGTTTTCTGGAAAGGCACGAGCATGGAGTTTTATCAGAACCGCTGAAGTGCAGGCCTCTCTGTGGCTCCATTCCCATTTGTAAGTTTTTCCACTTGCCAAAGAAAATGTTAGACAATCCAGCCATAGCGTGCGAGCATGTCTTCTGTCTTTCCGCCTTCTCTTCCATCACATTTTAAAAACTGTATTGCTTCCTGTACGTTGTCAACTTACACCTCCCCTGTATCCCTTATTCTGTTACTTCTCACTTCTTTACTTATTTAATTTCATTCCCCATCATTCATTATGCCATTTAATCATTCCACCCTTTCCCCTTGGCCCTAATCAACTTCCCTTTATTACATCGTTGCTCTCTTCCGTTTTGTCCTCCCCCACTTACAAAATAGCGACACGTGCCAATCCTGCCGAAACTCGATCGGCGTTCCATCAAAAACACAATAGCTGCCATGCAGCAAGACTGCTTTGGGAACACAAAACATCGCAAAGTGGCCATATTTCAAGTTCGCTTTGTCAAAATTATAAAAGCAACGATTTGAAACAAAAAAACAACACCCTGGATTCAAATTTCCGGGCCACTCGGTGGGGGTGAAGTGAGTTTTGTGCTGGTTGGCGGTACAGACCCTGATGCAAAGAACTGCTGAAATTGCATGTGTCTGTTTTGTGTTTTCTTTTTTGCTGCTGCGAGCGGCTGGAAGGGCGCAGCGGGTGAGCTAGGCAGAAAACGGAGCTCGCTGTGAGACTAGAAAGCGCAGAGAGTCTCGTTTTCGGGAAAGCGACGAGCAAAGGAAGCAGCAGGAGACGGCGTTTGCTCCCGGCGTCGTGCCACGTCTCCAAGCGTGCCACGTCCTCCCATCGTGCCACGTCTCCCAGCCTCGTGTCACGGCTCCCGGCGTGCCACTCCTCGGATCCCATTGTGGTTAAATTAAGTTGTAGCCTAAAAAATAGAACACAATTTGTATTTATATAACCTCCATATACGTCTCTAAATGCAACCACATTTGAAGAGGCTGCACAAAATAGTGAAACGTATAAATCATGGAAAGAAATAGACATATATATAGTGCAGAGAAATCCATTGTTGTCCTGTATCATACTCCAATATCTTTACTTTCCACCTTCACGCACTGACCAGCATGGGGAAGTATGGTCAAAAATCAACCCCGATCCACACTGTGTGGGGAAGCCCTCATCCACCAGTGGATTGACAGTGCTGTACATGTGCATATGTAGTATAGATGTTTTAAAGAGAAGAGACAAGGGCAAAAGAGAAGACGAATGTCTCTAGCCTGGACTTAAACAGGATCAAGAAGTTCACAGCATGCACGGATGGATGGATGGCTGGGGGGAAAGGAGGTTGAGATTATGGGGGGGGGCAGTACAGGAAAATGTGTGACCTCCCACAGTGCAAATGTTAATGGGGTACTTCAAAAGGAGGCCTTGCTTGTTGGAGCAGAGAGTATGTGCTGGGGAGTAGAGTAAGATGAGAGGGTAGAGATCGGTCAGGGCAAGTTATTGGAGGTTCTCCACAAATTGGGTACATTTGATTTTGTTATCAAAACAACATCCATTCAAGGTAGTGCGCACAGGGTAAATCTGCTCCTGCAGATGGGAATGTGTCAATTCACCTTTTTATCCGTGGCTTCTCAGCTCTTGGATCGAGCACTGCTCTCAGGCATTTGAAGTTTCCCAGCATGCACTGTGTTTATTGATTTCGCTGTAGTGCTAGCTCCCAACATGCACCACGGAGTTGGTGTTGATGGTGGGAATAAAGGTGATTTTAATGGGGGTGTTGATAATGGTGGTAACAGTGATTGTTTATTATGATGCTGATGTTTCCAATGGTAAGGTGATGTTGATGTCGGTTATCATATTGGCAAGCAATGTATTGATTTTTCTCTGCAGGCGCCGACGGTGGTGTGGGATCGTCCAGAAGAGATTCCCTCCTTCCTCGTCATATCGAACCTCAGCCTTTACGTGCTGGAGCTCAAGGGCGACACCAGGTACTGCACACACCTACAGACGATGCGACGGATATAGCACAACCTACAGCCCGTGTTCCCAGATCATTACAACAATCTGGTTTACATCGGACCTCGCTCGAGAATGTAAAACCCAAACACGGTCGTGCAAATGGAATAATTAACGTCATCTAAATTCCATGTGAATTCAGATAAAAATCACGTAACTTCATCTTAACATTCCAGGCAATTTTCCGTGGCAAAAGTGTGAGAACAGAAAGTGCTCGAACCTCAATGCCGCATGTTCTTGCGCAGCAATAAAACATACCTCCGTCTCGAGTGCCTTCCTGTGTGTGACCCCTTGCGATGGCCCGAGTTCCGTGTCCTCCATGTGCGAGCCAGCTGCTGCATCTTGTTTCTGTACTGCCGCTTAGTAACTGATCATCACTGATATTCACAGAAGCACGCTGGAAATAGCATTGAATACACAGATGTACCGATTAAGCCCCTGCAACCCCGATAGCAATTTGATGAATTTTCAACATTGGAATCGAGAATTATTCTTGTAAACGTGATGGATTTAACAGCCTCCATTGGTTGCAGAGGTCACTTGAGCCCATTACATGCAACATATGTGATGTTTACACGTATAATTCAATACATTATAGTGAGCTTCAGAATCGATATTGAGCCACGCATCATGTGTCACCTGTAAATCAAACACACTGAACTGATCACTATTGAGTAGGGATAGAACGACTCGCCAGTTTTTTGCTTAAACCAGTCCTACTGGGAAACGTAACGGAAGGCATTAGGTAGCCTTCATGTAACTATGAATTGGAAAAAAGCACTCTTATACAAGTATGATAATACACCGTTATAAGGCGGTAGAGAGCAGGGAGAGAGAGCTGAAGAGCTGAAGACGGAAGCTTGTGTTGCCTTCGAAACGTCGTGATTTTTATTTTACTTTTATTAATTTTATTTTTTACCTACGTGACTTTACCGAAAAAACCTAAGAGCAGGGGTCACCTTACTAATTGCCCTGCTCGGTCACATGTGCAGTGTGGAGGATCCTTCGCGGTGGCTGCACGTGCTGGCGACGCGCCGCCTCTCGCAGATGCAGAGGTTGGAGGTCGGGCTCGGGGCCCAGAGCTTCCGGATTGAGTTCGACTCGCCCGGAACGGCCAAGACGACGGAGCAGCCGGGAGGACCGTCGCCGTCTCCGCCTGAGCCGCCTGGGATCACCGTGATGGTGCGCGATCCAAAGAAATGCGAGGCGTTCGTGGGACTCCTGAACGGTACGTTCGCTTGGTCACGATGAAACGGTGAGCCCCGGCACAGCTGACTAGTCGCGCTCGCCCGCCGAGCCTTGTCCGCGGCCTCGCAAGCACGATGCACGCTTGCGTGCGTGCGTGCTCGAATGCTCGCATGTGTGCAGCCCTCTCTGCACATCATCTGATAAATCTGCCTTGGGAGAGAACATGTGCCAGGCCTCTGTTATTTGTTAAGGTGCATTTGCCCTTGTTAAAATCAACCTGAATGTGCTGGATTTCTTCATTTATTGCATTGATTGGAAGCTAAGCAGGTTTGAGGCTGGCTAGTACTTGCATTGGAGGCTGCCTGGGAATATCAGGTGTTGTCGGCTCGTGGCTGCGAGGTGGCCAGCAGATGGTAGCACAGCGATGGATTGAATCTGTCTGTGCGGAGCTTCGAGTGTTGTGCCCTCGTTTGCATGGATGTTCTCCAGGACTATCTTCCTCCCACATGCAAGTCAGTAATAGAAAAGGGCTTTATAATAGTTAATATTATTACAATACAATATATTTTAATCGAGGATGTTATAACATTAAATACAATTGTTTAGTTAATTTGGTCATTAAAACTCTCAGGGACTATATTAGTATTAACTATAAAGTGTTATGTTCAAGTGATGTAACAGTAATTGTTAATAGAAGAGGAACGGTTTTTTTATATTTTGCAGAAAGAATGGCCGAGGTGCCCTCGTGGCGGGACGGCGGTCTGCCCCGCGCCATCGCCCGTGCCTCACTCTCCAGCCAGCACAGCCTCAGGTCGGTACCGACAGTGGCACTGGGAAACAGCAACTCGAATGTGGCACCACAGCAGCACAGGCACGGCACTAGGAACACAGCCGAATGTGACACAGGGAACGCATTTGAATGGGGGGGCACAGGGAGTACATCCAGATGTGGCCCAGTGGAGCACAGCCGGATGTACACGAGGAAAGCAAGCCCACCATGGTGGTCGGACTTGGTTAAGACGGCGTGTGACTCCATACTGTCGTAATCACAAATCTCAATCGCTGTACTCGATTCAAATTTAAGTGAGCGGCTTTCGTGAAAATTACATCCAAACCCCATGCATCAATGGGACGTTTGGCTTGTCTGTGAAAATGATCATCTCTTGAAAATTTAACCCGGATATAAGACTTCGATTGCAATTTCAAATAAGCAATTAAACCTAAATGAATATGAACCAACGAATGGAATATCACAATTTCAATGGATTGAACAAGAAAATGCTGGTATCCCTGGCCGCCTTTGATTGCGAACCGATCGTGTGACGCGCACGCTCGCTGTGCGATCTCGCGCGCGAGGTGGGGAGGGTCGCCGGGGGCTGGGGCCGGTCGGCCCGCAGGGGGGGTTTATGACCGCGCGGGGCTTGGTAGGAATGTGCCGATTGGAAGGCTCGCCGCCTGCCAGCGGAGTAAGCACTAACACGTGTCCCACGCTCGCTCCCCGCACGCCCCTCGGCACGTGTTGCCAGCACCCCCCCCCCCCCCGCCAGACACTCTCCACGCAATCCCGCACGCACGCACGGTACACGTGTAGGCGCACGCACGTATATACGCACAGGCACTCGCACGCACGTCGAGACGAGACATGCACGATTACGCACATTATACGTACACACGCGCACACACGTACCTGCGCATACATGCAGACAGTGCCACGTGGGCACAAGCGAACAGAGGTGTGCGTATACACACTTGTGCAGGAGCAAACGCGTATTGACGCACAAAGACACAAACTTACAAACACGTGGACACACACGTGCAGATGTACGCACACATGAGCGTTTGCAAACACACTTCTCTTTGCTTAATAACGTCACCTATTTTGCTTCCTAAGTGGCTCCTTTGTTTTTGCGCACATACACAATCCAGGCATTCGTGACGCGGAGACGAACTGAATCGAACCCTGCAGCCCTTCGCGTGTCTCTGTCTTCATTAGCAAGCTTCGCTATTGAATCATTGTTTCCTGTTTTCATCTGCTTGTTTGTTACTCTGCCAACTATGTGCACATTTGTTGATTTTTCCAGCTGCCAGAAATGGAATCGAGTGTTTAATAAAATTTTGGTTCAGTTGTTTATAATTTAAGCAGCTATTTTAGTTATTTTCTTTGTCCCCCATTTTAGATTTCCACAAAAATTTTCCACATTTTGCCGCTGCCACATTTGCGCTCTGATGCACATTTTGCCGATCTGTGCCGACAGCCACTGGAATTGTCGATAATTTCGTTTGGCCGCGGGGAAAGTTGTTCCGCCTGCAAACAGACGCGGTGGGAAACAGGGCCATTTCCTTTAGACATTAAACACTCATTTTTATGGCACGGCACATGTTGATTGAACAAAGGTACAAAGTGGGTACTGCGTCACTCCAAAAATAAATACTGGTATTTGAGACTGGCCATTGTATTGTTTTTATTTTGCTGTAGTGTGTTAACTTAAATGATCTCTTTCAAGTGCCCAATCATTTATACTCGGAAATTACTTGTTAATCATCTGTCATCGAGGTGGTTGGGTAGGTTAGTGGTTGAAGAACTTGAGTCGGAATTGCTAAGATCCTGAGTTTGAATCTGAGTTTCAGCCACCCATGATTACGGTTATAATTATAATCACAGGTTTCAGCCATCCATGGAATCTCGTGGCTGAAACCCACATTCCAACGAGTCTTATAATTGGAGTTGATGGTCTCAGCCTGGTTACCAATGGCTATACAAAAATCACCCCATTAAATTTGGGTTTTCACAATTTTATTAAACATTTGTTGTTTTGATTGACATATAACGGCCCTTTGCTGGGCATATATAAGCTGTGTCGCAAGGGTGGACAAAGAGGCCCATTTAAGGGTGTTCAGAAGCAGTTATGTGATGCCTCTTTCCTGGGCCATTATTCGATGCAAGGTGCTGCACTGTTTTCTGAATGGAAATTGAGTTCCGGGACTTGTTTGCCGATAGCGCACTTGGAATATAATCTGAGGTAATGTACAATCATTTTTTGGAACATAATAACGACAAATAAAATAAGGAAGGAGCCGAGTCGTGGCGCAGCGGTTCTTCCTTTGTACTTTGAACCCAGCAACTTGAGTGCAATTCTCGGCGACCGATAACATCAGTGGTGAGTAATATCTGAACAAGTCCTGGTTCTCTCTTCCCCACCTACCCTTCATCAACCCGTACCGACTGGAGTGGTGAAGTCGAGTCGACCCCATGACCGATACAACCTGGTGGGGCTTTCATCCAAAACTAGATTGACAAATGCAAGTAACCATAACAATAAATAGAGGGGGGGGGGGGGGGTGGGAATTCAACCCTCGTGTTTGCGGCTGGCACGACGGCTAATGTGGATCGTCCCTCTGTGCGCTGTTATGTCGGTCAAGGCGGATCATGTCCCAGTGGGAGGCGGGCGCAGACGTGCTTCTGGGAGACCAGGCGCCGAGTGGAGGCGTCTACCTGCTGGCGTTTGTCCTGCGAGGTGTGACTATCAGTGCACGCTGCGGCGGACATGCAAAAGCGCACACACACGCATTCTCGCATACAAAGGTGTGCACGCTGCTGTGGACACGCCAAAGGTGAAATTCCCCCGTATAGCCTTTAACAGACTATTGGGGCAAGTGCTGTTAGTGAGCACCTGTTAAGGCTGGCACGGCACACACGAGGCAATGGGTGTGTACACACCGTACCATGTACTCACCGATGTTGATTGGTATTCAGGCTAGCACCCATGTACATTTAAACACAAGCAAAAATTGGCGCATCAACACGTGCACTTACATACAAAGATACATAAAAAAATATATGTACACACTCGCACGCATGCACTCACCAGCACTCGTCCAAACTCGCACGGTCACACGCTCACGTGCTTGAGTTTAGTATAGCTTTGTATAGGGTGCAGTTCAGCAAGTAGGTGTCTGATGAGCTCGGTGCGTGTTTGTGGAGATGCAGCGTTCTCCCCTCGCATACACACACAGTTCTTCTCAGGGCATTCGGGTTTTTCTCCTGCTTGCTCAAATTCGATCGATTTGACTACCCAAACAGGAACCTTCATAAAAAAAACACTCTCAGTTAACTTTCTTCTGGATATATTTTTTAATTTCTCCTTGATGTTGCATATCCATCAATCTCCATCGATGCCAGCACCTTACTTTTCTGATCCGCTAATATATGGAGCTTTCCTCATTTTCAATCACCCGTCGAGAAGAATTAAGAGGGTCATTAGAAATTAGCGGTATATCTATTAACGGCTCGCCTATATTTCTGTTATATACCCACATCTGTCCACCCAGCAGTATAAATGGATACACTACAATTCGACAGGTTGCGTGCGGTCGGGTTAAACTTGTATAGGTACTCTCACCTGTTCCCAGACGTGTGTAGAACTCCCATTATTGGAGGCCCTTCCACATGCAGTGGTGTGAACAAGTCATTGCAAGGCTGTGATTTAACATTTGTTTTCGGTTCTGTTATATTTATTGAAAATTGACGTTCATACTCTCAGGCGAGCTCCGCACACAAATGCAGAGTCACACGCAAAGCCCGGCTGGCGGGAACGCCGCGAGTGCAGCGCGCCCTCGGCTCCCGCGAGCAGCGCCCGACCGTTCAACCTCAAGGAAGGGCCGGGGGAACTGCTTCTGACGACTGAAGCGTTTGGCCTCGAGGGTTATTTTCTTTCCCTCCCATTGCCATCCCCTCCACGACATGATATTTGCGAAGTGTTTAATCACGGGATGCGCTCAGCCCTGCCATCGGCTGCCCCCCGCGGGCACCGCTCAATGTTGGGCTTCGTGCCGGGAGAGCGTTTTTCGGCATTTGCCGAGCGCTGGCTACTTGCGGCTAAGCCCATGCCCCCGTGGTCTGTTTTCGAAAAACACAGAACGAGGAAAAAAAAAAAAAGCAAAATTCCAAACAATTTGAGCTTCGCTCGTTGGCGGTGGCCAATGTCCACACGTTCCCGACGTCCCGGGGTCGATCCGACACGACCACCGTGCATCACTTGCGTATAGGAGCTGCGCAATCATTAGGTAACCGGTGCCTCACGCTTGTTTACGACTCTTATTTATGCAGTTATTAAACACAAACAGCCCAAATAATTGCCACAGAAGGAACAGAAAAATTGTGTTCCAGGAAATTAATCGCCGCGTTGGCCAGTGGGGATAAAGACACTGGCCTCTTAAAGCGGGGATTGTGGAATCCAACAACCTTGGGGAGCATTGATTTGTGCGCTTATCCCAGTTCTCCTTGTTAATGAGCCAGGTCTTGGTGGTGGGATCTCTACTGGCGACCGCTTTTATGCGTTTGAGTCACCCGCAGGCTTGGGGGCTCAATTAATGCCGGACTCATAAAACAGGCGAACTGCCACAGTTCATCAGCCCTGAGTTTAAAAAAAAAAAAAATCCACATTCCCTTTTGCGCACACAGTTTCTGAAACCTGCTGAGCCCCCTCTCACGGGCTGCCCTTGGCTGCCGTTCGCCCTGCGGCAGCGCTTGCCAAGCGTTTCACCTGCGATCGTAGCGTAGGAGCCATGTTAGCACGGACGCCAGGCGTATATTTTATCCGTATGTTGAAGCTTTGCATTTGTACTAATGGATTATCGGTCCCACGCGGGTTTAAAAGTGCTGGGGTGGTTGTTGTTGTTGGTGGAGGGGGTCACTTTAAATAGTTCTGGTGCAGCGTTGTAAAATAATGGCCAATGCCTGGACGTGTTTGGCATAAGTGCGCGTGACGAGGGACGGGTGGGAGCGCTTGATGAACGGGGTTGAGTAACATGTGGCCCAATTGTTGTGGAAGTTATGCTGCCAACTCGCTTGCCCATACACTCACCCTCTCACCTGCTTAGTGACTTACTTAACCATTCACTTACCTCTCACCCACTAACCCACAAATTAGCTTTCTAATTTGCTCAGAAACTCACCCTGTTACTGATTCACTTTTTCACCAACTCATCCAGCCAATAACTGACCTGCTTAGCCACGAACGTACTTGCTTGATCTCTCATTCGTGCACTTACTCGCACACTCAATGCTCAACCATTCACTCTTCCATTGTTCCGCATATTCACTCACTCATCCTTTCACCTACTTGTCTACCTGCTCACCCTTTCACCAATACTCTTCCCCAGCCAGCAACTTGTCCATTGCCATCTGACTTTCCCCACAAATGTTTGGAGTTCCTGTGCAATTTCAAACGATGTTTTTTATTTTCGCACCAGAACGGGTGAACGTTGTTTTGGACCCCGTACAGTCGGGTGCTGTGTTTGTGTCCACATGTGAGCCGCATTGTTCCTTTCAGCCGCTCGCTTTGAGTTTCCGCTCAAAGGGTCAGGTATGGTCCCGCAGGCTCCACCGTTGAGATACCTGTGATTTTTTTCTCATCTGTGCGATAGTTTTTCATTTCGACAATGTTATTTCTCAGCACGTGCAAAAATGTGTCTCTCTTTTTCTCTTCTTGACCGCCACCGTCTGTGTAGAGGAGCGCGGCACCCCCAAGCCGGCAACTTTGGTGACGACGCGGGACAACCTCTACCTTCTGCAGGAGGACCACCGGTGGGGCAGCACCTGCGAGGCAGAGGAGGGAGGGGGGGCAGGCAGCGCTGACGGCGCCACACGGGACAGGTTCTCGCTGCTGGAACAGCAGCCGCTGGAGAACCTGGCGAGCGTGCGTCTCTACCGCGCCGCGCCCTGCCACCTGGCGTTGCTCTTCCAAGACGAGGTGAGGGAGGGCATCGATCGTTACCTGTCCACATCGTTAAATTACGTTGATTGTGCTCGCTTATGCGCACATTGTATCTCGTGCGCGTAGGAATCGAGGGTTGTCATTTCGTACGGGTCAAGGATGGGGAACCTATGGTCCGCGGGACCTGTATGCATTGCCTATGACCTCCGGCCACATGAGACACACGACTTCAAAACGGCCCACAAGAGATACGTTTCCGTCGCTGCGAGAGCCTAACTACACTGATCGTGTATAAGAGGAGAATATTTTCAACTTGGCAACACAGTTTTTTTCTTTTTATTGTGCTCAATCGCGTCTGTGTTTGCACGGGCCTCTCGCAGTGGCAGAAGTTGTTACCGAGGCGTGTGTCGATGTGTGTGACCCAGCCAAAGGTATTACATCTCCTATTTGATACCAAGTAAGGAATACATTCCCTTCTGATGTAAGTTGACCGTGGATTGGTGCACATGATGCCTGCAGCCGCCACCACATACTGCATTCATCGCAGGATTTAAAAATGTTGATTCTTAAGCCAGTGCTACATTACATTTGCACCCATTGCAATTCATTAAAGTGTCCCCATTGCAATTGGATCTAAGAATTGTCTTGATTACATTTGTATGTTCAACTTCTTTCGCATCCATACGTAGCCACCCGCGCTAATCGGAGGTACGGAAATGATTGTTCATATTTGTAATTCATCGCAATCAGTTTTTCCAAACACACTAAATAGTTAAAAATGATTACACCATCTCGTTTTGCATCATCACTCTGTTTTGTCTCGTGTACATTTTTCTCTCTTACCCTGGATGTAACGTGAGCATGTCGTCATAAAGCATTGCAATGACAGCAGGGTGATGTCACTCAGTGCTTTGCTTCTCATTCAGGAATCTTCGACAAAATTGTGACGTCCTTTAAAATTCGTCCTGCATTTTACGAACTTTACGGACAAAGATGCAATTAATCAGTATCCATGCTGATGGCATCTCAAGACAGCTTGAATTAAAAAGCCTTAATCCGTACATTTCAGTTTGCATCGGCAGATTCTGCCCTTTTTTTCTCTCAATGATTCTAAGGACGCATCTTGCGTACGTTACGTGGGGAGGCACTCACAACATGTTAATTGTGCGTGCTTTACGTCCGTTGCTCGAAAAACGTTGTGGATATTTTTTGGCAGGACACGCGCGAGGATCGTGTGTGGCATCTGCGCGTGGGGGCCGCGGTGTTGGCCGAGGGCTTGCTGAGCGCGCTGCGCAAGCCCTGGGCCCAGCTCTTCTCCGTGGAGCTGCACGTCGTGCAGTGCGATGACCCACCCGCCATCACCGTCGGCGCATCCCCGTGATGCGGCGCATGAGCCCATCCCTCCAATCACCGGCACCACCAGTACTACTGGCGTCACAGCCACGGCGCTGTGGGTACACCCATAGCCACCATCGCCGCCGCCGCCGCTACCACGTTCACCTCTGCTTTGCCGTGGTGCGTGCGGTGCCTGCCGCTGCCGTCAACGTTGCCCAAAAACTGCATAAGAAAAATCGACGAGACTGAAGTCTGCTATTGTTGGACATCTGAGCAAGATCCTGCTCTTAGCGAGGTGGTGGAGCGAGAAGTTGTTTGGAATTTGCACAAGGAGAGTGACCTCGAATGAAGGACATCCACAGTTTGAAGATCTTCACTTTTGTCGTTAACGACCACTGGAATCGTCTATGGCTTCATAGTCTAGGCCAGCGGGATTTTTAGGATTTTTTTCTGAAAGTAGAATCTAGCGTTTTTTTTGGCAAGTTTGCTCGTTTGCTGGTGTGGCAAGTCTTAAGTAAAAAAAATACAAAGGTACATTCACTAAACTGAAACACAAGGCCTTTTATTAAAATAGTCTTGAACTTCCGTGGGTTCCCATTGGCACCAGTTATGCTCACAAACGATGGATTTCAGTGTTGCTTCGGATAATGCGTCCATGTTTAGCACTGCCATTAACTTGTGGAGTGCGCACAGAAAACAATTAAACAAAACTGCTGACACACAACACTGATGCTGCTACGTATGGGCACGGCATCACACGTGCACAATGACTGTTACGTTGATTTTAGTGCACGATTCTCAACGAATTTCTGCTTTTCTTTCAGTGACTCATTTAAGAGAATGAGGTCACCACAGCTACTGATGATGATGAACAGAAATGATGTCCACTCGACCATAACTCTGCTGAATTATCGTTTTGTATGTTTGATTCTATTATTTTATTTTAGCCAGGGGGATTGGGAATGCTGTGCATCATCCAGATTAGAAGCCACACAAGGTCCCGGGCAAGAAAGAGAGGGAGACCTTGCGTCAAGCATATGTGGCGTCAATGACAGTGTTGCCTAAACTTGCGTAACATATAAATCCAGCGCAAGAGCCGTGGCGATTTGGTCGCATAGCCAAACGGCATCGTAGTTTGCTCTGTTGGCAAATGCGCAACCGCGATTGAAAAGGTGGCGGTTGTCGCACAAGCTCAGGGATGCAGCCGCGTTGAGTCAGGGTTTGGCGAGACGCACAAATATGACATTAAGATGATTGCTACTTTTTGTAATTCATCGAAATCTGTGCAGTTTCTCCAAATGCACTAAATTGTAAAAATTAATATGCACGCGCATGCCAGGAATAAAATAAAAAAAGAAATCCATGTGCTCCGACGCATTAGCTTTAGCATCAGGAATGTATGCGTTTTTTTGTAAGTTTTATATTTTAAGGGGTTTGTTTCACCGTCATGTCTTGGCCAACAGTTTCGATCCAATAAAGGACGCTGGCACAACTGGCATCGGGTGGGCGGAACTCGGGAGGCTGAGTGACCAATCCATTGCGAAGCCCTTCGGACACCTCGAGTATGGGCAGGAGCCCTCCTAGCAACAGCCACTCGATCCCGTGGCCCTCACCAGCTCCTCTTTCTCCAAGTTCAAGGCTTTTAGTTTTGGGATCTGTTCATCGGCTGCTGTTTGTGAATACTGTGGAGGTGTTTTGCCAGTGGGTCATTCCAGTGGACCGACGCTGTGTTGCTGCCCATGCCCACTTGCCTTTAAGTCACATTATTGCAGTCCAAGCGTGGCCCTGTTTGCTAATTGTCAGTAATCCAAGAGGGGGTGAACCCCTGGCTTTTAACGATCATTAATCAAGCGCATGTATCCCATCTATCGTTTGAGGGACGAGCAGCTTTCAGGGCAGAACTTGCCCTGAAATAGCCACACCTAACCCCTGCTTTAGTTCCGTTCGGCCGGAATTGTGACAAGAATGTTAATTGCTGGCCATGAGTGGCTTTAAAGGGCCCTTGGTTTGAGAGTCGCGGCAGTGCCGGACCAAACCCCAGGAGGGTTGCGAGCGATTACTTCCTGTGTCAAGTCTCGTCGTGTCTTGGGAGTTGAACAGAAGTTATTCCACATTTCGCTCGGATGTATGAAGTTGGTGGAATTCAATATACATGACTTAAACCCTCTTAAGGCTCAAAGCACTAAGCTAAAGCACCATAGTAGGATGGATAAAAAATATGTTTTACAGTGAACTACGACATTTCTCTACTCCACTCGAGGCCTGGCAATCTTGTATCTGTTCATGAAAGGATGTGTGTATGTGAATGTGTGCATTAATAAAGTCATAACATTTTGGTAGAATGTCTGCACTGAGTTTCTTTTTCTTAGAATTGGACTGCGTGTTTTTACATATGGCACGTAGTAAATTGTTTTCACTGTTGCTGAGCAAAGGACCAAAAGCCCAAAATGCCAAGCGGCCAGCAACAAGGTATGATATTTAATACATTTCTTGAATTGGGCAGGGTTGTAAAAACATGGGAAAAGAGACGTTGTGAGGGCATTACAAAGTTGACCAGTGCAGTATAAATGAGATGAACCAGCCAATCCAGTAGAGTGAGTCCTCCACATATGTGAAGGAATCTACTGGATATATGTGAAAAATATCGTTATCGCTCATCGGATTCCTCCAGTAAATGCATTCTGATTCTGACGTGAAGTTCCTGGGAATAGTAACCATGGTGGTAGCTATAGAAGAGGCATAAGGGGAGGTGACCGACTGCCGGTGAGTGAGTAACGGATGATCGACGCGTGTTTGATCCTCAAATATGACAACCGTATTTAAACTCGAGTGGATGGATCAGTGAGTGAGTGATTGGGGAAGGTGGGCAAGCAGATGAGTGAATCATTTGGGTGGTTGAGTAGTGATTTAGTGGTGCCTTTACCTCCGCGCGAAACGAGGGTGGTTGTGGTTCGGGGGTTGGGGTAGCAATTTAATTCGAGGCAGCACACGCAACCGCAATTATATTTGTTCTGTAAAAAATATTTCGTTCGCGTGTGTGCCGTGTGTAAAGGAAGCTATCATGTTGCCACCTCCGTGAACTTGGAATCAAAATAACAGGCTAATTATTCCTGAAGAAGGCCAGTCGGCGAAAATGTCATGATCTTTCATCTGTCACGGTAAAACAAACATTTTAATGAACCTCTTTAAAAAGAAGTGTGCGTGTATGTGTCTGTGAGATCTGGTGCATCTGCCAGTCATCTCCGTCAACCCCTGGCACCTGGGTGGGTCCCGTGACCTGTCGGCTCGCCTTCGACACTTCACGTGACCTCCGTGCACCTCGCCTGGCCTGGCACAGGCACCGTGGTAACATCACCTTCACAAAGTGGCGAATGGCGACTTGTATGAAATTTTGTACGTGTCATGTATGAGGTAGCATTGCCTGTATATGGTCATGTCTGAATGTATATGCATGTCGTGCCATGAAATTTACCCAGATATGCCCCTGGGATGTTTGGTCAAATCCCACCACGCGAACGAGGGGATATCAATAATTAATTGGTGTACTGCCATCTTCTGACCACATCAGCCCACAAGCTTACAACTCCTGGTATCCCTCGACAGTCTAACCAAGGCTTGTCAGGCTCCCCACTTGTTCAGCGTCTGAGGTGTGACGATATCGGACGCATTCGGGGTGATTTGGGGGGTCTTTGCAGTGCGTTCTGTACCTCTGGATGGAGCGGCACTTAAGTTCGATTTCCGCTCACAGCCAAGACCAGTGGCGAATATGGGAACCGGTCTTGGGCTTCCCCTAAGTCGAATAGACCTAAAATGAGTACCTGGTAAGTGGGTGAATATCAGCACTGGGGATTGAGTGTGGTTCTGACCACACCACCTCATGTGCCGCCGTGTCGGTCAATATAAGTCCTCTCGAGCAGCATTTCCCCCAACAGTCTGTCGGCTCTATGGGGGGCGGGGGGGGGGAGGAATCTTTGCCTTTGTACATTTTATTTGATCTCTGGAGGAACAAAAATCACTTCCAGTATCACAAAATAAACAAGTAAAACATTTTCATCTTCTTGGTTCTTTCGGTAAAGTCACGTAGAAGGGAAATAATAAAATGATAAAAATAAAACTTAATAAAATAATTCTCACGACGTTTCGGCCACAACGAAACCAGCCGTCCTCAGGTGAAGAACAGGTCTGTCGGAAAGACAGCGTCCGACAGACCTGTTCTTCACCTGAGGACGGCTGCTTGCGTTGTGGCCGAAACGTCGTGAGAATTATTTTATTATGTTTTACTTTTATTATTTTATTATTTCCCTTCTACGTGACTTTACCGAAAGAACCAAGAAGATGAATCCCTGCAGTCACGAAAGCTTTAAATCGAAAAGGAAAACATTCACACAGAGAAGAGAGAGGTATCCCGTGTACCCGAGTTGGCCTCTTGGGCGGTGTTAACTTTGTAAGCGAAATTAGCGACTTAAACTATTCGTCGGAATTTTTTTTATTTAATCTGTCAAAAATGACAATGAGTGGATGAAAATCACAAAGGGTGACGACGGCGTGACGACATCGACTCGTCAAAGATCTCGTCGCGTTGTGAGACGCGTTGCATTGCACCGAGGGAGACCATACATGGGTAATTGGCGAGTCTGTACACCACGTGTGTGTGTGTGTGTGCAACTATTTACGGAGTTCTCACTGATTAGGGGGTGGGGTGTGATGTGGGTGGGAGGAAATTGCGCGCTCCATTGCGCCAATATTTGATAACTGAATGTGAAACGTCATTTGATTCGGCTGCGGCTGCTACGTTGGCAGCGGTGCACAGACATTTAACAAATGCCTCACGGTGTAAAGCGCAGCCTCCAACTCGTACGATCTGTTGATGGGGGGAGGGGGGGGCCTTTTTGCCGGTATAACAATTGTCAAACGAGGCCCAAGAGGAAGCTGTCGCTGGTGAAGGCCAATCGGTTTCAAGGACAATGCAAAGATTATAATCTTTACATTGTTTCTTTTGTATATTTTACCACGAGCGTGTGTGGTTAATTCCGACTTGATGCCTTGCAATCGGTGTCTGATTGGTGTTGGAACATCTTAACACCTCCTGTATTATTGCCGTAGAAGGTGAAGCTTCTGTTTTTTTTTATTTGTCATCATCTTACTATCCACTCTACCTCTCTGGCCTGTCTATGTTATGTGCCACATGAAAGAAAGGGGCCATCTCCCAAAATGTTTGTCTCTTGCATGTTTTTTTTTATTCTGTCTCTCCCCCTTTTGAGGTCTGTGTGATTTACGAATGTGTTTAAACACATTCCTGCGGAGGGAGCTGGTAGGAACGTTGGGTTGCTCGGTCAATGGCCAGGGTCAACGGCGGCGTGGTGTATTCCGCAAATATGCCCGACTGTGAGGGCGGGCACAAGCCGGCGTGAGTAGGTTACACGTTGAGTTTTGTAAGGGCACCACGGGGTGACCAGCCCCTCCCCACCCAGCCCCACCCAGCCCCACCCAGCCCCACCCCTCCCACCCCCCACCCAGCCCCACCCTCCCCACCCAGCCCCTCCCCACCCAGCCCCTCCCCGCCCTCCCCTCCCCACCCAGCCCCTCCCCACCCTCCCCTCCCCACCCAGCCCCTCCCCACCCAGCCCCTTCCTGCATGAAGGACACAATAATCGCCTGTGGGCTGGTGTAACCAGGAGGATCCTACCAGTGTAACTGAGAGTGGACTCGATATTCGAGTTGCTTTGGGCGACGAGACCAAGCGAAGAATGACATCCACAGCCCAACGCTTGACGCAATTTGCACGCGATGCCGTCCACTTGACTTAGACAACGATTAAGCGGGACAAGTGCCGTCCTGTGCTGTTAGCAACACGCGCTTAATTAAGGCCAGCACGGCGCACGAGAGGGCGGTGGTGTGGCCGGTGTTGATGTTTACAGTTAACTCATTTAAGGCTGAGTCAACCTTGAGGCGGCACCAGGACTGGTTCAGATGTCACTCATCCAGTGCCGGATTATCCTCGTAGCAAGAGGAGCTACATATGTAGCTACGGGCCCCGCACTTTCAAGGGCCCCGCGCTAAATTCCGGCTCAGTGATTCTGCACTTGCTCTATTACTAGAGTACTATACTGCCTTCAACTTTCACGAACGACTGGGTGTTTAACGTTATCGATTTGTCGTATTATCTGGCTGTATAGCAAATGAAAGAATACAATGACTTTACGATGCAAGTGAAAGATTTATGTGTTGTAATATTTCCGTGTTATTTATTTATTTAGGGCCCCTTTATAACATGTGCTGCAGGCCCCGCACCAGCTTGATCCGGCACTGCATACCGTCTCTCCGTCTCTCCTCGACGCCACCGCTTAACGCACACGCGCACGACAGGGCAGGCTACTCACACGCACCCGCCGCGAGGTACACTGGTCTCGTGACGATCATCGTCATCACCACCACCACCACCGTTATGTACAATCCATAGTTCGCTGTTCGGTGGATTTGCCGTGTTTCCTACTCGAGGCAACTTCAGCGCGGATATCCCCAAGCCCCACATTTACCCTCCTCCCCTTCTCCCCCCCCACCCTCCTGCTGGACGTGAAATGAATGAACAATGAACATCCAGATGTGCGAGGCACGGGCCCCGACATCTGCCCCCCCCACCCCTCTCCTCCACCCCCTCTCCCCCAAAGTGTGGGGGGGGGGGTCAGGATTGGCGTCGGAATAGCGGGAGAAGGCGCGAACTTGGCCTCTTCTTTTATCTGCAGAACTCATCCATCTCCACGCTCGCTGGACTCGCGACTCCAGCTCCGAGGACCCTTGGGGAAGGGGGAGGCTGCTGCAGATTGCGCTGATGTCAGGATTGGCGTCCCGATTGGGGTCGAAGGTTTATGGGTTTGGTCGCAGTCTGGATTTTGGGTTCGGGTTGAGGACTGGGTTAAGGTCTGGTATGGGTTCGGTCTTTGTATTTGAGGCAAGGGGTCACTGTTTTGGATTGCGTTCTGGGTTTGGGTTTGGGTTGGAGGTGTGGACTGAGAAGTGAGTGTGGGGCCGATGTCAGGATTTTGTGGTTAGGGTTAGGATTTAAGTCTGGCTCTGAGTCTCGAGTCTCGCTCTGGATCTGGAGGATGGGTCGTGCTGTTGAGACGTCATCGTGAGTGTTACGCTCCTGAGCGAGGGGGGAAGGGAGCGGGAGAGGCGGCCTTGAGACTTCAAATGGCGGTGTTCGTGTTCCTGACGAGCAGGTCAGAGTGACATTCATCCACGCACTCGCCACTCACCCTCCCTTACCGATACATCAGAGTCACAATTCGTACTCCCCGGTGGGTTAGAAATCGGGTTGTAGGCTCGGATTATG